TTAACTTTTTCGTTACTGTTCATAGATAAGAGAGAAGACGTTATCAAAAGTTCACCAAACAAATGTACTCGGATACCATTATAGAATGAACAGTCCAATAAAAAATTCGTCTCGGATTCGGTCACTTCATCGGCGCAAAATCTACAGTCTTTCTGTTGGTCATTCACCGATATAGCGTCCAGCTTCTATCCTCAAAGACAATATTCCACATCTGATTTTTTCTAAATGTGAACGATCTACATGTGTTTGGTAATTGAATTGACTACAAATCTGATTTCTTTGAATGCCTAATCACGCTCACTATAATTAAAAAAAAACCAAAATACCGAACTCCAAGGAAAATTCAAATCGGAAAATTCCTTATCAAATGGCAAAAAAAAAAAGCTCAAACACAGCAAACGAATGGAAAACAACTGTCATATTCCTGACTTGGTACAGGCATTTCCTTATGTAGAAAATGGTGGATTAAACCTAGTTTTATAGCTAGCTAAACCTCTCACTTGTATGACAGTCGCATAAAATTCCATTATATTGACAACAATGTGTGAACAAAACAAACAGACATAATAGGTAAAATACAAAAAATGACCACAGTACAACACATTGGCGGGATGCTTAAGTACCGAGCCACGCCAAAAGGATATTACCAAAATTGGACTAAACAGTAAAGGTTAATAATTTACAAAGGCAAATAAATTAACACTATAACACGTAATTAAGATGATAAACAAGGTCAGTAGAATCTATACATTTGTGAAGTTGATACGGAATATTTGTCAACAAGGTTGGTATCTTCCGATGAACATTTTTTTAGAAAAAGGACGAGACGTTCTTTGACATAGGTAGCAATACACAGTTAGAAGTTTAGTTTCGCATTATGGCCATGGTGAATTTTTTAAATATGAAAGTTTTTGTACAATAAAATTGATTTTTAGATAATTTAAGAATAATATAGCCTTCTTAGTGGGTTTATATGAACATTTAGATTGTTTTTAGCATGTTTTATAGGCCATTTTTCTGTTTGACAGTCCGTATTTTCCTATCCGTACCGCCCATAGGTCCATAAATTATTGTAGTGTTTATCAACAAAGATTTTGCGCTCGATCTTTTCAATTCAATTTTATAGAAAAACGAGCAGAAATGCATATGATTTTTTTTGGACCTCTTGATAGATATACGTCTATGGATTCAGGAAAGGTATCACTGTAATTGATTGAAATTTTCCTTTGGACCAAATTTTGTAGACTTTTGTGACATGTTCACCCCCTTTCTTTGCAATATTTTGTATCAAAGAAATGCAGATTGTTGCCATGGTTACACCCAAAAGAGATTATATTTCACCATTATAACCATTAGAAATCAAATCTATGGAAGATTTTCTTTCTATAAATATACACATGCATAACACAAATATTAAGCCTTATTTGTTAGAAAGGAAGGGAAAGAGGGTGTTTAAAAATTATGAGTGTCAATTTTAAGTTTTTTTCCTAACTGTGTATTGCTACCATAACCCTGGTTCATCAACTTTCTGCTCAGACACTGTTGACGTTTTATAAAGTCTGGGTAGCAGCTGCAAGCTCTTGAATACCGAATGAGTTGGGAAATGTATATCCCATATGCAGGTGAAGTTGGTTTATTGCTGCTAAGTTGGGGGGAATTGATAATTTCAAAATAAAATAGTCTCGTTTGTCATAGATTCTGGAACTGAGACGACCGCTTATGTCATATTCGAGGTATAAGTCTAAAAAAGAGGCAGAGGAAGCCGTGTCTGTTGTTTCTTTAATTTCTAGTTCTGGAGGATACATTTGTGAAACCCAATCAGAAAAGATTGGACTGTTAAAGGAAAGAAAATCATCAATATATCTGAATGTGAAATCAAATGATCTGTCTTCTTTGATCTTCTTGATTTTTACAAGTGTCTGAAGGAACTCTGACTCATATGAAAATAAGAAGAGGTCGGCAAGGAGAGGCGCACAATTCGTTCCCATAGGAATGTCGACAATTTGTTGAAAAAGTCTACCTCCAATTTCAACAAATATGTTGTCAATAAGAAACTCCAGCATACTGATCACTTGTTCCTCTATGTAGCATGTTTTACCTTTTTGTTCACTTTTAACAAAATATGCCGTATGGTATGCCAAAGTAATAAATTTATAGCGTATGCTACCATTTTTATATTGAAAAGCATTGTGGATTATTTCTTTTAGACGATTGTTCAATTTCACATGGGAAATAGTGGTATACAGGGTTGAAAAATCAAAAGGTTTGAAAGCATTAATTTCAGAGAAAGATCGAGATTTAAAATTATCCAGAAGTTCTTTAGGGTTTTTTTAGAATCCACATATGGTTAATACCAATACGCGAGTAAACAGTTTACAGTATTTCTGAAGACCCTCTTTCACAGCGGACAGAATTTTTGTCAATCTAATTGACAATTCCTTTGTAGAACATGCAGATGAGCCGGCAATGTACCGTTGTTTATACGGAATTTTGTGAAGCTTTGGTATCCAATACAAACAAGGTAAGTCCTCAGATTTGCTGTTCAATGTAATGTTCATTGAAGCCATGATTAGGACTTATGATTCACCAAAATCTCATCCTTGTCAAATGATATGTTTTTGTATGTGGATTACCTGAGTGTTTTTTTACTCCTAATTCTTTTACAAGATATTCGTAGTAGTACGATTTACATACAAAGACAATATTATTTGAAGCTTTGTCCATCGGAACAACAACATATTTATCGTGTAGAGATGATAGACATTTTACAGCTTCTTTGTCTCTGAAAACGGACTTTGGTCGATCATTTACACAGTTTTTCAACTTATAAATTCGACGTTTTATCAGAGACCTGATTGTTTTGACCCATTCTGACAAAGTGTCCAGTTCAACTTCTTCTCGTTTAGCCCTTGCTCTGGCGTAGTCCTCAATGGAATCCATGCGTATTTTTGAAGTTATGGTTCCAATTGATGTGTTGGGGTTCCTTCGGAGATGTTCTTGTTGAATTATGTTAGATCCCCAGTAATATCATGGCCAGAGGGGCTGTAAATATAAGGCGAGTGGGAACAGTCACATGTCAGAGGGTTTTTTCTTCTTCTAAATCAAGGTCCTGCAATGCTTGCTTATAGCTAAATACTTTAGGTGCAATGGTTTTGGTGTAACTGTAGGATACAATAGGAACAGACTGGTTTTGAAAATAAAGTGGAATTTTAGATGTTGCCTCCTTGTGATGAAAAACGTTGCTGATGTTGATTGCATCAATTCCTTTATTCAAAAACTGAACTGGAAGGAATTACCTCTTTTCATCATTTAAAGGTTCCGATCTTACTGGTTTAAAAAGACGGAAAAGAGCTTCATCACAAATTATACTGACCCGTCTGTATATTGGAGAAAATGTATTTATGCATCCCTTTTCAAGTGCATAATCTCTCAAACATTTTAGAAAATTAACAGGCAGTGAAAAAAAGAATAGTTCTAATGTAATGTAACCCTAGCGGATGGTGAAGGTGTGAAAAAGGTCATCAAAGCCCCCAGAGGGCGATCTAGATTTGGAAGTATTTTTTACATTGGGCCGATAGTAATGTTTTTGCCCATGACTACGCTGGTGTTTTAAAGTGGTATTAAATAAGCTCATTACATTTACATCACTGCAGGCTGGACTTGACAAATGTCCTACTCCTTTGATGTTATCATTGCAACTATTCGGCATTGCAGTACCTAGTTCCCTTATCCAGAAATTTTCTCTATCTTTTCGGAAAGGAGTACTTAGTATAGGGCTATTGGTGTGGTGATAAATTTTCTCGATGATGCGTACTTTCATAGATAAAGGATCATGGTCCGGTTGATTAAAATGGTTATAAAGAACCCTAAATTGCGGATCTTTATTATCAGACGGTGTTGATTCATCCTTTTACGCAAAGTGTGTCGAGTTTCACCAACATAAAGTAGTCCACACAAAGAACATTCAATTCTGTAAACGACATTGTCCGTGGAACAGTCCAGAGGTTCAAAAGATTTTGTAAAATAAGCTTTTCCTGTTAAGTTACTAGTGAAATCTGGAGTCGTGATTAACATTCTACATGTCTTACACGTGCTCCTCTTTCCTTTTAATATATGTTTATAAGTAGAAAGGATAGTTGATTCACTTGTAGCAGGTGTCTTTAAACAGTCGAAAATATTAACGGTACATGGTTTTAATTTTTGAAAAGTATCTGAATTTTTTAAAGTAATAATTATCTTCTGGCTGTACATAAGTCAAATTAGGGGTATCCCAGAGGATATTCCGTGGAACATACAAATCACAGTGTTCCGTGTAGCAGAAGAACAAGAAACCTCCCTACTGTTCCTCCTATGCTCTTCCCACGAGGATCAATTGAAAAAATGTTCCCCAAAAAGTAGCCAGTTTTTTTTAAATATACATTCAAATTAAGTACAATTGTTATTTTCTATGCTTGGCAATTTTTCTGAATCATGAATACACATATAAAGGGTTATTTTAATAGAAACACACAATCTCAATTACCTAAGAATCAGGCCTGGGCAGTGGTGAAAACATGGCACAAAAAAAACGATCAAGTTTACATTAAATTTTAGTTAAAAATGTATAATGGTGCACTAATATAACATTCGTTATACCTTTCCTGTTCTGGTATTTCGAGATATAATTTGGTTGAAGTGCACTAGAATTTACAAATTAAGGGGAGCTAACGCCGTAATTTGCAATCATTCTAACCAAAAATTTTCTAGAGATTACTCAAATTACCAGACATGCAGAAAAGAAAGACCTACTATTTCTAACTCAAGATAAGGGTAACTTCAAAATACGATGGTTAGGTCAGCTGGTTTTTTTTTGCCATGTTTTGAAATTCTTCTAAAATTGCCTGATTCTTACGAAGACTGGCACTTTCAAATTTCTGATGCGTGAACATTCATACAGGCAAACCCTTGCATTTTTACAGAATATCACTCACAAGTGGAAGGCTTTATATAAAACAAAACTGTTCTTAAGTAAGAGGTTTTTATTTCAGATTGTTTTTTCAACATAGTAAAATACATGTATATCTATCACAGATCGTTATACAATCACAGCTATTTTGGAAATTGTGTTCTTTTAGAAGCACTGAAAAATATACAAAAACTTATCAAGTAACTAAAGATGTTAGCCATAATTCAATATAGTCTAGAAACGAATATAAAAATGTAAATTCCACACATGATCAAATCAGTTTATAACATGTAAATGCTGCAAAGCATGCCGATTGGAAGAACTATAATTCTTCTCTGTTACAATGTATACATCCTTTTGTCATGGTATATATATAAGTCTTTTGTACCTTTTTTGAAATAGCATAACAACAATAAATCAAATAACAAAACATAAAACTCTACAGAATATTAAATATTAATATAAAATAATATAACAGAACATATAATGCTTAAGATTGTCAAAAAGTCAGTGGCAAGCAAAAGTTGGATGAACAAGAACCGTGCATGGAAAATGTTACGAAAGTAAAGTTTCTAATTTTTATAATTATTTTAACTCAGTTGAGATATGCTAAAACATAAATTAATTTGATTAAGACGAAAATGACCGATTTATATGATTTGCTAAATGTTTCCGGCAGTAAGAGTATTACATTCTTTTACCCTGGTAAAAACACTCCTTCAAAACAATAACAAAACCCATTGTGATTTTCACCATCTGTCTACTGAAACTCACAATTGACACAAAAATAAGTAGCATAGCCAATATAAACGAGAAAAACATTGACACACATGCATATAATCAAAATCAATTATAACACAAGTCACATTAGTTAGCAAACTCAACATCAGCATTCATTACAAATGTTAATATGACAATAATGCTTTGAAATGCGTGATAATAAAACACACATTACAATTTCAATTATGATAAAAATGTTAAAAAAATAAAAATATGACGAATGAAATAAAGTTTCATATGGAATGCCAAATTAAACAAAGTAAAGAATAACAAGTTCAATAAAGTGAAAACTACTTACACAGGATTTAGGATTAGTAAGAGTAGCTTATTCTTATAACTGAAACTAACACTACTTTACAGTTATTGATGGTGGGGCTGATCCTTCACGTTCCAGCTTTAATTTCTTTAATTCCCTTTGTAACAGAAATAATTGAGCCCTACATGGTTTAACAACAGGTTTTGTATAAGTTTGCCTATGAACTGTTCCAAAGTCTATTTCTCCATCCGTGTTTACAGGCTTGTATTCTGGTCTAAAGTCTTTTGTAGGTTCGTATTTCTTGGGTATGAAAGAGGTCTTCGTTACACTATCATGGTCAAATTTAGTTTGAGGTGGAATATAGGGTCTGTTCTCGTGGAAATCTCCATATCTAACACGTGACTGTGGTCCCCAATTCTGGAAGAAGTGTTTAGACATAGTCCTGTCATCAAACTTGAAATCTTCTCGGCGTTGTATTTGTCCTTCTGGTGGAAAATGTCTCATCAATACCTTTGGAATTTCCTTAGGAACATAATCACGCTGAAACATAAGTTGAAGATCTTCTAGAGATTGTACACTGACATAAAATTAAGTAAAAATCTATGGAAAAAACAAGATAAAATTTCCGATATATCCTAAGATAGTTCTAATCTGGAATTATAGCTTGCTTCCTATTCAGTCCTTATAAAACATGTGCTGACAAGTTACTTGATAAAATAACTAATTTAACAAATTACGATTCAAATGAGAAACAAACTATTTCATTTACAAACACCAGATTTGGTATAGGCACATACAGATAATTGAGTAATCAATATTTATTACCTTGTTGCATGTTTGTGTTTCAAACTTGACCGTTGGTGGTTCATATTCAGCAAAATCTGTCCTAATAGCTTTAGCCATAGGATTCACCAGTACATCGTGACCTTTAAACACTTCTTTCTGTTCTGTTGTCAAACTACGTCTAAATAAAGTAAAAAAACATCATCAAAGATACAGTTAACATGGATTTACATAACATTTGTATTGCGCACAATAAGAGTTGAAATTCTTCAGTAATCTTCTGATCTGTAAAGAATTATCTTCAACAGCAATGACTAAGAATCAGATCAAATTGTGGTGGCTTTGTGACTAATAGAATGTATACAAAATAAATTTATAAATATTCTGTACTTAGCTAACATTTTATGATAGGTAACTTCAAACAATCGTGGACTGAGGTAGCCTTATGTTCCACAAGGAATGAAGAGGACTAAGTCAATTAAGTAAGCCAACTTCTGGCAACATTCTGGCATATGGTAACATTTTGTACAATTTCTAGTATAAGATGTTGCTACACAGTGGCGTCAATATAACCAGCAGGCATTGCCAGACAGTGGCGTCGATATCGCCATAATTGTTGCCAGACAATGGCGGCGATATAGTCATAAGATATAGCCAGAGGGTCCATATTTCAATAGGTATATGCTATCATAATCAAGAATACTATGTTTTAACAATAAATAGGATGAATCAAAGAAACTACTTACTTATTATCAAACCTTAAGTCAATGGTACATGGAGCAGGCTCAGCAGCTCTAGCTCTCTCAGGATCCAGATATCCAGGGAAGTCTCGCCTGCTCTGTGTTAATGATTCAAACTTTCCAAGAGCTTTGCCTACTTTCAGTGTTGGTGGGTGTGTTGTTCTCTTGACACGATGGTCGCCTTCATGTTTGGTAAATGTGTCATTGTTTGTGGTATTCATAAACATATCACCTAAAAAACAATGATGTTCATGGATTTTTAAATGTATAACACGCACGAGAATTTGATTAATTTTGAAAACAAACATAAAAAAATCATATGAAATGTCCTATGTGAGAAAAATAAGAATATGTGGTACGATTACCAGTGACATAGTTATCCATAAAGACCAATGTTCGAAGATGTGAACATTGTATAAGTATGTAAATTTCATGTCATTTCTAAATAATATTTTTTTAAAGAAAACCAGGATTTTAAACCTGTACAGAGGCGGATTTAGGGGGGCCAGGGGGCCCGGGCCCCCTCTTTTGTGGGAAAAACTTGATTATATAGGGAATCACTGAAGCATGACTGGAGCGGGCCCCCTCTTAGGCAGTCAGTGGGCCCCCACTTATGAAAATTTCTGAATCCGCCACTGCTGTATGCAACGTATACAATTCGCCGTTTCAGAATCTAATGCAGTCTGGGTAATATTTTCAAAAGCGTACACCAAAACGCCGTAATTGGCTTACAACGTCCCAAACAATTGAAATTTAACCAATGACGTGACGTTGATTTCATTTTGGAGTATGAACAATGAAATTACCCACAGTCCTTTAGATTCTTAAAAGGCGAATTGTTAACTATAATAGAACTGTTCCAAAAATGATTTCTATAGAGAATATCAGACATATCATATGGCTTTTTCAATATCTGCTCGAGGGATTATATTGGTTGAGGGTTGACACGGTGTGTGATATTGAAAAAGTCATATCATATACACTTTATTATATACATATACCTCACGTAGATGTTTTTTATGTGACATGACGTCATACAGGTAAGGAGGTTTGAAATGACGTCACACAGATTATAGGTTTGACATGACGTCATACAGATAAGGGGTTTGGTAAAGCCTTTGTAACAGTGACTGCAATCGATGACGTGACGTCATACAGATTAAAGGTGTGATAAAGCCTTTGCAACCGTGCTGATATCGATATCATCACGGGTGGCTGATACAGCATGCTTGACAATGATTGTATTACACATACAATTTATCTGTATTTACTACTAAGTATATAATAAATGGCTTTATTATAATTAACGTGATTGATTTTACATGATACATTATCATATGCAGAGGACGGGAAATAAACTTGGAATCAAAGGTACATTAAGTATGTGTAAGTGTTCAAGTTTGTTGTATACATGTATTTCTGTACAAAATAAAACTGCCTTTATTGTTCACTAATCAAATAACTTGTAGGTCTAGGAAATGATAGATTTATTAAACTGTTTATTGATCAAATAATGTTTAAATCAGTAATTTTAATACTTTTCAGTGATGTCTGACGCATACCTCAATGTTTCCTAAGTTAAAAGTCACAAAGGTCTGCTTTTATGTTTTTAATAATTATTCGTATTCAACCTTTGTATTGAAATTTTTAGTATTTTAAACATGTAAATGTCATATTGATTTAAACACAAATACTTTATAATTGTGTTTACCTAGTAAAAAAAAAAATAATTTGCGCTTCATATAATAGTTAAAGGTATTATTTGCTTAAAATAATGAATAGATCTAAGCTAGTGTTATAGATTCTAATGTCTGTAAAAACGTACTATATCATTTTGAAGTTATCCAGTTTTCATATAATACGTCTATTCGTATCCCTATACTTGTATTCAATATAGACGCTCATTGCTAGAGACAATAAAACATGCGGCAAGATTTAAACGTTTGTTTGCTTTCACTATATATATGTATATGAGATGTCACGGCCAGCTGACAGATTGTTCCGGTGGTCTAGGGTTTGATTCCATATATGGCAATATGGTAATTTTGGAAGAAAACTCGTACAAAATAAAAGCCAGATAAATAAAGTATATGTACCTTCCATTTTAATATTAGACTCAGAAAGTCGAATAGCGTCTGGTCGTTTGACAAACTCTCCTTTAAAGGAATCCTGGGTACATGTTTCTGGTAACTTTTCTTTCATTTCAGGATACAATATTGAACCTGTAATAATTATTCAAATGTGAACTATTTCGTCTGAAGCTTGTTACGTTAATATAATCATAGAGTTTTGCTAATTCGCAAGGTAACAGTTCTCAGGAAAACATGACCTCTCGAACGGACACATTATGACTGGACCAGTTTTTACAATTTCTCCTAAATGTCATATGCGGTGTAAATACTGGAACATATTATTCTTACTTTAAAAGTTTGTTTGACACGACCGGAGATCGAATGCATGGCCTTTGACTGCAACGGACAAGAGCACGCTATAACGATTCCGCCGCAGTGGTAATGTCATACGTCATACTTTGGGTCTTTTTTGAATGAGTGTAGCTTGCATCCACCATAATTCAATATAAGTGTGAAAATTCAAAAATTCTATTTGCTTTTCCAAACTATAGATGTTAAATTATCGTTAATATATTATTTTTTATATGCGATTTAAGGTTATTTTTTTTCGTGTGATTTACCTGTGAAGCTCGGCATTTCTCCAAATTGGACTTGTTTGGAAGGAACCCACTTTTTATAGTGTTCCTTGTTTGTTGTTCTGTTTTCAAACTTAGCATCTGACAGGACGTAATTAGGTCTGGGTTCCATTCGTCTGAACTCTGGTTGCAATTGTTTGGGAATAAATTCCGTGGTATATGAAGTGATACCTTCAATCTTAGCAGACGATGGTTCGAATTTTTCCTCCTGTGGTGATAAAGAGTTTCAAATTTAAATTTTAAAAGATTTAACCTTGGAAATACAAAGTTGGTTATTTCATTGTGTATGATGATTAATTTAGAACTTCATATAGCACGATGCACTCGACTGTCATTGGGGTGATATACAGGTTAGAAAGTGCTCTGTACTCAAATTAACAAATCCACAAATAGGTGCAGAAAAAACCAATTGGTAAAACAGGAAATATTCTTTAAGATAAATCTGAAATCGTTATGGTGGACAGAAAAAATGGAATAATTATTCAAAGAAAGAAGAGCAAGATTTTTATTAGTTTTAAAGGTTCCGGGTCACCGCTTTTCATAATTGAAAACGGAATTTCATTTTTAACAATGACAAAGTTCTTAAAACAACAATAAAGAATGTTAGTAAAATACATGCATAGTTGAGTACATTTAAAGTTCAAAAGATTAATTTAAGACAGTTTTAAAGGTTCTGAGTAGAGAGATAAATTAAGATAGCATGCATTGTTGTCTAATTAGTTTAAAAGCAAAGTCAAGAAATTCGTTGAAATCTTGAAAGTTTTTTTTCCACAAAAGCAAAACTCAACTTCCTTTATTTATGTGGTTGAATATATAGTTTATTTAGTATCAGCGGACGTTATATGTTATATGGCCACCGATGAAAGAAATGTTATTTTTGGTAGACTTATATGCAGAGACTATATATTACTTGTGTATATGAATTCAATACATATTATATATTGACACAATGAACATGTATTTTATTGTGAGTATTTCGACTCATTTATAAAAACGACTCGCAGATAATAAATAAGTATAGCATTGTTGGTAGCGTTTTCGAATTTACCATCTTTGGTAATTAGTGGCTGGCCTGGCTTGAGACATTTTAATGGTTTTCAAGTGAGAGTTTATTTACATTGTGTATATAAAAGGCGTAGGATTTGACTTTGAACAAATATTTAACTCTCGGTAATCCTTACCAAGTCAAACATTTTTATATATTTAGTCAACAAAGCCGACATAACTTAAAAAGGCTACCGTTTAACGATGTTTGTTCCTATCAAAGGTTCAAGGACAAACATATATTTATAACTAACAAACAAATTTAAACTAACAATTAACAAATGGATGTGACGTTACTTACACAAAATATTGTTAGTTGTTTTGCAACTTAAATTTCGACAATAAATTAGATCCGTTTGAAAAAAATCTTATATCTAACAAGCAGCATAATCAATAACATTTCTTCTTGACTGGTGGTGTTGTAAGAGCACATATTGAAAGATGTGCCACATATATGAAAATAATTTCAATTGTTTGAAAATTGTTACAACGTTCATGTTAAGTGAACTTTTTAGAGTAGTATGATGCCTTTGACGCATAGCTGCTTAATGTTGAGGTCATTTTCAAGCGGCAGGGTTCTCTCATAATAATATTTGTTTTATGTTTAATTTCTATCATTTAACAGTTTCAACAATAACAATGCAACCATGGAGATTTATTCGTAGATTATCTTTCCAGACAAAAAAAAATGTCTTTACGAATCATTGTTTTGTTACTTATATATCGCCAAGATTGTTCCAGAAAAAAAACGATAAACATTACCGAAAACTGAAACAAATAATTTGATTTAAGAATTTTAAGATGAATACACAAGTAAACACACACACATAATGAGAATCGATGAAAGACGATGAGAGATGATACTTATAACATACTGTATAATTCTTTTCAGCAAAAGCGTAGATAAAGTACAAGTAAGAATTGTTTCTTTTCATAAATATTACAATGAACAAGGATGATCCATTTTATCAAACTTTTAGTAAAGGGGACAAAATAGAGCAAGGAAGGCTGTTTGAAGGTCAAATCCAGCTTAAGGGTAAATTGAACAAAATATAGATAAAACTCCAAAAATAAGAATTGCGATAAAAGTATGTTGAATTAAAAATCAAGGACGTAACAAAACAAACAAACAAAAATATCTCTGTTTCCTCAGAAAGATATATTAAACAACTTCATTGCCCTCTTAAAATGATTAATTCAAAGGTTGGTGTTTATTGATAAAGTGAAAAATTAGTAATTGCAAGAAGTTAAAAATGAGCTAGTTATATTCGTAGTTATATATCAATAAAACTGAAAAATACTGTATTTTTAGTTATCTTGTACATTTGATATTTCAACAAAAAGACACCGGATCATCATTTCTCATTTGACAGAAATTATATTATTTTGATAGAATATTTGTTATACTCGTCACCTAGAAATAAAGTTCTAATATAGTTAAGATAAACCAAATCCTAGTTTTATTGCACTACATCTTACACTTTTACTGACACGGCGGCCATGTTGAATTTGTCTGCTTGCTGTTGGAAAAATGGCACTCCCATATAAATCCTACAATTGTTATCGTGCAAAATACTATAGCATGTGAACATAAGTAAATTCTACATATAAATATTAAAAGAATCATTTAATCACTCATGATACAAAGCATCCAAAAACTACGCAACCAGCTAATCCATCTACTTAGTAAAATCTTGACACAGAGATAAAAAATTATTTCTCGCCTGTCAGCATAAAATTCAGAAAAAGACAATCGGGTGGACAGCAACATTGCCAGTAATTAATTCAAAGTCGCTGGATCATAAACTAGTGGACAGGGCCTCGAAATGGTCAACAAACGGAGATGTACGGACAGTAATGTAACTTTATAGAAAAACATAATTGTATATTGTAAGTAGTTCCTATCAAACGAACTAAAGCAGAAAATTTAACATTGAAAATTGTAATTAATTTAAAGTCACTGGACCATGACCTAGGGGAAGGGCCTTAAAATAGTCGTCAAACTGATATGTACTGATAGTAATGCAACTTCATACAAAATGTCATTGATCTATTACAAGTAGCTCCTATCAAACTAAGCAGAAAACTTAACAACTGTTCATCATCGTCGTCAGCGGAATAGCAATCCCTATGTCCTGCGAGACAAAAATCATCGCAATTTCCACACGTGCACAGCCTGTTGATTTCAAAAATGAAAATGACGTCTGAGATCAACAAACACCTTTATTATATGTCAAGACAAATGCCAGTGGCCATGGTTATAAACAAGCAATGAGCTGTACAACAAACATAACGGTAGACAAATTTAATTATAATGGATTGAACAAAAAGTATGTATTGAACCACTTATACATGAAACTATGAATAATATTTCAAAAGACTTTTTCACTTGAAGCAACCGATTGTAAATATATGAGATAGGAGAAATTTTAACAAAAATAAAAAACAAATACGTTATGTAAATGAAAAATGAAGCGACAGGATATGGTTATTGTCTTCACTATTGCATCTTATAATAATTATCAATGAAGAAAGTTATGCTACACTTACTTTAATATATCATTCATGTTTAAGGTTTTTTAATATAGCTATTTAATATATCATTCATGCTTAATGGTTTTAAATATAGCTAAACTTAAAAAGCTTTTAAATCTTTATTAGACATCAAAGTCGGAAGCAGGTCATACATGTGAAAAAGGTACAATTACATTGTCATACTGATATTTATTCTCGGGTATTAATTTGTGTCACTGTAAATAAAACAATTCATTATCTGTTTAAACTTTTCTTTCCAATTCAAAATTAAAACTAACTTTTCAATTTACTATGTTTACGTGAATCAAATTGCCAACCACCAAAACTATCAGGTGAAAACCACAACACCACAATAACCACTAAATTCCAATATTTTCAATAGAGAAAACTATTCAATACATAAATTCGCCGTTTCAAAATCTAGTGCATTCTGGGTAAGTGTTTCAAAAGCGTACACCGTGGGCAAAACGCCGTGATGAGTTAAACAATGGATATCAAATTAATGGCGAAACACTATTTTGATGTATGAATAAGGAAATTAAATTTCCCCCAATCTTCTAGATTCTGAAACGGTGAACTGCCAAAACATTAGCCATGAGCTAAAATAAAGGAAATATGTCAACCTACTGGAATAATCGGTTTTGTTCTTTCAATATGACCATGTGATCTGAAATCCGATCTCTGGTTGGTATCTAACATCATAGGCTCTCTGGGAATCCTCGCGAACGGAACTTCCGTCATCGGTCTCTTGCTGGATCGTGGACGCTGAGTTATTCCTTTGAATGTAGCCATGTAATCGGAATCAGGACATGGTCCAGATTTTCTGGGAAATGGCGGTCCTCCTTGATTCCGCCTCTTGTGTTTCCTGGATGTGAAAATAACAAAATAATAATCATTTTTAGCCAAACATGTTATTATGATGAAAACATGATCAATGCCATTCAAAGATTGATGGTCCCATGTTAAATTGGATTTTTGCTTCATCAAATTTCAATAGGCACCGTATGAAGCGACAGCCGTTTCAACACTTTACAAATGGATGCTTAAATTTTTAGCCTGGGATCCTGGCTCAGTGCTCGACAGTAGACGTACGCGAAGGGGAGGTTTGACCAGGATGACAAGCTATTAAATCTTGAGACACCTCAACATTGTAGTTAAATTACGCTCAGTACGATCGCTTTTTTAATCTCATAACACTTTTTGTGATGATGTAAATGGTTTTTACAAAGTATATAATTTCAATAAATAAAGTCCTTCGATGTGTGGAAAGTTTAAAGAATTTCAAAAGTTAATCTATTAGATATTTCCAACTTATGAAATTAACAAGAACGTTCGAACCGATGCAACACTGAGGACTGCTACTTTTCCAATATTTGTCACACCGTTTTCAAAATCAAACTATATTTTGTAGAAGCTATTGAGAATAATACAAATCTTTTATCGTCAGGGTGAAGTCTAAGCTAAGCTAGATGGTTGACTGAACTTCAATTAACTTTTTAACAAAAAATCGAAAAACCTTTGGATTTTTTAATAACCTTTCGCTTTTGATAATAAACAACATTAATATGTTATCACCAGGGAGAATTTTGTAGCCGCAGGCTTAGCTAAACGATTTGCCGGTAATTTTAATTAATCTTGCGACAAGTTGAGAAGCATTTAGATGTGTTTGCTGTTGTTTGACCCAAGTCGGTCATTCAGTAACACAGAAAGTAATGCTGATTTGTTAAAATTCCTATAATTATTGTTTCTTTTTATCATTTGTATTGATAAATAATTTTTAATTTACTATTTCATATGATTATGTTCAATTTGTCTTGGGCGAATATCCAATAAAAATACGAATGTTATGCCCTGTTGTGATAAAACATAAGCCAAGGATGTTACTAAGTTTTTTGTTATTGGTGGTGGAACTGTTCTACATACATCATGTGATTGTATGGTTATCCTATAAAGGTTTAAAGATCAAGAGAAGAAGAAGATGACATGGTGCCTCATCTCGATTTCATGAAATAAGAATTTATACAATTTATGTTTGCACATTTTTACCAGTCAAAAGACGGTGGTGACATTTTATCTACATATAAGCTAAAATAAATAAATTAGGATTTAAAGTTTATACATATATCTATTGAAATCTAATCTGCTTCTAGTGGTAGATTACTTATATTATTGTGTTGTATACAATACCTTTGTCAACCCTTAAATCTTCGATTAAATAACCGGTTTTAATGACATTATTGGTAATTAAATGGGTATAGTTCAGCTAACTTTAGTGTTGCATTCAAAATAACGGAATTTACATGAAAATAAATGGTAGTATTCACAATTTATTCATATATATGTATCGAAGAATTGATCCGTACCTATTTTTTATATTCAGTATGCAATGATTATATTTAAACACATAAATTAAATTCAGAATAATATTTAAAAAATATTTCATGTTTTACTTTTATGAATCTCTGTTGGGGAAGTCAGAAAATTATAACAACTTCACAAGGGATCGTGAAAAACAAGTACAAAGCAAAGAAAAGAAAAGCCTGCATTAACAGAGCTTAAATTTGGAGGTATAATCAGTAGTTTTAGATAAGGGAAAAGGGCATAGCTTGACATTTCTAAATATTGATTAAACACTTGACAATTTCACACTTGAAATGCAAACAATAACTCTACAAACACAGCACTTGAAAGATAAAAAACCTTACCCACAATCACATAAGTCACTGATAGAAACATTATCCGGAAACTGTTCCTTCAAAATATCATCCGGATTCAACGCCATAACTATCTATCTGTGAAAAGTTTGTCAGCAAATAAATACTACATTTCCGGTCGCTATGTTGTATTTTTTTCTCTTTAACGTATCAAACAAGCATGTATTAATTAAGGACACAAAGGTATTAATGGAACAAATAGCCTAATCACGTATCCAATCCGGAACGACTTATCCCTAGCGACGTTGATAGTTACGGCTGTTCCGTTTACTCCCTCCCACGTTATAGGTTATTCACTTTTTCTTTTAAGATATTACATTGTTTGCGTAAATCCTGCATTTTGAAGAGAGATATGACTACATCCTGGTTTATTTTTTTGGGGTTTAATAGGGGAACTGATTTAAATTATGTTCTGGGTATTTTTTTACTGACAAAATTAAAGGAAATTTACAGAGGAGGTTAATATATGCGCACAGTATAGCTGTAATCCCAAAGTCCTTTAAACTGATACAGCAGCAAATGGTCCATTATTTCTAAGGCGCTCTTGTGTTGCCTGTGTGTTTAATAGGCACTGTTTAACGGATTCTTTGTCACAATTTAATTGCAACCAGTTCAGGTTTCAAACTAAAAACAAATTAGTTATTTCCAGAAACCGTGATGTCTTTAGATATTTTTACTGAGAGAACAGTTGACACCTACTGTTCTCTTCAATAAAGAACAGTAAATCCTAGTAGCTATGTTAATAGTTTTAATTACTTGTTCATGTCAGTATTTATTTTTGGCACTATTCTTTTTTGCAAATTGTCTATCCTTATCCTACGAACTTGAAGCATGTGCAGCAGTTAGTAATCACGAAAGATCTGATGGATAACCGTGGATACCATTAATTATAAGAGAAGAGGAAATCTTCCCATGACATTTGCGAGTAGTAGTGACTGAAGGATTAACTGATTTGGGAAAAGTAAGAATCCATAAAAAATATATAAAACGTTTTCTTATGATTGAATACATCTACAGAGATATACAATGTCAGGCTTAAAATGGGATTTTTTAATTAGGAATATGTTTATGAATGATTAACGCCATTTGAAACCTAGATCTCGTTTTTTTCTCAACTGATTTTTTCTATATTAAAGATTATTTGAACTGACACTAGTATTGTAAGAAAGATTCTGGTATGAAATATAGGCTTTAAATTCGGGATCCTTGAGCCGAAGATAAATAATCCCATGACATGATCTGTTTGACTGTATTTTGATATAACTGAATCATCAACTACTGTAACAACTAATTTGATTGGTATGTTTCGAGTTAACCATATGCAGGCGAATTCTGATAAGTTTCAGGCAATTGCAGTTTTAAAATAGAATACTGAAATAGCACCATTGTTTTCTATTGGTAGTGCAAACATCCCTTGTGACGAAAATGTTAAACTTTTGGGTGAATTAGATATTGATTACATGTTTATACTGATATTGATTACGCGATATTCCAGGGCTTTTCTTCCTATCATATGATTTCCTTGATATAAGGTTACTTCTCATAATGAAGCTTTTAAACCAAGAGTTTCAAGTGGTGAAGTTGAAATCATCCCTTCGTAAATTTTATGGACGCCATCATAAGTTGGTTGACCGTTCTGGTATATCTGTTTCACAGATGACGACTGATATATTCCTGAACTACAATACCGTCCCCTTTTCTCCGAATGTAACTTATCAAAGGGTTTGTACTTAATTGAGGTAGCAATACATAGTTAGGAAAAAAACTTTAAATTGACACTCATAATTTTTAACCACCCGCTTTCCCTTGCTTTCTAACAGATAAGACTTAATGTTTGTGTTATATATAAATGCATATGTATGGAAAAAAGCATCTTCCATAGATTTGATTTCCAATAGTTAAAATGGCGAAATATAGTCTCTTTTTTTTTGTGTAACCATTGCAACAATCTGCATTTATTTGATACAAAATATTGCAAAAAGGGGGTGATTATGTCACAAAAGTCCCCAAAATTTGGTCCAAAGTAGAATTTCAACCCATTAGAGTGATACCTTTTCTGAAATCATTGACATTTATCTATCTATAGGTAAAATAAAAATCATATGCATTTCACCTAGTTTTTCCATAAAACTGAATTGAAAAGTTCGAGGGTCAAATATTTGTTGGAAAACACTACAATAATTTCTGGACCTATGGGCGGTACTGATGTGAAAATACGGACAGTCAAACAGCAAATGGCCTTTAAAACATGCAAAAAAAATCTTGATGTTCATATTAACCCACTTTGAAGGAAATATTAATCTTCAACTATCTAAAAATCAATTTTATTTTACAATAACTTTCATATTTAAAAAAATTCACCCGGATCCAAAATGCGAAACCAAAACTCCGATCCAAAATGCGAAACCAAAACTCCTATCTGTGTATTGCTAACTGAGCAACACGACGGGTGCCACATGTGAAGCAGGATCTGCTTACCCTTCCAGAGCACCTGAGATCACCCCAAGTTTTTGGTGGGTTAATTTTTCGTGTTGCTTAGTCTTTAGTTTTCTATCTTGTGTTTTGTGTACCGTTGTTTGGCTGTTTGTCTTTTTCTTCTTTGCCATGGCGATGTCAGTTTATTTTAGACTTATGAGATTGAATGTCCCTTTGGTATCTTACGCCTCTATTTTAAAGTTTTGATAACCAAATCAAGAATATTCGGTAGGTAAAAAAAGCTTTCATTACAATTACAAGTTGAGTAAATTGAATACACTCACTATTTTTTCATACTTTCATAGTGTCTAATTTAGATTATTGTCATATATCTCGACATTTTTGTACATAATCAAATCATGTGACAAAGAAAATTCAAAACGTGTCAAGAATACCATAGGTTCTTGGGGGACAGGACTATTTTGTTTAGACCTCCTCTTTTTTTCCAAAATCCGTTATTTTTGGGTTTTCTAGCTATCAATCAATTATTTTCGCGTTTTTCTGTATACTATGGACATAAATATACTAGAAGTAACTTGTATTTGCTATTTACTATCAATTCCAAGTTTACTATCCACAGCGGTCACTGATATAGTATATAGAGAACTTAGAATTGACAGTAGAAAGTAAATACAAGTTATTTCTAGTATAATTTATGTATGTTCATATAAAAAAAAGTCCTGTCCCAAAGTACTTCTGTTTTGTCGGACTTTATTGTAGAACAATATATAGATTAATTTCAGATATACTTTTTAATTGTATACTACATGCGTGAACACTATTCCAGATTTTCAGTACTTGAGGAAATAAGAAGAAAAAAACCTTCCAAATGTTTTGGATTGGTAAAAATATCAAATAACTACTCTTTAGTGAAAATTCGTACGTGTTGTGACCTGATATACTTTTTACCCAATATAGGTAATCACGGACATGCATTAATATTTCCACTTTCAGGGGTTAACAGGTAGCTCAGTAGGTGAGTCTTTGTTCTTTTAGACAACTAAAGAAACAGAAACTTACCATTAGCAGAGACATATATACACCATAAAATCAACAAGAGACAAATAACTAATATGCCACATAGATATATATATATATATATATATATATATATATATATGTATATATATATATATATATATACATATCTACAAGTCTAAATTGAAAACGACGTTCAAACCAATGATTGCGTTGGATAAAAACCGCAATTCTTATACGTGTGCATGCAAAACAAATTTCTTGGTAGAGGGGTCTAAATACAGCACAAACAACATTTTCCAAAAGACCAAAAAAGTGAAAAAGTATATTTCAACAAATATATATCTATATATAGAGCAAAGTCTAGTACGTAGTGGTGCTCTTTTGAAGCCACATAGTAAATGGTATTAGGTTATCGTTTTAGATGCTTAGAATCATGATAAAAAAATCCTTTAATTGAGGTACTACATAGCGGCAAATAGAACAACTAATCAATGAATATCCTTTTTTTCTTTTCTGACTTCAATTCTTAAATTACATTTATCATGGTTTTAATTTCAACATTATGTTTAAGGTTACAAGGGATTATGTACGTTTCCGGTGAAGTCACATGATAGATAAAAATGGCAACACTTGATGTTCGGCTGAAGAAAGTTAATAAGATCTACAAAGAGGGTGTAAGTCTCTGCATTATTTCATGTACGACTTATTCATAGACAGTTAAAGTGTTTGAAAGTCTTAATCAAGCATTTTTTCTAATAAATCTTAGGGCGGTAAACATGGACATCTTCCATTTAAAAGTGCACTGGTCACTTTCCGTCAAAAATTATATATGATTTTTATGCCCCCGCCGTAGCGGAGGGGGCATTAAGTTTTACCCTTGTCCGTCCGTATGTCCCAAAGTTGGTTTCCTTTCTCTAACTTTAGTTTGCCTCAACCAAATGTTATGAAACTTATGCAAAATGCTTATTACCACAAAATACAGATCAAGTTTGAATTTTGGTGGTGTCACTTTAACTGTTCTAGAGTTATGCCCCTTTACAAATGGAAAAATTGCTGAATTTTTCGTATTCATTCTCTAACTTTAGTTTGCCTTAACCACATGTTATGAAACTTATATACAATGCATATTACCACAAAATACAGATCAAGTTTGAATTGTGGTGGTATCACTTTTACTGTTCTAGAGTTATGCCCCTTTACAAATGGAAAAATTGCTGAATGATTCGTTTCTGTTCTCTAACTTAAGTTTGCCTCAACCAAATGTTATGAAACTTATACACAATTCTTATTACCACAAAACTCAAATCAAGTACAAATTTGGGTAGTGTCACTTTTACCGTTCTTCAGTTATGTCCCTTTATAACTTTATATAATATGCAAGCGGGGGCATAATCTGTGTCCCATGGACACATTCCCCATTTATTCATATCTAAACTAAAGGGACTAGAATCAGTGACATGTTGTAATTACAATTCGAAAACATCCCCTGCATGTTTGAGGTTTTGTTTGTGAAATATATAACAATAAAAAATCAATTAAAAAAGAACATGAGTTATTATTTGCCATTTATTAGATAAAATTAGGTTCCAATGCCATTTTCACAGTTAATTCAGGCATATTGAATAGGGGGCAGATATTTAGGATAGAAGTGGAAATAGTATGAAAGTGTGGGAAATCCTATGCATGTTTCCAAGCAACTGATCTATTTCAATGATGTTTTCCCGTATTTTTTAAAACCATTTACACCTCCATTATGAAAATCTGCCCCATTCAATGTGGCTGCAATAACTGTGTAAGGGTCTAACACAACAACAGGTTGGGAAGGACCCTCATGAATGACGATACCAGGTCCAGAGAACTCCCAAGAACTTAATATTGACCCGAGAACAGAAATGTTACCAAAAAAATTTATTTTATATGGTGTTATACTGGTTTTACAGATATTAAAGTATATAATTTTAAGATATAAGTCATTTTTACTCAAAAAAGGTATAATTAAACTTCATGAATTTGATTTGTGTGTCTTGGATAAAATATGGTGGATGCAAATATCCAAAAGGTGGATAACTCTATCAAACATGCTAAATAAAAGTATAAAAAGTATTAATCATTTTTTTTAAATTTAAGTTTTCATAATGATGTATTTTATTTTATTTTACTTTTCAAATTTCCATTATTAAAGAAACCAATCCTCTTTTATTTAGATACAGTTATCTACCTTTTGAATAATTACGTCTGCCATATTTTTATGCAAGGAACTTGTATACATGTACAAGGCACACAAATCAAATTTTTGAAGTGAAATTGTACTTTTTTTTTGAGTAAAAATGACTAATATCTCAAAATAAATACTTTAATGTCTATAAAAGCAGTATAAAACCATATAAAAAAGTTTTCAGGTAACATTTATCGGTTTCTTGGGAGTTCTCCGGAAATCGTGGTACCCCATAGATGGGTACAATCCTCATTTATGGGTATCAGACATGTGATTCTTCCCAGTTTTAAAGCCCTCTTCCACCCCTTAGGTTAAAATATCAAATCTTCCGTTTTTTTTCCAAAATTTCAACCCCCTAAAAATTTGTCTGTCTCTATTTTTTATTACCATCGATGTCAACATTAATTGCGTTTTTGTGTCACTGATGAAAGTAATTTTTACCGGTAAATCAAAGAACTTGTATAATTATATGGCTTCACTTGACAGCTTGGGGGTCAAACATACTATTAATCAACTATTTTTACCTCAGGCTAACTGCCAATATGTAATAAAAGCTTTGTGTATTTGAAAACAGTTAAAATAAATTTCGGGTTACTTCCCTTGTTTTATCATGTTATAAGTCACCCTCCTAAAATAACGTAAATTGATAAAAGAATATAAATGAAATACAAATTGAACAAAGAATCATATAATGATGGTAATTTAATGATTTTAAATGTCTTAGGACAAATAAGAAAATATTATTTTGAAAATTATTTGAGAGATCTATACTTCTTTTCAATGCTTAAATTGAAATTTACAAGAAATGTATTGACTTTTTATAATGTCTTTCCGACTGTGCAAGGGCTGTATAGCCAGTCAAGGTTGTTAAAAACTTCCATATATATATATAATGTCTGTTATAAAGCAGCTGTTGTGGAGTCCATACTGCAAAGAAACATCAAAATAGTAAAAAACCAAAATCAAAACAACTCGCGTAAACCAAGATGGCCGCCTACCAAAATGGTGCCTTCCACCTGTTCCTGACCTATGTGTTATTACATAGATGGCCAAATAATTATTTTAGTTTACATAAAGATAACACATAATGGAGGAGATAATTCATATATTTTTCTACAATAGCAAATGCCTGATGTTTTCTGAAACAACTCTATAGGGTTACATGTATGTACTTAACATGCTTAACTAGTACTGTTATCATAATTATATATCAAAGTTTTCTTTGAACTAATTAAAATTGCTATATATATATTCATGAGTATGAAATTTAAAGAGGAATCAAAGAAATTTGTACTTGGTACATAACAAGATTCACTTCCTGTTTTTAATACTTCTTGTATTTTATAATCCTCCTGACATAGGAGCACTCAACAAATTTATTTTTAACAATGATGGAGAAAAAGTAACTGTTTATACCTTCTGCAATATATTGTTGCATCAATATAAAATATGATCATCTCCTGTCTCACCTGTTATATTTATAAAACTCCTTACTGAGGAGCACTTTGGTGTGCACTTAAAAATACTTTTTTGTAACAATTCAAATGATAATAAATAACTCTCAATAAGATATATACTATATGTTTGAACAAGTAATTTAAATGAAGATAATTTAATTACATTCAACATTCAATTTTGCATGTATAACTCCATCTTTCAAAACTACTTGTTTATTTTGGTATAAGTTATAAAACATTGAAATTTCTGATGATTATTTTCCATACCAAATGTACAAGTTTGTTTAGATTAACATCAAAATGATATGCTTTGCTTCATGGTATGATAATTTGATGAAAACAAATTCTTACTGGAACCAACATCAAGAACACATTAATTTCTGAATATGGTTTAAATACAACTAATGTTCTCCAGCTGAACCTAGCAATATTCAAGGTAATTCATACACTGTCCAACATTGCCCTTAAAATCTGGGTTATAACGCTAAAGTGCCCTTTCAGACAACTAGCACCCTTCTGCCCTGAGATTCAAGCTGGAACACTGTATTCCTGTTTGCATATATATATACTGAAAAATTTAAAAACAAAATATGACTTTTATTAGCTTTTAATGATTGAATTGTCAATCTTGATGTAGCATACTTTTGCATGTTTGTTGTAAGATCAGATAGTGAATTCAGTAGTCAATCAGTGTCTATTCCAGTCGAAATTAACCTTAAATCTGATTTTAGAATATTTTTTCACTTGAAAAGTTATACCTCAAACATGTGACTAGATATATCCCTTTAGAATCTTTTCAAATTTACACACAAAATATTTGATAATAATAAGGAAATGTTTAATACATGTACCTACATCTTAAATTATTTTTCATGATGACATTGCCACATCTGATTCCCTGATTTATGTAACTTGATTACAATGTATATAAGATATTATCATTCTATTGTACAAATGAATAAATTGAGTCATGTATAAGAATGGAGGACCCATGTCTATGTTTTTATTTTATTTCTATCAGAAAGGTTATATTAGTAGACCAGCAACAGAAAGCAGTTTAATCAAAAGTGACCAATTTTGATACTTATTAGTCTTGTCAAAACAAGTTATTGAAATAAAGATGAAGAAAGACAAACTACATGCACATGTAGTTATTGTTACAATTTGAACAGAAAATACTAATCTTACATATTTATACAGCACAGTCTGAATAATTTTGAATGCTGTAAATTTACAAAAATTTAAATTATTTCATAGGTTTCACAAAAATATAAACTCTCATTTTAAAATTTGTATGCAACATTTACTGAAATCATAATAGTTACAACCATGACAACAATAAAAATAATAAATGCATTGCAATTATGGAAATTGATAATAATATTTTGTGTGTTTTAGGATGTTGTTGCTGGTGTGATTGTTGTAACCAGTAATGGAGATTTACAGCATCAAGGAATCACATTAACTGTAGATGGTGCTGTCACTTTACAGCTGAGTGCCAAAAGTGTTGGACTGTTTGAAGCATTTTACAACTCACTTAAGGTTAACTATATATCTATTTAGATATTGATGAATAATTTGAAATTTTACTATGGTTAAATCAGTGACTGAGTGAAAGATGTTCTTAATTTTACTTTTCTTTGAATAAAGGAAAATTTGGGGTATCAGCATTGTGACAGCAATCCAACAATACAAAATGACCTCTAGAAGTAAACAAAGGGTATTCAACAATTGACAATTGACTAAACAATCTCTAAATCTTCCTGATTCTACAAATTAATTAAACAAAGTTTATCAAGGAACTTCCATCAAAATCAAATGACCTGAATAACAAAAATATTGAAATGCCTGTATAATTAAAGACAACTACTATCTGAAAAAGTTCCTAAATTAGGACAGGGACATAAATATGTGGCAGTTAAAAAACTATTTTCAGATCTCAACCTTTCCCTTTATGATCTAAATCGTTGGAATAACAAAAGATACGGTTTTATAGATAAATGAATGTACAATAAAAATCAGTGCAGAAAGTTTTATGTAGAGGTACAACATACATGTTTATAGACTCTATACAAGTTTTTTTTTATTAAATTCAATTTATTTATGCTCTTAATTCCAGCCTATCCACTTGATAAACTATTCACTGGAGATATCGAAACCTGGGAAACTGCCATCAGGAAAGACAGAAATTCCATTTGAAGTTCCATTAAAACCTAAACCAAATAAAACCTTATATGAGACTTACCATGGTGTATTTATCAATGTACAGGTTTGTATAACATAAATGTATAAATTTGTCTGCCTTTCATATGATTGCCATACAAATTCTAACATGTACAAATATTCATGTATGATAGGAATTTTCTCTTTAGTACTGTCATATTTATGGAACTGATCTTTTAGGTTTGTTCCATTAAAACAGATTTAAAGTACACTGGAAAGTCTGCTGTTATTGTTCCAGTTGAACTTCAATAATAATGCAATTCTAAAATTTTAGATCCCTTATAAGGGTGGTTGTATAGAGGATGTTTGCCCTCATATCTGTAACTTATCTGTAATATTTCTGCCAATGATTCTTAACACACATTGAATTTAGAAACATTGTTAGGTTGGACAAGAGTTGAAATTCCAATGTAATATTTTTTTAACAACTGCTTATGAAAAGGTTTTCTGTATTTATATATCAGAAGGATAATTATATAGGTGTCTCCTGGTTTTGATGGGAGCTTCACTATTATTTTATTTATTTTTTAAATCCCCCCTCTGTATTAGAATGTTCCAATCCTCCAGCTTTTCTTGAATTACTGTAATGTCATAAGTTGTTCATCGTGTAAAATTTGTCCAGACATGCATTTTTTTCTCAATATAGGGTTCTAAAGCTATCTGGCATATGGTAAGTTAATCAATACATGTACATTAATAAGTGGATTCATTGGACAGCTTAAAAACCTTAAAAATGTGGAAACAAATTAAAAGAAATTTAGACTACAAAATAGGTTTTAATCCAAATCTTTGATGAAGAAAATTTCATTTATTTTTATTTTTGGGAGATCTTTCAGTTTATTGATTGACATGTTTATTTTTTTTTTATTTCAGTATTCAATAAAGGTTGATATGAAAAGATCTCTACTGAGTAAAGACTTACAGAAATCAATTGAATTTATTGTAGAAAATAAAACAACAGTAAGTTTCATAAAATATAATAATATTTGTAGAAGAGGGACGAAAGATACCAAAGGGATATTCAAACTCATAACATTGTAGACGTTTAATTGATTGTGCAAGTTTTTCATAGTTTTGATGTATTTTGTCATAGATTTTAGCAGTTAGTCAACACGATTCTTGACTCACAAGTTATGTCGTAAAAAATAAAACATGCTTTATATGATTTTATCAAAATAAGGTTGAATGCTTCTCAGCTACTGTATATAAACTACCTCCCAAAATTAAGAGCAACAGTTTTTTTCCCGTATGACATCTTTTATATGACTCCATGGAATATATTTTGGACAAGTGTTTTCAATCATTAAATAAATATATGAAATCACTGTAACTATAGAATGGTTTCAATAGGAAGCAATTTAAGTTTGCATTATTTCCCTTGTCCGCAATTGTGGAGGGATAAATGGTTGGTTTTCTTATTTGACTAGCCAAATTGAAACATGTGATTCAAATAAGTCTGATAAGGGATCCTTTCTAGATTATTATGATGAATCAAGCAAGGCTAAAACATATTAAAATTGTTTGGAAAACAACTTTTTCTACAGTCTAGAGGTCAGTATAACGAATTGAATTTGGCTGATTAATGAAGGATTTTCTGTACAGGTGACAAAAGGGAAGTAACTTTTGCTCAAATTGTGTCAATCCAAACCTATATATTACAAAAAATGTTTGGCATGTTAAATATGATTAAAAAAAGAAAATTTATACCAAAGAGAAAATAAATTTGGGTTAGTTATTACTTTGGTAGCTTAACAAGTATATTCAGTTAAAATCATAGGAAATGTACAAAGTTTCGACTGCATTTGTTACATCTTTAAAATGTAGAAACACAATTAAATCCACCCAGGATCAAATTTATGATTTGGTTACAATAATCAGAGTATAAGTATAATTGTTTATCAAATTTTAATTGAATTTTAGAATAAAGATGAAAAGAACAAATCCAAAGCCATTCCATTCACCATCTCTCCAGAGACATTAACAAATATCAAGGAGGTAATATTATTTTTTACTACACTTTTATGATCTATTCTTTGTTAGTTATAGTGGATGTTTTATAACTATTTTTATGAAATCAAGGATTTTAATTAGGCTGTTGTAGGAGGGCAACACTTTTGTAACTGTTATTGGTATCTGGAAAGCCTGTTAACATTTTATTGGCTGTTAATTTCATGTCAACAAAGTGGATTAATGTCACACATGCAAATATAGAAATAAGAAGATGTGGTAGGATTACTCTCCACCAGAGACCAAATGACATAGAAGCTGTTTCCTAAAATAAAAGGTATAACAGAACAGAAAATTTGTTTTACGCCTCTCATCAAGTTTATGGTGCTAAGAAACTTCACACTTAATGAATGTTATTTATGTGTTCATGTGGAAATTTACACAAAAAATCTGATTCAAATTTGAAAACTATACATATATGTATCTTAAATCATAGCAATGTAAAATCTTTGATTTAAAAATGATTGGAATTGGATGTGTAACTGTGATCAGAGTTATGAATAGTAGAATCTTATGAAGGACAAAATTCTGATTGCTCAAAATAAAATACATGATGGATATAAACAAAAACATGTCTAGTATTTTATTGATATTCAAAATTATTGTATTATTATATTAATAGTTACCAGTATAAAGTATGTAATATTGATTGTGCATTTGATTGATAGTACCCAGGTTTACAATTTCAGAAAGGAAATGTGCCAAAGTTTAAGATCAAAGGAAAACTTACATCTTCAGTATTGAATATAACGGAACCATTGACAGGGGAAGTAAGTCAGAATAATTCTAAATAAAACTATTTTTGCAAAACAAGGCAAAAGTTTTCATACAAAAGTCTTAAATTTACATATCTGTTTAAAAATCCCCTCCTTATACTTTCCAGTTCAAAATTAAATAATAATGAACTGATGTAAACTATCATTCCATGTGTTAAAATCATTACACATACCTGATAATTTTGTCATTTGCTATTTCGGATTCTGAGACCTGAAATTTTGCGGCACTTGAACTATGAAGTCATACAACAATCACTTTTGCATTATTGTGGCAGACACTTTATCTTATGACAACAAAATTTTATGGGAATGTATGCAATATGCAGCAATGGCAGACAAATAGTGATAAGGTGTATAGGCACATATCAATTCTGGTCAATGGTCACTTAAATACATGTTTATACTTAATATACCGGGTACATGTAGGTTTATAGGTTGCTACTAGGTAAAGCAGATTCTCACAAAATATCCATGCTTCTAAAAGTGTATACTGAACAATTGTTTGTAAGGTGAAAAATTAAAAAAATATCCTTATTTTATGTTTCATATACCTTTTTATAACAGACTTGAATGAGAAATTTGTCAAGGAATTTTTTGTTTGTATTTTGTATTATTTTTTTGAAATCCTTCATGATATTATATATTACAGTTAATGGTTGATAGCTGTGATGCCCAGATAAAATCAATAGAAATACAGTTAGTAAGAGTAGAAACCTGTGGATGTGCAGAAGGTTATGCTAAAGATGGTAGGTGGCAGTGTAAATCTGTGAGATATACAAACTTAGATAATTAATGTAAAGTTGGAAATTTTTGCAAGGGGTTTATTTTCACTAATTTCTTTATTTAGAGAAAATTCTGAAAATAACCCCTTGCGTTATTTTAATCTTTTTGGAAGATCAAAATCAAAGACAAAAGGTGAAAACTAAAGCTCTCAAATAAGTTTGCCGTTAAAATTGTGAAATTATACAGTATAAATACAAGAAAGTCACATTCATAGGTATTGTTGTTACAGACTGTAAGAAAGTGAAGTCTCTTAAGAAATAAAATATGGAGAGATTTAGTATGTTATAAATTATCTGTTTTCTAAATATGACCTTTCTTTATGCAAACAAGAAAATGAAATGTAATTGATATGGATAAATTTAATTAGTTTAAGCAGCTTTTCAAATAATTAGGGTTCACACCCCTTTCCTTTAGTCATTTCCATTACATTCATATTGCAGTTTGTTTATTTGAACTCTAGTGATCCTTTGATTGGTTGGTTAAGAAAAACAAATAATGAACATGAGAGCATTGATTTTGAAATTTCTAAAATTGCTATAAAAAGAAACTCAAAATTACTGCAGTATGTTTTACTAATATTAGTTGAAATTTCTTAATACTATACAAATAATCAAATATATATTTACCATGTCAGTTTCCATGACTACAGATGTAACTGTTTACATTTCTAGCTACAGAAATACAGAATATACAAATAGCTGATGGTGATGTCAGCAGAGGGCTACTGATACCGATTTATATGATATTTCCAAGATTGTTTACCTGTCCAACATTGTCAACAAATAATTTTAAAATAGGTAAGACATGTGCACTCTATAGACACTTTCATTATGATATGCAGATATTCTGCAAAACTTATGGATCGCAATGAACTGCATTGTCATTGGCAGTTTGAATATAAAATAATCTCACCCATCTCTTTACAAGACAGTGTTTCATTTAACCATCTTTAACCAGATGCCGATCCAGGATTTTGAAAGGGGGGAGGCACGAGCCCCAACTTAGACAAATTTGTGATGGAACCAGTGAAAAGTCTGGATTAACCATAAATGAAGCTCCATAAGGGGAGCCAGGGCACCCTGCCCCCCCCCCCCCCCCCCCCCAAATCTGCCTCTGTTAACACCTGCATGCATACCAAGAAATATACTTTCAGATAAAGATAGACAAAAGATACAAAAGGGACATTCAAACTCATTAGTCGAAAACAAACTGACAACACCATGGCAAAAAACAAAAAACAACCGATGCAAAAGACGAACAAGATTACACATAACACAACATATAAAACAAAAGACAGTGCAACACGAACCCCACCAACACCATAGGTGATCTCAGGTGCTCCAGAAGGTTTAGCAGAACCCTGAAAGTGTCTATTTTTATTAAGACCATTTAAAACTAACTTCATTAGATTGTTAACCCTCAATTGTATGTCAGATAATGAATCATTCGGACAACTTTTCTTTTAATAAAAAAGCTGTACATTATCAATACTAACTATAAAGAAAAATATTGCATTAATATTTAATCTGATGCCTATGTTGGGAAGAGCTATGTATTTGCAATACTTCTGAGGGGGTCCATAGATTTCCTTTGCTAGGCAAAAAACTCTACCTCTACCTAAATAACATTTTTTTCTAGTGATTGCCTGTCCAAATTTCAATATATGAACAATATCCTATCATATTGATTTACTGGACATATTTATATTTGGCCTAATCATTTACATAATATGCTGTAATGTTATATTTGTATTGAATTTGTACTCTTATATATTATTATTATTGTATTAATTTTACACAACACAGTGTACGGCTGTCTAAGTTAACAAATTATTCTGCCTGTATCTTCTAAACTTTGATAGATACATATTTCAAAACATACTTATCAGGGGTGAATCTAGGGTTTGAGGAAAAGAAGGTGTAATTGTCTGTAATGGTAAAATAGTGCAGAATGTATCGAGGATTACAAAAATATTGATGATTTTATGTGAGAAAATGATATTTTTTTCAATCAAAAGGGAGCATACACCCTCCCTGAAATAGCTCCTGCTTTTGATTTCTTTTTTCTATTTTCAGATTTTGAAATAAATGTTGTTGTGGTATTCAGAGATGATCATCTAGTGACTGAGAATTTCCCAATCAAACTCGTTAGATACTGAACATTAAGATTTATACAAGTGCAATATTTTTATCTGTTATATATTTTTAAATAAAAGAATAAAACACTTTAGAAAATCTGTATAATTCTACCAACTGATATGTCAGCCTCAGTAAAAGAACAATACTGTAAACCAACTAATTTTCTTGAGCAATTTAATTTCGCGACTTTTGCGAGAAGAAAAATAACACGAATATAAATCGTCGCGAAAATTTAAAACTAGGATCTTTCCATATTCAACTACAACAAGTAAATCTGAAAATCGGGAAATTAAGTCGCCACGAAGTGGCCTAGAAAGAGATAAATGCTTTTAAAGTATCTGCGAAAATTTGTTGGTTTACAGTAATTGAGGGGAAAAACTAATGTATGTATAATTTTTATTATTTCCCAAGTTGAACTATTCTTATAATGGAAACAGAATAATTATAAAACAAACACACAACATAAAAACAAAAGGTAAAAATAAATTAAAAAAGGCTTGACTCATCAAACCAGTACAAAACACAAGCACAACTAACAAAACAACAGCATAAAGTACAGATCTAAGAGTACTCACAGTTACTGAAAGATGGATCAAAGCGGACTGTATTGGTCCAATTTTTACTAAGTAGACTGTTTTATCATTCTCAAACATTAATCAAGACTCCTATATTGTTCCATAAAACATATGTGGGACCTAGGGAAGGCGCTTTGAAATCTCAACTATGGATGGCTGTCAAGTACAGTGAAAATATGTGAAATTCTAAATTTGTCTCTATTGGTGGTTACCCCAATTTAAAAAGTGCTTTCCCTTGGAACCATGTATGTTTAAATGGAACAGCCATAAACACAGTATAAGCAATTTGAGAAATCATTACCTTGAGCAATGCAAAAATAAAAATATGGACAGAATACAGGACCATAAGTGTAAATAACTGGATGAAGATATATGTTTAGTTATTTATTAAACTGTTGACAGTAAAACCAAAGTTAGTACTGATAAAGACAGTATTCAAAGATCTTGCAACAATTTTAGATTGTATGGGAGTCTTTCCCCAACTTGTGCAAATGATTGGTGAAGATTTTTACTGAAATTAGCAATTTTTGATGCAGATATGCGATTTTTTAAGGCCTTTTGTTTGCATGACTCAATTAATATGATTTAAACTTAATGGTTGTAGCTTTTTTATGCCCCTGCCGTTGCAGAGGGGGCATTAAGTTTTACCCTTGTCCGTCCGTACGTACGTCCCAAAATTGGTTTCTGTTCTCTAACTTAAGTTTGCCTCAACCAAATGTTATGAAACTTATACACAATGCTTATTACTACATAATACAGATTAAGTATGAAATTTGGTGGCGACACTTTTACCATTCTTGAGTTATGTCCCTTTATAAACATAAAAATTGCTGAATTTTTTCGTTTCTGTTCTCTAACTTTAGCTTGTCTCAACCAAATGTTATAAAACTTATACACAACCGTTCTAGAGTTATGCGTGTTTACAAATAGAAAAATTGCTGAATTTTTTTAAGTTTCTGTTCTCTTCTTAAGTTAGCCTCAACCAAATGTTATGAGACACAATGCTTATTACCACAAAACTCAGATCAAGTTTAAATTTGGGTAGCGTCACATTTACCGTTCTTCAGTTATGTCCCTTTATAACTTTATGATATGCAAGCGGGGGCATCATCTGTGTCCACATGTGGACACTATCCACATTTATTTTTATCAAGTTAAAAATTAGATATGTAAAAAAGTTGTTACAATTTGGTACAGCCAAACTTTCGAACCCAATTTGAGTAATTTGTGGTAAGAACATCTGTGACTTAGTAATTTTCCAGTTATATATAGATTACTATCATTTAAATCAAGACATCACTACAGACCTGGCATATCAAATAAGTTGGGCAATATACACACAGTAACAAAGAACCAAAGGAATATTTTGTTCTTATGTTGTACTGTTACACCACAGTCCAAGGTTAGGAGGGTTGAGTGCTCACAAATATGTTTAACCCCGCCACATTCTTAATGTGCCTATCCCAAGTCAGAAGCACGTAGTTCAGTGCTATGCTTAGGTTCATGTCTATATTGTTTTTTTGTAAAATGTTAGTTATGAATTAGACTGCTAGTTTGAATTATTTCACATTTTTCCTGTTAGAGCATTTTATGGCAGACTATAGTATGGGCTTTTTCATTGTTGAAGGCTGTACAGTTGCCTATAATTGCATACATCCACTTCATTTGAACTCTGGTGGATAGTTGTCTCATTGGTAACCATACCACATCTCCTTCTTTTATATCACTGTTAAAAAATGCATAGATTGCATGTTAAAAAGGTAGAAAAGTTATCTATTTTGTTTTAGTATTGTAACGAAGAAACAGAGTTTGTTTTACAGAATGCTCTTAATACTTGTTGAATTGAGTGCCATCTGGTGTTGTTGACCATACTATACTCAGGACTACATACGATCGAGTTATGAAACTTTGTCCAGTTTTTTACTATTTAACACTATTGTAACACAATTACACCTTGTGAACACAAATCTGCTAGAGTCTGAAAGAAGTTCTCATGCATACTTAGTGGGATTGTTTGCCCCATGTGTAATTGAATATATTTTAATGTTGTTTTTATTCGACTATTTTAACTGTTTAACACTCGTAACACAATTACTCTTATTGAACGCAACTCCTCAGAGACTGTATGACAGAAAGCTCTCAAACTTGGTAGGGTTGTTGACCATTATGTATAGACGACAGTATAGTACCTTTTGATTCAACCATTTTTATGGGAGTTATGGGACATTAACTGTTTTTTCAACTCTTATACCACAATGACACCATGTTTGGCCTATTGAATATAGCAACAAATACTCAAGCTAAAAATACACTTTCAAATGTAATCTCTGTACTGTACACACAGTTTTATTACTTATTTCTCAGTTGATGCTAGTAAGGGACATTTCCTTACGTGTGTAGCAATCTTGTTGGATATTGATGAACTTTGGAGTGTGAAAAGTTTAAGAAGTCTTTTATAAGCTATATGATCCTTTGAAGTTCAGTTTATCTCCATTGACAGTTCATGAAAATGAGGTCTGACAATTGGAAGATGGTTTGATGGCCTGTCAGATAGCTTACAATGGTTGAATAAACCAAATGTATTACCATTTTACTCAGTGATAAGAAACTGACCTGAGTGTGAAAATTTAACACTGATCATTGAACCTTGAAAATGAAGTCAATGTCTTCTTGACATTTTTCTGTCATTGGATTGCTGTCTTATTGATTTATATCCTATATTCGTTTTTTTTCATATCAAGGTAAGAATACTCCTGTGAGAAGTGCATGCTCACCTAGGCCTTTCAATAAAATACATTGATTATATAGACTAGATGCAGTTGACCTTTTTGCTGTCGAATCAAAACAAATCTCTGTACAAAATCTTAACATTGATCATTGAACCATGAACATGAGGCCATGTGTCCCCTTTCAATCCCCAATCATATAAACCAAGTATAGTTGATCTTTTTCTTTAGGCAATTAATTAATTTTTTTAATGAACCATGAAAAAGAGGTCAAGGTCATGTGACACCTGTCAAGACAGACATATATATTTAGAACAAACTCAGTTGACCTTTCGTACTAACAAAGAAAATGACATTAGAATGAGAACTTAACATTGAACCATAGAGATGAGGTCAATGTTAGGTAACCCCTGTCAGACAGAAGTGGACATCTAACAATAATTGTATGGACCAAATACACTCATACTCATAGTAACTAAGAAACAGAAATAAACACCAAAACATAGGGTTGACATTCAAAGCAACTGAGAAACTGACCTTTCATTCAGTCATCACTGAAACATCAAAATGAAGTTGTGGTCAACTGATATATGCCAGCAAGAAACTTCAGACAAAAGTCATCTATATGCAAAAAACTGGTTAATATGTAGTTTTTCAATCTTCTTAAATATGAAGCTTTATATAATTAGTTAAAGCTGCTTTCTGATTAGCAAACCTCCATACTTATGCATTTTGCAACATTCATCATAGCTGAATCAAACCATTAAGGAGCAGAGCCAGTATTGTTAATTCTGATTCAGTTGATGAAACTGTTTTTATGGGAAAACTCATCAAATACCAGGTTTATAATTTGGTATGCCAAAACTATAAAAAAAGTCAGTGGCTTACTGCATGAAATTTATTTCTCCTTTAATCTTATCTTGATCTAAACTGTACCATTTGTATACAAGAAATATGAAACACTTTCACAAGTTTTTATGTTTTATTCCTTTTATTATATCTGTTTAACAAATACATAAGATGCATAATAGTTCTGTGTATCATGACAACATTAAACAACAGTATTCAAAGTTTTCCTATTGACATCTACCAGAGACAGACATAGTATGGAAACAAGCAAAGTTTCTTATAAAGAAAATATTTGAGAATGCTGAAGACTTTCCACTGTCAAATGCTACATTTATTCTGAAACCCTGAAATCATTAAATGTCTTTTGTACTTTATTCTTCACTTTGGTCATGATTTTTCTTGTTCCCTGTGGAAAGAAAAAAATTTCTATTCAGCATTATTTTTGAATGAATAAATAAACAACACAAAACAATCGTGACTTTCCTAAAACATCTTAGGGTTTTTAAAAAAAAAAAGATTGTTGGATGTCTGAATTTAAATATAATTTCAAACCGAAAAGTTAAAACATCACAAAACAAAAATTAGGATTTTTGTTATACATGTATAATATTATGTGAATGACATGCGATCATCTTTCATAATCACAAATCAGATAATTTATTCTATTAAATCATGATTGTTGAGTTTACAGACAAGTACTTTACATAAATCCTTGATGGGACTCATTCTTATACTTGTAAATTATTTCATATCATTTTATACATCTGCACAAATTAATATCATATGCATATACATTATTGCAGTTAAAAGTTTAAAAAAATGAACATTATGGAAAACAATATTGCTACTGTAATATTTATATAAGTCAAATCATATAAAGAGACGCACTGGTAAAATAGGAATCATGTGAGATTCATTATATAAAAAAATCCTAAAAAGTAAGGAATTTGATTCTTGAAAAGTATGCTTGAACTGGCCAAAGAAATCAATGATGACATTCATTACTAATTATGAACAAGATATTAATCTATCTTTATGGCTTTATTCCTATAAAAAAGTAACCACCTTAAGTAATATGTGAAATAGATAAGTCCTTATATAAATGGGCTAACCATTTTTTTTTTGTATTAACAGTATAAGTATTCATCAGTGGCGGATCCAGAAATTTTCATAAAGGGGGGCACTGACTACCTAAGAGAGGGCCTGCTCCAGTCATCCTTCAGTGATTCCCTAAATAATCTATTTTTCCCACAAAAGGGGGGGGGGGGGGGGGGGCTGGGCCCCCTGGAAAACCCTCCAAATCCGCCTCTGTCCATGGAAATACTTCCTTCACTGTTAATAGTTATTTCACAACAATTTTACACTCGTGGTCCTCATCAGTAACCTTGCAGTTTATCAAGTTATTTTTTCTCTACACAATAAGCAAATTAGTAAATTTCAAAATTATACCATTGCCAAGTTAAGATAATATTAGCAAAAGTAAATGAAATCTACATGTAAATAACTGTTAAATGAAAATATTATAAACTAAATGTAAATAGATTAGAAGAATAACCTAACAAATAAAAATAATTAAATAAAAAAATATATCACCAACAAAATTACTTTAATTCAACACTCAACCAGCCTTCTCTGAATGGTTAATTCACACAAAAACTGACTACTCATATAGTCCTCATTATGCAAAGAAAACATCCATTAATTAATGATATACTCACCTATTCATGATTTATTGTGATTTCAAAATTTTGTTCCCTTAAGTTTCACATGTTTATACATATCATATTTTCTACTATTGATTATTAACTACAAATATAATTTTGGGCATTTTGAGTCAGTGCATTGTATTATCTGATTTCATCCACTCAGTTTGGTTTCACATTTTGGCCCTGGTGATTTTTTTTAAATATGAAAGTTATTGTGCAATAAAAATGATTTTTAAATAGCTGAAGAATAATATAGCCTTCAAAGTGGGTTTATATACAGGAATCTGATGTTCAGTAGTTGTCATTTGTTGGTGTGGTTCATAAGTGTTTCTCGTTTCTCCTTTTTAATATAGATTAGACCGTTGGTTCCCCGTTTGAATGGTTTTACACTAGCCATTTTTGGGGCCCTATATAGCTTGCTGTTCGGTGTGAGCCAAGGCTCCGTGTTGAAGACCATACTTTGACCTATAATGGTTTGCTTTTACAAATTGTGACTTGGATGGAGAGTTGTCTCATTGGCACTCATACCACATCTTCTTTAATATATCTATTATATGAACATCAAGATTATTTTTGAATGTTTTAAAGGCCATTTTCTGATTGACAGTCCGTATTTCCACATCCTTACTGTACACCCATAGGCAGATTGTTACCATGGTTACACCAAAAAGAGATTATATTTCACCATTTTAACTATTGAAAATCAAATCTACCGAAGATACTGTTTCCATATATATGCACATACGCAACACAAACATTAAGCCTTATTTGATAGAAAGCAAGGGAAAGAGGGTGTCAATTTTAAGTGTTTGTCCTAACTGTGTATTGCTACCTCAGATCTCCAATGAAATTGAGCTTTTCCTCTCAGTCTGAACTCTGTGTTTTAATCCAAAAACTTTGTGTTTTAATCGAATAATAACAAATTTGGAAAATCTGTGCAAATTAAGTTTTGCAAAAATAGGTACATGATTCTGACAGACAGTCTGTATAAACATCACTATTATACAATTATATACCAAAGAACATTCTATTTCTAGACAATATATCTGTCACTCTCAGAAGAAATATTTGGAAAAGCTTAATTTACGACCTATTTAATGAAAAGATGAACAAGAGCTTTTCAGATATTCAAAATATAGATCATATCTTTACTAAACAGTTCAAATGCATACACACCTGATAAATGTCTATCATATACACCAATGAGGATGATGACAACACACAAATACCTTTGACAACTAAAATATTTGCTTTCATACATAAAAAGGGTAAATTTATAATTAGGTAATGTAACGTAAGGTTGCTGGATCATTTATCTCAAGCCTCCTTTTATTCATCTGCCTCTCTTCAAATATTTCTGAATCCAAATTGCCATTTCATTTATATCTAATGAAAAACTGGAAATAGCCTTATATTATAAGTATAACTTTTTATACATTGTGACTTGGATGGAGAGTTGTCTCATTGGCATTCATACCACATCTTCTAATTTATACATGTATATATTATAAAAAAAATAGTTCTTTCATTGCTGTTTTTCATCTTGATGTGTGTTGGTCTTTCTTATTAGCAGTTAAATATGAACATATCCTTCAGTTTAAAAACTTAGTTAAGTACAAATAAAGTCCTTGAATAAAGACAGATTAAGAAATAATATGTTTATGCAGTTTGTGAATAAATCCTTGACACATGATTTCTGTAACTGACAGTGTCTATTTATAAAAGGTTATATTTAACTTGGTATTATGCAAATAGTAGGATATCAATATAAACATTATAACTTAATCATTTCTTGTGTTTTATTTTTAATCATTAAACTGGAAATATTTCTTCAGTTTTGAGCTATTATTTCATATAACTTTACTTTTCCTCACAGATTGAGCAAAAGGAGAGAAAGAGATACTCTTGAATCCTAAGTTTACAGAAATGGAAACATACAGTTTTTCAAAAACTTTTCAAAATATTACTGAAACAGATGAGGATTCTTAGGATGACTATGGTAATATGGTACAGCAGATTATTATATACTGTGGATTAATAATTATCCTTGGATACAAATTTTCGTCAATTTCCTGGTTATAAATAATCAACCAATTTAAATGCACAATGAAGTGCAAGTTTTCTATAGGCTTGTAAGCAGACTTTGGCTAAACCACGAAATCAAAATAGCCATAAAAAATACAATATTTTCTAAATCCTTGAAAATTGGTACCCACGAAAATATACGAATCCACAGTATAGTATTCAAAAAGTAAATGTATAAATTTTACTTTTATTTACATGTGAAACCATTTATTTGTTAAACTATTTTCTTGTATCTGATGTTAAAACCTAAGTAGCTTTTGGTGGTCACTAGATCTCAATAAAATTAAATTCTAAAAAATTGACCAGATGCAAGAAAATTAGTTGGGGTGTATTTTATTCTGATGTGGGGGAAGAGAGAGAGAGAGGGGTGGGAGGGGGGGGGAGGTACTGACAAGTTTGATCATGTCAAAATTCATCAAGCCTTTCATATCTATGTTAAATTTCTTGATGATTGAATAGGGTGATATGATCTGGACACATTAGTGCAGAAATGAAACTTGTGCTGTCACTATGATGTCATAAACATGTTTTACCTAAAGTAACCATTTTACACATAGTTTTTTGATAAATTGGATATAAGCCAATGCCTTACCGTGCAAGATATTTCCCTTACATTAAAATCTTTGAATAAAACATCTTAAAGCAAACTATTTTTTTGGGTAAGTCCTTGGCACATATCTAAATACTATTGACATTATCTTATAGTGAATCTATTTTGGCAGTTGTTGCTGTTTTGCAAAAATTGCAAAAAGTTTGGGCCCATAACAAAAATACATTAGACAATATTCAAAAATATAAATACCAGTGGCATATCCAGAAATTTTCATAAGCCCACTGACTGCCTAAGAGGGGGCCCGCTCCAGTCATGCCTCAGTGATTCCCTATATAATCAACCAAATTTTGCCCAGGCACCCTGGACACCCCCTAAATCTGCCTCTGAATATTGATATCTGACAGATTAATGTCTTATGATCATCTGAAGGATGTTATATGGTAGATTCATAATACTTTTTGATTTTTGATTTTTGAATTCAATGGGTATCATAAATGACATTATCATATCATCTCCTTTTGTTACATCTTTAACTCATGTGCTTTGCAATCTTATTTTAAAATTTTTCACTCTGAAGGAAAATATGGTCACTCAATGAGATGTTTGGACCAAAATATGTTTCACCTTCTGAAAAGCTGACCTATTCAGGTATTTTACAAAACCAGTGAACCTTAACTTGACATTAAGGTCATCTGAAAATGCTATAGCATACAAAATATTGAACTAATATTTTGCCATCTAAAAATAAATCTTTGTCTGCTTTCTTACATGTGTCAAACAGGCATTTTATAGCAATAAATATACCAATTTTAAAACTAAATCAACAAATGTTACTAATAAGGCACTAAAATCATGCTTCACCCTCTTGAGGCCAAAGGGACACTTATGTCCATATGTTTAATGTATGCAAGCATCTGTTCATTAATGTATCTCTTTCAAATAAAATATTGAAGATTAAACAGTGTAATATTTTTCTTCAATTGGTCATTAATGTAATGTCATGACATCATATATCAAATTGGGTGGTAGTTGGACATGTGACATCACAGACGTCAAGCTGCCATATTTTATGGCACACAAAATGCAACCTTATTAAAGTAGCAGCAGCAAGAGGGTTAATGTCTTTACTCCATCTACTGATTAGCAGTAGCATTAATCAATATTGGTTGAAAAACATTTTTTGTATAGGTTATTGATGTGTAATTTAAACTGGGTTGATTAACTCAAAGCAAATTAATGGCAGCATGAGTTTTAGGTAAAGTTTTTATTCAGCAGCCCAGTTCAAACATTGATTCTAGAAAAATTGAGATGTCACTATCATGTCATAATATTGTTTTTGTCTTTCTATTTCAACTTTCTTGGAACACTAAAATATTCCATCCATGCTTATTGAGCATAAATATATCTAATTAAAATTGACAAAGTGTTTACATAGGATACAAAAGCAACTTCAGTGGCATTATCTATTAAAATGTAAATGAAAGAAAAAATTCAAACCAACCAATCACATTCAAGAATTTGTAGAAAATCTAGTAAAAATTATATACTGTATATTCAGAAATTATTGCAAGGTTTTTATTTATGCGAAAAATGCAACTAGATGAGTATCACAATAATAAGAACTCGCATTCTGATATCTTATACATATATCTGTATGCAGATTTTCCATGAAATCACAATATTTTATCTCTCATTTTTGTCCATTCATCATTAAACTGTTAACACAGACATAAAACAAGTCTCGCCTTTTTGTCATTTTGATAGTAAAATGCAAATGTTGAAATTAAAATAGCAATACTTTACATGTAAGCTATTCAAAATACTCAAAGTCAATGAACCATGACTCAAGGTACAGGGTCAAACAATCCCCATGGAGTAAGATGTACCAATGTGAATACAACTGCATGCCATATATCACTGACGTATCACTAGTGGTTCCCCATAAACTGACCTAATCACAAACTAATACATGTAAACTAAGCAAAAGTTTCAAAGTTAATAGACCATGGCCATGACTGAGGGAGCAGGGGCCAAATAATCTCCATGGAAATGAGATATGCCAATGCTATTACAACTACATACCAAATATCATTGACCTACCACTAGTGGTTCCCCATAAACTGACCCAATCACAAACTAATACATGGTTGACGATGCTGCCGCCGCCGGTAACAACATACCTATGTTTCGCTTTTCGACTCTGTCAAGACGAGACAAAAATAACAATAATGAATGCACACAATAATTTCTGAATTTACAGTAAACTGAATGGAAGATAACACTTCATCAGTGGGGATATCGCAAATGTTAATTTCCATATCAAATTACCAGTACATGTGTTTAGGATAACATGAATTGACTCATCAAGGACCATCAAGGGACTATTACTTTATCAACGGTTCTGAAATGTCATTTTAGCCATGTCTTGAAGATACTTCATCTTCATCAATGTACATTGAAGATTAATCTTCATATCAATTTACATTATAAATATCAAAGTATACATTCAAATTTAAAAGATACCATTTAAGCTCTTTCAAAATGCAAATATTTCAATGATATATCTTGCATTAATTTTTCATTGATATAAAAATAAGGAGATGTGGTATGATTGCCAATGAGACAACTATAAACCAGAGTTCAAATGATGTGGATGATGTGGATATGAACAATTATAGGTTGGTCACAGATATATATATATAAAATCAAATTGAGTAGTTTTTTTCACAGAATACTCAGAAATTAATGTGATGTTTTATTAATGCAAAACAATATGTCAATGGCTGAAGACTGCATTTATTCTAACCATCCATCACGCATTCCATATTAAGATCTATCTTAATTTCCTTTCAATTTGATTTAACAAGTTAATTCAGATTTTTAAATATAACACACAAAAATTCAAATATTTGCAGTGCTATAAAATAGTCATTTTTCAGCAGCGAAAATGACCTCTAATGAACTTTATAAAGAAAGAAAAAATAATACAAATATAAAGTTGAGTATGCACAAAACCATGCAAAATTATAATGACAACAGCTAGCATGTCTACACACAACAAAAACATTCACATAAATTCCTAATATATGTATAGTGACTTCAAGTAGCCTGCATTGTTCACATGCCAGTCAACTATAATAATTGAAATTATACCCTGACTGATCTGTAATGGACAATCTAACCCACGTTTGTTTCAAATAAGAAAAGAAGTGCTAAAAGCTAACATCTTAAAGGTCCCTTCATGTTAGTGTAATTCATCTAAGGACTATCCCCACAAAAATTGGGAAAGTAATTACTGTAAATTAAGAAATTATTGAAAGGTTTTTATTAAAGAGAATAATGCGACTGGGTGAGCATCGCAATAATAAGAACTCGCATTCTGATATCTGATCCATAAATCTTAATGCACATTTTCCTGAAATCACAACAAATAATCTCACATTTTTGTCCATTCTTCAAAATCGCAACAATAAATGCACGCAATAATTTCTGAATTTACAGTATTCAATAACTTTCAGCCAACAGCCATAAACGAATGAAATATTGGGATCACTCAATAAAATTATAAAAGGTAATTGTCATAGAACTAGTACCATTCAAACTGTTCAAATTCAAGAATTTGGATATCAAATACCAGTGGTTGATCAATATCAGGTTACATATTTTCAATGATAAAAATCTTTGCCCATAGAAATTTTTCTTTATAGAGCTTGTGACCATGTCAGTTGACAAAAAAGAATCATTGCATGAATATAATTATGAGAAAAGTCTCTTCGGATCTAAGTTCAGTTAAACCTACCCAAACATTTATAGACTTCAAACATTTTCAAAATTTTGAGTTGAAAAAACAACCAAAATAACAAATGATGTAAAGTAATGCAGCAGCTCACATGATTCTTTGAATTAAATGAGGAAAAATAGTAATGTGTAATAAAGTAGGGTCAAATGTGCAATTTCAAACAATGAAACAAATTTCTCAAAAACACACAATTCAAGGCACAAATAAACATTCTAAATTAATTTGAGTGTAAAAGTCTGTGCAGTGCAAACATAACAAAATCTGAGGTAAACGGTAACTAAGGTGCATTTCATATAGACAACCTTGCAATCTGATCCTTCAATCCTGACATCAATCCATCACATCTGTCTAACAGAACCTGCAAAATCAACAATATTAAAATACAACAATCTTTGAGTATTCAAATATAAATAAACTGTTAACACAGAGATATGTCTCACCTTTTTGTTATTTTGATAATGTAAATGATGAAATTTAAATACCGGTAGTAATACTTTAACATGTAAGTTATGCAAATATTCAAAATCAATGAACCATGACTGAATGTGCATGGCTAAACAATCTCCATGGAAATGAGATGTGCCAATGCTAATACAACTGCATATCAAATACCATTGACTTATCAGAAGTCGTTCCCTTTAAACAAACCTAAACACAAACATTAACTTGTAAACTATGTAAAAGATTCAAAGTCAATGAACCATGATGAGGGGGTGGGGCTATATAATCTCGATGGAAACAAGACTTGCAAATGCCAATAAATTTGCATACCAAATATCATTGACTTAACATTAGCGGTTTATCTTAAACTAATCTAATCACAAGCTAATACATTTAAACTAAGCAAAAGTTTCAAAGTCAATAGACCATGATTGAGGAAATGAGATGTGCTAATGCTTATACAACTGCATACCAATTAACATTGGCCTACCACTAGTGGTTTACAATAAACTAGACCTAATCACAAACTAATACATTGCTGACGCTGCTGCAGTCTACCAGTCTGTAACTAAGGAAAGCCACCATTTTGAATTCTGATTTTTTTGGTATGTGCCTTAAAATCTTTTTTTGTCAATATTCAAACCATTCAGAAGGGTACAATAAGTATAAATACGTCTAATGTTTATGTTTGACATCAGGAGTATACCTATGACATCACATTGTTTAGATGCAGGATTGATGCAAACATATATAATTTATAAATAGCATATATCATACAATCTTGATGATTTCTTATCAGAAGGAATCTATCTCTTTATAAATACAATTATAGATTATGTGATTAAATAATTGCAGGACATTAGCTAAACCAATATATTTCAATATGGTTCCGAACATCAACCTAGCATTGTTCTATGAAAACAATGATATTAATTGTGTGAAGATGAAGAGGGAAGCCGTGGACATTGGATTTTGCTTTATTTTAATTTTTTAAATGATTTAACATTTTCACAGACTTTTTCATTTATGGCATTTTTAAGCCAAAATATTTTCGAAAATGGAATTTATTTTAATATATAGCATTAGAATAAAGAGAACTGTCTTGAATTTTAAGTTTGGCCTTATTAAAACTTGATTTAACTGTCGCAAATATCCGTTTACCTAGCTCTGCTATGGATCACTAGGTAAACTCAATTTGCAACAATAAAATCTATGTTTTACAAAGGCCAAGCTTAAAATACAATACAGTTATCTCATAATTTACCTGTATTCTATCCACTATAATTTACCTGTATTCTATTCACTAAAATTTACCTGTATTCTATCCACTATGTGAGGGCCTCAGGGAAGATTAGTTGATTGTATCTAACTGAGTTTACCCTCTTTAAATAAAGAATTTATTATTATTATTATTACTATAATTTACCTGAATTCTATCCACTATAGTTTTTCTTTTCCCTCTTCCTCCTTTATTACTTTCCTCAAATCTTAAGGCATCTAGAGATTCTAATTGTTTCATAAATGTTTCTGAAGTTCCTCCTAGTCTTTTCTTTAATTGATTTAAGGCTGGTAACTTCAAGTCATCATTTATATAACCCTGAAAAGATCAAATCATCAATTATATAACCCTGAAAAGAAAGTCTTAAACAATATTTCATATCTTTTACTTTTTAGTATATGATAAAAATGTTGAAATTCTGACAATAAATAGACAATAAAATATTAATGTACACATTAAAAAAAATAAGAACAGGATTTCTATATAAAAAAGCAAATTAAGCATTTTCCTAATAACTGAACTTGTCAAATAAGGTTCTTGTATAGAATTGATATCAACCAGTCAAATTTCTAAGGGTCTATTATGATAAAGAGAAGTAGCTCAAATAAAAATCTTAAACAATTTTTTCAAACGGTATGTCTGAAGTCTATTATGACTGATGTGGAACATCTACCATCTTTTGAGATCTCAATTATGTGAGATTACTTTTAATCTCCATCATTGCAAAAAAAGTACCTAACACATATTTAGAATTTAGAGTCTCTTAAATAACGGTGTACCGGTAATAGAGAACTATACCACAAGTACAAACAAACAAACAAATTACAAATACAATTATACCAAACCAAAGAGTGCCTTCAATTACTGAATGCAAGCTCAAAGTACTTAACCTGCAGAGATGAACACATGCAGTCCACTATAATATCCATGAAAATTATATTGAAAATGTAAGTTGGCAGTCCATAGTTTAACCCCCAGTTTTGGGTGAAGTACACGTTGCTCAATCTTTAGTTTCTTCTGTGATGTTTTATCGTTGTTGTTTGACTTTTCATAAAAAAAATGTCTGTTTTTATTGGACTTGTGATTTTTGATTGCCTCCTTCTTTCTTTTTTTTAAATACAGGCAACATTTTTCAGGACTTATATTTGAATCAGAAAAAAATTACTAGTTTGAAATATTTGATACAATACAATTACATATTGTTAAACCACAGGATCTGACCCTGCCTATATATTATTACTTAAATGGTACTTGTACACTGTGATGAAGTAATCTTAAGTCTGAAACATTTCCACAATTCATTGATTCATTTCATTAACATTTTCATACACAGAAATTCAAGTCAATCATGTCAATACATTAGCTTTAATATAAATTTTTCCTCCTTAATTCATAAAGAAAAAACATATATTATTGCCATTATGATAGGTATGAAACAATTTAAGGTGAGCCTACAGCTTAAACATTTCAATAGTTTACTTACTCTATGAATACCATCTAGTTCATATGTAACATCACTCAACCTCTTTTCATTTTTCTCTACATCTTTTTCTATATCTAATAACTTCTTCATTTCTTTATCCTCTTGAGGATCTGGCTATAAATAAAATGTGGAAAACAAATGTTAGTTCCAAATATCATTTGATATTATTTGAGAATTATAAAATAGATATAAAATCGTCTGTTCAGATTATCATATTTTCTCTAATGCTGATTTGGACAAGTTTGGTAAATTAATAAAATGCTCATTGGTTAAATTTTCCTAGTGTAATTGTTCACCATACTTAAACTTTTTTCGTAAAATATTAAAACAAAAAATCAATACTTTTTTTTGATAACTTTGCAAATTAAAATATACCTTTTTCCCCAATAACATTATTGTAGCACCATCCCTGACACCTATTTCACTCAATATATCACCAGGATCCTTTAAAGTCTTTCCTGAAAATCATATCTTAATTTATTCATAATTCTAATATGACACTCTTCTTTCACTTTGTAAACAAAGGCATATTCTCATTAAAAAAAAATTCATTTGGATACATATGCTTGACTTCAAAATTAAACTTCCAATGTCATTTGTGTTTTAAGAGAAAGATCTAAATGGACATTTCCAATAATGTTGCTTGCTAGAAAATTAAATGCATCTTTTCTAAAAAAAATGTTTTTCTTGTATTTGCACACTTTTTAAAAATGGTTGGTTTTATAAATTATTTTTGCTTCATTAAATCAAAATGACAGCCTATTGAATGAAAACAATTTTGAATTTTCCCATTGAAATAGACAAAAATTCTTTCATATCCTGCTCTTTACACATTTTAACTAGGTGGGCATTAAATTTGTCAACATTTTACCCCTCACTAACAAAGTGTAAAGATATTGACAAATATAATGCCTACCCGTGTTAAAATTTGCATAGACCATGAAATAAACGAATTATTTCTTAATTTGTAAGGGGTTGATTGACTAATATTTTTGAAAAAAATGAAACAGATTTTAAGTTCAGATAAAATATTTATTTTACACCATTAATATGAGACTTAACAGAAATATGTACCTGTATTTTGAAGAAGAAAAAAGGAACTTTTCAAATTATTGACAACATAATTATGTGCAAACACATTAAATAATAAAATAAACCAACTAGAACTTTTAAAATATCTTGAATATATACTTTCTAAAATATGCTAGTGTATTTTTTTATGATATGGGCTATGAGTTGTTGTGGTTGTTTGCATAAGGTCCAGTGGCAAGTATTTCATTGAAAACCTGGATAATGGATTATAATTCAGCTGGTCAATTGAATCAACTGAATCAGTTAGGATGGAAACAGTTTGAATCAAACTGAAAACAGCAAGGTGTTGCTTTGGGCGCATTGCATTTGCGCCACAAGGTTATATTTCATTTGTGCCAAAAAATAAAAACTACATTTGCGCCATTTTACAGGTAACATATAACGGAAAAGTTTAAAATATCATTGCAACATCGTGAATAAGATTTTTTTTTATTGTATCCTCCCTGGGTACTAAGTGAGCTCATACTCAATCCTAATATACATGTGAGAGTCACTTAGGTTTAAAACTATATAGTGTTCATATGTGTTAGGTGTAAAGATGGACATTGTCAATTCTGAGATAAATAGGCTGTTAGTTCCCTCAATTGGATTGTTTCATAATTTTCATGTTGGGGCTGTTTATAGCCGACTATGCAGTGTGTGTTTTTCTCATTTTTGAAGGCTGGACTGTTGCCTATAATTGCTTTCATCCACTTCATTTGAACTTTGGTGGATACCACATGTCCTTATTTTCATATAGAGGAAACAAGTCTGTAATTTTTTATGCCTACACATCCAGTGTACAAGAGTACATCCGAGTCCTTGCTTACAAGTCTTGTGTCAGAACAAACTTCTGGTTTTACTCCAGTTTATAGTGCTTTCTTTTAGGTTTTATGATCTCGTTAATTTATAACAGAACTGTGTTTTCACATTATTATGAAAAGTCTCTTATTAAGAACATATCAGTGTATTGTGCTTTCATTATGGTTACGATCACTGATTTCGGAGGAATATGTTTAATTATGCAATCAAAAACTGTGGTCTTTTTAAAGTTATTATTAAAATTCTCTTTTGAATAAAACTATTTTTTATACTATTTACCTGTATTTACCTGTATTATTGGCGCAAATGAAATGTTTTTATTTTGGCGCAAATGAAATATGGTTTGTGGCGCAAATGAAAGATTATTTTGGCACAAATGAAATGCCAATTGGCGCAAAAGCAAAGCACTGTCACTTTAATGAGGGTACATTTTCCCTGTTTGTCTGATCTGAAGCACTGCGTTGTTCAACCAATGGAAAACTGTTAAAATCAAATGCTATTTGTATTTGAATGTGGAAAAAATCAGCCTCATTAAATATGTTAAAGACAATAAATAAAGTTATGAGATTTGACTTATCAAATTTTATAAGTATTTCTAAGAAACCTTCAGAAAAAAATTATGAAACTGGCAAACAGTATTGATCCCTTAAAATGTGCTAAGGTTGTGCATATTTCTGTTTTTATTTGACCACACAAAAACAGATAATACATAGAATTTTAAATGATGCTCCCCCATGAAAGAATATTTATATTTTTTTCTCTAAAAAATATCTTATCCTAAATAAAAAGCTATAACTAATTATTAGATGCACATCAGTCTATGAATAGCAGACTCTCTTCCTATATTAACTGAACAAGATTCCATACTATACTGAATTGAACAAGACTTACAAGTGATATTAATTGAAAGATTCTGCATTCAGTTGAAAAAAAATAATTGATGGATAAGGGGAGATAACTCAGTAAATATACAACTTTCAGACATTTTTTAGAATATTTATCTGTGGTTACCAGGTCAATATAAAATCAAATACCAGTCACTTTCATTGTTACAAGTAAGAAAATCATTGAAAACCTGTTTTTATTACTTTACAGAAAAATAATCTATGTCTTTCAAACTGGCGTCCACTACTGAGGTCATTTTATGCAGTGTTAATTCAAGTTTTAAAAAATTCTCATACTGCATCATCCTCACAGTTCAAGAAAGGTTAATCTACATTTGACAAATGAAAATTGTTTAAATCATACTTCAAGCTGTTTGTATTCCTTTATATACTAAAGAGTTAATTCTGTTATATTTAGCAAGAGGAAGAAGACACTACTCCTCTACTACTAAAAAATCAAAATGGCTTCATAAATAATAATTAATAATAGTCTTATTTAGCAATAACTTTCTATGTTTGTTAGGGAGGAGAAGAAAGTAAAAATAAATAACTGATGTTTTATCACATAATACCAGCATTGGAGCTGAAATGAAAATTATTCTTTTCACCACTAATCCAAACATTATCATATAAAATTGAGACTGGAAATGGGGAATGTGTCAAAGAGACAACAACCCGACCATAGAGCAGACAACAGCCGAAGGCCACCAATGGGTCTTCAATGCAGCGAGAAACTCCCGCAACAGGAGGCGTCCTTCAGCTGGCCCTTAAACAAATATGTATACTAGTTCAGTGATAATGGACGTCATACTAAACTCCAAATTATACACAAGAAACTAAAATTAACAAGAGTGGACACACTGAAATGTCTCGCCTGTTTTAGTGTTCATAATTGAATTTATGTTGAAAGTAAAAAAAATAAGTTTATATAAGCTTTACATTAAATTAACATTTTAATGATGAATGAACATGAAGTCAAGGTGAGATAAACCCTATCAGACAAACATGTAGGCCGTACAATCATTCCATACACCAAATTATTTAACATATATTGCCTAAAGTATCTTAGAAACAAACCTCATTGAGGAAACTGAACTTTGACCAATGAACCATAAAATGAGGTCAAGGTAAGATGACACCTGTCAGACAGACATATACACATAACATTCATTCCATACAGAAAATTTTATGAACTTATCACTTATCTGCCAGTTGGAAATGTGAACCTTACGATCATTCTATACACCAAATATAAAAGACCTATTGGTGATAGAATTTGAGATATGGACTTTATCATGAAAACTAAATCTTGTTCACTGGTCCATTAAATGATGTCAAGGTCAAATGAAATATGTCTGACAGATATGTGAACCATGCAAGGTACGCACATGCCAAATAAAGTTATCATTTTACTCATAATAATTGAGAAAATCACATTACAAAAACCATACAGTTTTTTTTCCAAGTAGTTGCTGGACCAAGAAAATGAGGTCAAGGACAATGGACATATGACTGACAGAAACTTTGTCACATAAGGCATTAGAAATATTAAGCTGTAAGTAATGAGATAATGACGCTGCTGCTGCCGATGCCCCTGCCAACGCTGCTGCTGCCGCCCCTGCCACCGCCCCTGCCGAAGATCACTATCATAGTGTCTACATACTACAAATTGTATGGGTTATTATCCACTATATGAAAATATGCTGAATAACTGTGGTTAAGGTTAAATAACATAGTGATATACCATTGATATTGATAATTGTGATTAAACATGGCAGTGATGAGTGATATTATGATTGTTAGATTTTAACACAAGAAGAATATTTAATCACAATCTTTGCAAGTTAAGTGCTGAAAAGTGAAATAGTTTGACATGTGATAATGTTACATCTGCAGTGAGTTATAAAAACATCATAACTGCTGAAAAGGAAAATTATTAATATTAACTATTACTGAAAGAGAGGAATTTTCTTGATACCAGATCAACCAGAAAATCAGTAAATGTGATTCTGTTGTGCAAACAAAATTTCAAAAGTTCTTCAATCTGTACATATTCAGCCAATTAATCTTTATGAAGGGACTGGAGTGAACTGTATTCTATGTTAAACATTCATGCATGAGTGACCTTATTTTAACATTTTCACACCTTCCAATGTTTTTGTTAATCACGGTTTAGTAATGATCCCTTAAAAGTTTTTATTATTTATTATCATTATTAATGTTATTTAAAGATTTTTATCAAATAATCTATTTCAATGTAAGTAATCAGCAGTTAAATAATAAAATACATTCCATACACCAAATATAGTTGACCTATTACTTATAGCATCTGAGAAGAAGACCAAACAACAGAAACTTAACATTGACCAATGAACCATGAAAATAAGCTCAAGGTCAGATGAAACCTGTCAGACAGACGTGCACACCTTACAATCATTCCATACACCACATATAGTTGACCTATAACTTATAGTATCTGAGAAGAGGACCAAACAAGAGCAACTTAACATTGACCAATGAACCATGAAAATGAGGTCAAGGACAAATGACACCTGCCAGACAGACATGTACACCTTACAATCATTCCATACACCAAATATAGTTGACCTATTGCTTATAGTATTAGAAAAACAGACCAAAACACAAAAACTTAACATTGACCAATGAACCATGAAAATGAGGTCAAGGACAAATGACACCTGCCAGTCAGACATGTACACCTTACAATCATTCCATACACCAAATATAGTTGACCTATTGCTTATAGTATTAGAAAAACAGACCAAAACACAAACACTTAACATTGACCAATGAACCATGAAAATAGGTCAAGGACAAATGACACCTGCCAGACAGACATGTACACCTTACAATCATTCCATACACCAAATATAGTTGACCAATGGCTTATAGTATTAGAAAAACAGACCAAAACACAAAAACTTAACATTGACCAATGAACCGTGAAAATGAGGTCAAGGTCAGATGAAACCTGCCAGACTGACACGTATCCCTTATAATCATTCCATACACCACATATAGCTGACCTACTGCTTGTAGTATCTGAGAAACAGACCTAATCACGTAACTTTAACCTTGATCACTGATCCATGAAATGAGGCTGAGGTCAGGTGAACCCTGTCTGATGGACATGTAGACGTTGCAAGGAACCCATATACCAAATATAGTTATCCTATTACTCATAATAAGTGAGAAATTTACATAACAAAAAAACTAAACTTTTTTTTCAAGCAGTCGCTGAACCATGAAAATAAGGTCAAGGAAAGTTCGTAACATAAGGTATTTGCATACAAAGTATGAAGCATCCAGGTCTTCTACCTTCTGAAATGTAAAGCTTTATACAAATAGTTTACGCCGCCGTCGCTGCCGGACAGTAATACCTATGTCTCACTTTCTGCGACTTTCGTCGCAGGCGAGACAAAAATGATACAAGACTAACAAATACCAGAGGCTCCTGACTTGGGACAGGTGCAAAAATGTGGCGGGGTTAAAAATGTTTTTTGAGATCTCAACCCTCCCCCTATACCTCTAGCCAATGTAGAAAAACAAATGTACAACAGTACACACAGTAAAACTCAGTTTAAGAGAAGTCCGAGTCCGATGTCAGAATAGGAAACAAAAGAAAATAAACAAAATGACAATAATACATAAATAACAACAGACTACTAGCAGTTACTGACTACATTATACATGTATCATTCATTTCATTTTACCATGTTTACCTTTATGAACAATTTTCTGACATTCCAGAGGTATTTCAAACATCTCTACCATTTTTTCCATTAAATGTTGTACTTTCAATACCTCAGAGGAATTGGCGGGTAGTTCTAAAATAATACTGTGTCGGACTGAGCCTGTAAAAGAAGCAAGATGTTTTGTATAAATGAGAATAAAACTTAAACTTAACATGCTGTTTGTTCTAGCAACATTTTTATTATCTTATTAAACTTAATCTAAATATCTTCTAATTTTCATATTTAAATCATACTATATAAGTATGTTTCAGACAAATAATTTGCTTTTAATTGATATCAATATGAGATGAAAGATGTTGGGTATACATTGTACGTCATTGAGAAGGCACTGGTCTCCCCCAAAATAACAAAAAGACATCTGGAGGGCACCATACAGTATTCAACAATATGTCAAGATGTAAATCATTCTGAGAGTATGAAAAATACTAAATAAATTAAATTAACAAACTATGATTAGCCATCAACACCAAATTAAACTCCAAATATTTATCAAATGTTAAGATATAACATACAACCACTGACAAGGTTCCTGACTTGTGACAGGCACATGAATATTTGGCTCGGTTAAACTTCCTTGTTGGTTTTTTTTTAGATCTGAACCCTCCCCCTTCTTAATCTACAGATGGCAAAAAACACTCTAGATCTCTGGTCAGTAAATTATAGGATACATTGACCCATATAGCACATGGATTGGCCCTATTTTTTTTATATTGATCACATTTGTTATAAAATGGTATTTGGTTTTATATATTTCATGGTATTTGATTAGAATAAATTGACTCAGGTAGTATAACTATGTGCTTGATCTCCTTGATTTAATTTTGGAATTGATTGTGTGATCACCACCTCCTCTCCTAAAGTATGATACAGCAAGGATTTGTATGTCATATTTGTATGTGCATGATGTGCACTTCTTGCGACAGAGAGGTTTACCTTGACAAGAAGCATTATCTTGTCATTCATGTAATTAAGAGTAGCAATATGAATTATATCCCTGAACATATATTTATGTTTTCTACATTACCTTACTCATATTATATCATGACACTTTTATAAAAGGGAAATCAAAACACTGATGTGGGCACCAAGGGAATGTGAATATGGGCAATGTTATACCACACTAGTAAGACCAATTATGGAGTATGCTTGTATCATTTGGGACCCAATAACGCAGAAAAACATCAGAGAGTTAGAAATGGTGCAGAGAAGAGCAGCACGTTTTGTAACCGGTGACTACAGAACCACCAGTAGTGTAACCCAGATGCTTAAAACCCTGCAATGGATCGAATTACAAGAACGTAGAAAGAGAGTAATGACCATCATGCTCTACCGCATAATACACCATCTTGTTGCAATACCACCAGAGCAATACTTAATACCGAGGGGTGTAGCATTAACAACAAAAGGACATGACACCAGATTCCTACTACCCTTCTCGAGAATACAAAACCACCAGCAATCATTTTTTCCATCTGCAATTCGTCCGTGGAATGAACTACCATCTGCTGTCGTCACATCTTCCACTTTGGAAGGATTCAAAGACAGCCTCCCGACACCTGCTTCATGTTAGATATCTCAGTTTTAATTGTATATAACACCACGATGGCTTTTAACCGGATTTGTGTACATAGTATGTTGGAAAGATGTTTCCTGTGGGCAATGTGTAAATAGTCATTAGTGATAATACACCAGAGGTGGTATGCAAATTATTGGAAGAAGAAGAAATAGGTAATGGATCAACAAGTATGTGGGTTAACACGATTGTGGGTGAACAGACCCCTGATTCAATCAGTAAATGCCAAGTATAACAGAATATTCATGTAATTGAACTGGGACTATTACATGTATATACTATAAGTATAATAGTCCCAAAATTGAATAATGTAAAGTGCAGAGGCAGAATTAGGACGACATATACAGTTAAAGTATAGACTTTTTACATATTTCACTCCTATTGTTGGCTAGTTCAGGCCCTCAACTAATCCCTTTTGGCATTCTGTGCCCGGATGGATTTTCTGATTTGGCCGCCCTCAGAGGGCAGAAATCCAAAAAGGATTAGCCCTCCCCTAGTCCAAATACTTATGACGTTTTGTACGGCTTTTAGATAAACTTTTTTGGGATGCCTAGTCCAAATAATTATGATGTTTTGTACGGCTTTTTGGTAATTTTTTTCTAGACGGCATAATTATTTGGGTATCCGGTCGTTCCGTCCCCAAACCGATCCGGCCCCAAGTCGATCCGGCCCAAAGTCGATCCGTCCCAAGTCGATCCGGCCCACATCGATCCATCCCTACGTCGATCCAGCCCCATAATAAAATATGAATAAACTATATTGACTTTGGAGGATTTTGTGACAAAATTTAACAATTTAATATAAAAAGTATCGATGATGGATGACAACAGGTAAGTGAAGTATTGGAGTACCAGTCAAAGAATTATTTTAAATTAGCTGTATTTTAACCAAATAATTTGAAATAATGTAAAATGCCATTTTCCGTGTATCTAATTTTTATGCGACAATTCTTTACTTATAAAGATATTTTTCGCTCGTATTTACTGTAATATATTATTGATTATGTCAAAGTCATGTGATTCGCTACGGTGGAGTTGACCAATACGTCGAAAAAAACGTCACTCAGTCATTTTGAAATTCAAATTACAGTAACACATTGCTTAGGCTGAGGATGACAAGCATGACGCCTTCAAAGCTACAAAGTATTGAGCAAGAACGTATTGACTTCTATTTCACAATTCCACCCAACAGAAAGTAATATTCTATTACACTCTCATGAAAAAAAGTTCCACAGCAATATTATTTACCTACGAAAACATGTTTAACCCCACACGCCCCAGCCAAAAAATTTTAATACTACGCCCCCCTTTCCAAAATTCTGAATCCGCCCCTGTGAAAGACTTGTTAAGATCACAGTCAACTGAAAGAAAATGCTAATTAATGCTGATTAATGTTGATGTCTGTTGATTGTACTAAATTCTGTTATATACGTTTTCATTATAATTATACCCAATAATCTTGAAAACTTGTAATGAAAACATAATCAACGTATTTGTTTTAAAGTCATCTAAAGAAAATATTTGTCAAAGGCCAATTTTTTTTTACCGTACACCTTTTACATTATAATAAGATTCATAAACATTTATGAATTACAATTAATATATATCTTTATTTTTATTCCTTATAAATATATTTTTTTATTGGGCCGGATCGACTTTAAATATGGGCCGGATCGACGTTGGGCCGGATCGACGTGGGACGGATCGACTTGGGCCGGATCGACGTGGGGCCGGATCGACATGAAAGCATTATTTGGACTAGCCCTAGGCCTCCCCTTTTCAAAATCCTGGATATGCATCTGAAGCGTAGAAAAATTTATGGTAAAGCAATGAAGAATTTGCTAATACAATACAGATACAAATAGCATATTCAAATTTTTACTGATCATTGTAATTATAAATGAAATCAATTTAAGAATCTATGTCTATGAAGAAAATGACAGTCAATATGGATACGGTTTTGTCAGTTTTCATTTTCATACGGGTATTATGCATTGGTATATATATATGGACTAAATATTTGATAAAAACCATGTTTGATATTTAATTTCATGCGGTGTCTTTGGTCTGTCATGTTGATAGTTTTGTTTTTCAAGAATCAAATTTGATTGCCAATGTCAACATTCATAAATAAATTCTAAACCACAAAATAAAGGAGGAGACACAAATAAAATCCGGACACGATTATTCAGCTAAAAATTATTGATAACATCAACGTTCGTTTATTTTTTATCAATATTCTATCATATGTGTAACGTGTAACCAAAAAACATACGATTTGACCTAGGTCAATTTTAAATAATCGTTTTCAAGACATCAAAGGAAATAAATACATTTACTTGGCCTTTTTTTTATCAGTTATGTCCCTTGGTCGAGTTCTCTAATGTTAGCTTGATACGTAAAAAATAATTAGAGAAACTGCTGCTGTGAGATGCATTATTAATATTCATCAACTTTAGTTTTGTGTATGAGGCTAAATACAAGTTAAAATGAACGGAAACATATCAAATGACTTAAAGAAAAGACCAGCCGCCGCAGGTAAATGTGTGAAATTGATTTCATCAAGTTCAGAAAGGTCAAACGTCTGCATCCTTATAATTTTTATTGTGTAATATTTTTGGGATTAGGCTAGATTGCCTTAAAATATACTAACAATGTAAATAGTTTATATTCTGTACATGCATATAAATTTCTATCTATGCATATATATACAAATTGTACAAACTTGTCTTCAGAATTTTAGGATCTAAGCCATCTTAGTATAATAGTTATAGTCATCATAGTATATTTTTTTTTGCATATGGTCAGATCATATGCTTTCATACGTCATATGAATTCTTACTATGCTTGCTTTTTCAACGGAAATTGTGACGTCACAATGAGTTCTTAATAGCACAAAAACACATAATCAACATGATAATACGAGGAAACAATCACACAAAAATGAGAAAAATTCATGATGTATCTGCCACATTAATACTGAGGCTACATGTACATGCAGCGTTTTTATATACCACGCTGGGACTTAATATGCTATCCCAATACATAGATCTTCTGATTGGTCATGTTGGTGCATTTTCACTGAAAGCGTCAGAAAGCATTGTATCTTTACTTCACAATTGTCTTATGACAAGTTTTCCCCCAAATGATTCCAGGTCAACTCAGGGCAGTCCATTATTAAATAGAAATTGGAATCTTGTTGTGTTTTACATCCCAGCACTACTGTAAACATTGATGCCACTACTGAAGCCAGATTATAGATTGAGATACATTGTGCATGTCACCCGACTTTCTGTCATGTTGTACATGGTGTATCACATTTCTATCCTTATTGACATTTCCCAAGTGTTAATTAATGGACTTCATCAAATTCAAATCAACAACAGGTTAACCCCACCAGGTAAATTGATCACATGCAGCTGTAAACAATCAAAGTGTATCTTAAATTCCCCTTGGAATTTTATACTGCATGGATTGAATTTTACTGATATACATGTACAAATGTACAATATCTTTACCTGTTTACTGAAAATAATAAAACAGTGGGAAGAATCAAAGCACCACAAGCCAGATATTAAGAACTGAGTCCAAACATGTATACATGCCATCATACATTTCGTCAATCAGATGCTCCGAAGCCTGAGGCTTGTTACCTTCCTGGTGGGCCTGTGAAATTTATTCTTACAGGCCTATAGAATTTAAACAATAAATTCTGAAAAATGGGGTGTGGCCCTGTGGTCCAAAAAGTTTGCTGTAAAGACTGCATAGGGATCACAATCAGAATGTTTAAAATATTTGTATAACGCTTTATATTTCAGAATGAACAAGACCTGATGGTCCATACCTTGTATGCAGATTAAATGTTATGAAGTTTCTGTCTTTCATTTGTCCATTGTACTTGACCTAATTTTCATGGTTCAACAATTGACCTCTTGAAAAATTAAAAAAAAAAATTTTGTCATGTGAAGTACTCACTTACATGACTTATTATGAGTAAAAAGATATCTATATATACAATGGTATACAATGGGATATGGGCTCCTTGCAAGGTCTACATGTTCGTCAGACAGGGTTCATCTGACCTTGACTTCATTTCATGGATCAGTGATCAAGGTTAAGTTTTCTTTGTCGTCTGTGTCTCATATATATATATATACTATTAGCTATGCTTGTAGGTCAACTGTATTTGGTGTGTGGAATGTCCAACTGACAGGTTTCATATGACTTTGACCTTGTTTTCATGGTTCATTGGTTAATGTTAAGTTTTTGTTGTTTAGTCTGTTTCTCAAATACTATAAGCAATAGCTAGGTCAAGTATATGTGGTATGATAATGTGGAATGATTGTAAGGTGTACATATATGTTTGAATGGAAGGTTTCATCTGACCTTGACCTTTTTTTTCAAGGTTCATAAGACAGTATTACTGTTTAAAAGTTTTTCCGGTTTGGTCTTAGCGATAAGGTCACTATATTTGTTGAATGGAATGATATTAAAGTGTACACATCTGTTCGGCACATTCATCTGACCTTGACCTCATTTTCATCATCATGGTTCATTGGTCAATGATTAGTTTTTGTGGTTTGGTCTGTTTCTCATATACTATTTAAACACAAACGGTCAACTATGTCAATGTATCTTCGTGTATGAAATACATGCAACTTCATGGTGTTCATTTTGTCTGGCAGAATTTGTCTGACCTAGTAGGCCTTGACCTCATTTTTATGGTCAATATTCAATTTTCGTGGTGAGGTCTGTTTCTCAGATAATATAAGCAATAGGCTAACTATATCATGTATATTAGGTGTATGGTATGAAATTCAACCATGATAAGAAAAGCAGGTGAGTGCACTCTTGCTTATGATTTACAAAAAATGTAGATGTTTTTTTATAAAATCTTATGACCATTGACCATGTTTTATCATGCTAATGTATACATTTGTACACCAGTTCAAATTTGACTGCCATGAAAGTAAATTAAAACTTTTACCATAATTTATCATTGTCTCCGACCAAAACTGTTTGTTTTTAAACGCCCGTTTAAGGGACGTATTATGGTATACCTCTGTCCGTCCATTCATCGTCAACATGTCGGACATTAACTCAAAAACGCTTTAACCAATTTGCATGAAACTTTGGTGAATTGTTTATATCTATTGACGTGAGCTCCCTTTCATTTTTTACAAATTTTTGATTTTACGTTTCCGAGTTATCATGGTTATGGGGTTTTATTCATTAAAAAAAGGGGGATTTTCCAGTTTTCGGACAATAACTCAAAATTACTTTTACCAATTTGCACGAAATTTGGTGAATTATTTATATCTATTAACATGAGCTCCCTTTCGATTTTAATAAATTTTAGATTTTATGTTTCCGAGTTATGGGGTTTTATTCATTAAAAAAAGCGGGATTTTCCAGTTTTCGGACAATAACTCAAAAATGCTATCAGCAGTTCTCATGAAACTTTGGTGAATTGTTTATATCTATTGACGTAAGCTCCCTTTCGATTTTTATAGATTTTAGATTTTACATTTCCTAGTTATGGGATTTTATTCATAAAAAAGGGGTGATTTTCTAGTTTTCAGACAATACCTTTACAGTGCTTTGAGCAGTTTTCATTAAACTTCGGTGCCTGGTTTATATCTATTAAGGTAACCTCCCTTTAATTATTCATAAATTTCTGATATGACATTGAGAAGTTATTGAACATTATTCTTAGAAAATGCGACGGGTGTAGCATGCACTCATGGCGCAGCTGTTCATTTCAAATGTTTTTAAGTCAATTGGTGCAAATTTGAGTTCAGTTGTTTTTATACGCCCGTCAAAATTTTGACGGGACGTATTATGGTATACAAATGTTGGGCGTCTGTCTGTCTATCCGGCGTCCACATGTCACACCGTTACTTGAGAACGACTTTATCCAAATTTCATGAAACTTAACATAGTTGTTTCTTATGATGGTCAAACGATTTGTATACTTTTTGGTGAAATGAGATTAAAACATTTTGAGTTACGGGACTTTGTAACTAAAACAGGGGGGTGTTTTTTTCACATGTCGCGCCGTATCTCAAAAACCATTTATGATTATTGCTTAAAACTTTACACACTTCTTAGTTATATTAATCTAATTTTAAATGATCTGTATACTTTTTGGTGATGATTCAAAATTTTATTTTAGAGTTATTGAGTTTTTTTGTAAAAAAAGAGGGGGGGGGGGGGTTCACATGTCGCACCGTATCTTAAAAACAATATATGATTATTGCTTAAAACTTTACACACTTCTTAATTATATTAATCTAAAGATCTGTATACTTTTTGGTGATGATTCAAAATTTCATTTTAGAGTTATTGATTTTTTTATAAAAAATGGGGGGGTTTTCACATGTCGCGCCGTATCTCAGAAACGATTTATGATTTTTGCATAAAACCTCACACACAAGACGACGAGCTTATCATGCACTTGTGGTGCAGCTGTTTATTAAGTCTTTAGAACTGGAAATGACACATTTAATATAGCATCAGGCTTCAGGTTTTATATCCCCATATCTCAAAGGTCAGTATGTACTGACATAACACGAGTTGAATTCATAGAAACTGTAAACAGTATGACAGTATATTGACAGTTTTTTTTTATTGAAAATATGTTGTAGATAAACAATGACAATATTTCAACAAATGTGGGAATTAAAACATGTAAAATATGTTTTCAGAAGGGCTGACTTCACCTACATTTGCACCTGCTAAGTTAAAGTTCCCTAAACATATCCACAACCCTACAGATGATAAATTTCAAGAAATTGCTGAGTCTATGTTAAGGAGAAAAACAGATGGACCAGAACTTCATTATAAAAGCTCAGCACCGTATGAGATAGACGAATATCCGATAGAAGAAAATGAAAGCAAGAATTATTTTGAGAGACAACTGAGTACAAGGTGAATATATGGGTTGTTTACAAAATGTAGTTATTTAAAGTGACTCAGTGCTGAATGAATTTGCAGTAGTTTGTAATACTAAATATTTACTAACATTTCGTCAAAATCAGGTGTTTTAAGTTGAACCAAGGATTTGTATATATACATGTATAGTACTTACTATACAAATCCTTGGTTGAATACAAACTTTTGAGATGATCTCTGCAGATATATTTTTTACCTGATTATATTTCAATAACCTTCAAATTTGCAAGAAAACGACTGGGAATTCCTTTGATGAAGCAATTATTTTGTAAGTCTATTATTAGGATTATAGTGTTTTGATCTAGATATTTGAAATGGTTCCATATGTGCATGTTTGCAGTGGCATAACAGATTTCTGTGATCATATTTAATTATTTGCATTACTAAAAGACTTTTGTGATAGAGGTACTGATATCATATATATTGCCTAAAATTGGTCAAATCAAATTTTTTTACTAGAATTTATAATGAATAATTATACAAAAAATGGAGGGATTTTTTTGTGGCTTTATGCATGCATGATTGTAATTGACTCAACCAGAATTTATTAATTGCTAATTATAAGTCCCAACATCTTAATAATAAGGAACATACAGCCAAATGTCAAAAGTATATGTCTTTATAAATACATGTACTCAAATATAATATTAGTTCTGTTTAGAAAGACCTATAAATCCGTTTATTTGTGAACAAGTCTTTTAAACATGAATGATAGTAGATTTAGGATATTTATATTTTATGAGACAACAACCTAACAAAACAAAAATTAAAATAAATTAGAATCGCAATGCAGTCTAATAGAAGGCTAGATTTGATAATGCTAGAGTATGAGTTTTAGTCAAGGAAATTTTGTAATTTTATTCTCTTGCTTCAAATTTTTATTGGGCCTTGCTTAATCATCTTCAATTATTTGCATTGTGTGACTTATTCCCTTTATAACCATGATAACACTATACTTATATCATTGACATAGTTGACCATAGGCATAAATCATAATTTCATTTTTGTTTGTTTATAAGTTGGAGCAGGTAAGAAATAATTTATCATTGAATTGACTTTTTTTAACTGTTTGTTGTTGACATGGTTGAAATTGAAAATTTTTTCCACTGTTTACTCTTTTTTTTGTTACAATAGATGCTGAAAAAATAATTGATTGAAGATAATTAGTACATGCAATAAGCAAGGAATTTATATGTCCAAAACTTTTGAACTACTTTCTACCATGATTATAGTAGAAACATTCAGATATTCAATGCACTTGTTAAAATATGGCAAGAAAAAACTTCAGAGAAAGTTCAGTTAAGAGTCGGTTAGATTAGCAGAAACGTACATATTGGTTTTTTAGACTCAAGAAGTGTTTGTTTTGAACAGAAGACCATTTTTAGAGGTTTCATCTCATTTGATCACAATCAGATAACTATTTTCAGACCAACAGGATCTTTGGAGCAGATAGCCGAAGAAAAGTGAGTTTCAGGGAATGTTCATGTTGTGCATGATAATATTGTTTTTAAAAATATTGTAATGTTCTTTTGTTTCAGTTTTTATTGTTACATGTAGGTTAAGTAAAGCACATATATCTATGGTACATGTAAGCGTATGTATATATTCATCTGTGTGCTGAAACACAGTGAAAATTCTTGAAAATGTAAAAAAAATTAAATTCAATTTTATAAAAAATCAATGCAATTTAACTTTGTTTCTTTAGAGCTTTTTATGATAAAAACTGCAGAAATTTTTTTTGAGACACATTTTCTGTATGAACATGTTGGGAATATTCACTGTAGTAAACTGCATACAGATTTTTTAACAGGCTTTGAATATGGGATGCTTATAACTTACTTAGTTAGTGAACAGAGCAGAGTAACAAACATGTGTAATTTGGTCAGGTCGCATTGCACTAGAATTAATAAAGATCTAATTGTTTATCTTTTATTTGTGAATTTCAAATTGATACATGTATTTAACAGCCTCGGTGGTCTTGTGGTACCCTGCTTGCCTTGAGTGCGGGAGGTGATTTGTTTACCCTTGGCAATTACTTAAGTTTCTAAAATTTGTATTTGCTGCTCTTATCTAAGCGCCTAGCATTTATGAGCAAGGGCAAATACTGGTTGGCATAGAGTCAGAACTATATGTATGGGTAGGATGATATGTCTTCCTGCAATAGGTTACCGTGTGAAATAGAACTTTAAATTTTGGCTCAGCGACTTTCATTCTCTAAGTACAACATTCATATCCCATTAACATGTTCTCATCCTGATATGCATTTGATATTTGCCACTGGACATTATAAACCAATCCATAATGATAATGTATGTAACAGGACAAAAAGTTTATTTCATAAACATATTCATGAATTGAGTTGCTTGAATTTTATATGGACAAATTTGTATACGACCGCAAAAATTAGGGGCCAAAAAAAGGGCCCAAATAAGCATTTTTGTAGTTTCCAGACAATAACTTATGTTAAAGTGTATGAATCTTTCTGAAATTATACCACAAGTTTCATACTACAAAGGAATGGTTAGGGTTGACTTTGGGGGGTAATGGCTCAAACCATTTAGGAATTAGGGGCAAAAAAGAGGGAAAAACAAGGGTTTTTCTGGTTAAAGGACAATTGAGACAATTAAAAAGCAGTGTAAGGGAGGTAATCCAAATCAAAATCAATTTAAATAACAATGTTTGATTACCTCCCTTACACTGCTTGTAAATTATGTATTAAGAAATGATGATTGTCTGAGATACTGACCATAACTTGAGGGAAAGAATTATTTTTTTGAATAAGGGAAAAGGGGGAGGTGGAAAAAATTGGAAGGGGACAATTTTTCTCATTTCAGATTCCAGAAATTAAAAGAAAATTTCTTCAAATATTTTTTTTGGGGGTTAATATTCAACAGCATAGTGTATTGCACAAACGCTAAAAAACGGGGTAAAATTTTTTTTTTGGGGGGGAGGGGGGGTCAATTCGCATAGTGTATTGCACAAAAGCAAAAAATTGAATATAAATTCAAATCATATAACCAATTTGAAGTTCTTTGACTACAGTTATTCTGTGTCAGAAACCTATTATGTGTCAAAAATTTAATTACAATCCAAATTCAGACCTGTATCAAGCGTGAATATTGTGTCCATTTTGGCCTCAACTTTTCAGGTTTGGACATCTGTGGTCGTATCCAGCTGCGCTCAGCGAAGCAATTTATTTTAATTACAAAAATCACTATTAATTTACCCTAATTTTTATTATTGAATGAAAGTTTATCCTTTTTGAAATCATAAATTAAAGTCAAACAGGGTTATATTGATTGTAAATTGTCATTTGCATGAACTTAGTAACTTATTCCATATATGTACTGCATATGGCTGAAAAATGAAATAACACCATTAAGACTTGTAAGTCACTTGTTAGTCACTTGATATATTATGTCCTTATTTTTTCTGTGCTGGTTAAATGTTTGGACATTGAACGACCACTCACCAGTGCATCCAAGGGTAGATGCATCCATTTTGTGAATACACTCTGCATATTTTAATCAAGTGTGCAAAAGAAAAAAAGAAGGAAATTCTACCAAAAAATAGAACACAAATTGAATGACTTTAAAAATTCAATAATTTTACATATAGTTCTTGAAAAGAAAAACCACAAGTACATTTTTTGTAATTATGCCTGTAACATCTTGGACACCTTTTGTTAAAGTGTATTGCAAATATTGATAAAAGGAGATGTGGGATATATATATATATATATATATATATATATATATATATATATATAGTAGGGAAATAGCAAATAAATGTAAATGACACAAAAAACCAAAGGACATTTGGCTAGATAATTTTCTTCACCTCTTTGGATCTCTGTGGAAAAGATGAATACAATAACCAAGTTATCCTTAATACTAACTCTCAAGTGAGTTAATTTTTACAAAGACTTGTAAAAATAGTAAATCTTTTGCAGACACTTTATTAGTTTTGCAAATTAATCAGATGCAAGCATAACAATTTAAATACTAAACACATTTGCCTAATTAATTGTTTTATCTTTATGATGCCTTGGTAAGTTAAAATTCTTTTTACTTTACTTTTTCTCTTTCAAATATTTTTGTTTGACCCTTATATTCCAAAATCTATCCAAAAATTACATTAGTTTAAGCATTTTCTTGAGGGAATATAAGGAGAAAGTAATGTTTTGTAATAGAATGAGAAAGTAATGCTAATCTGAAACTTGCGATTGTTTCTATTAGACATGTGTTTGTATAGTTATACCCCCGCTTTAAAAAAGGGGGGGTATACTGTTTTACCTCTGTCTGTCCTTCCGTCAGTCCATCCGTCAGTTCGTCCGTCCCATGAATATTTTCGTCGCATTTTTCTCATGAACTACCTGACAAGGATTCCCCCGCTTTAAAAAAGGGGGAGGGGGGGTATGATGTTTAACCTCTGTTTGTCCTTCCGTCAGCCCATCTGTCAGTCCATTCGTCAGTCTATCCGTCAGTCCGTCCGTCCCATGAATAATTTCGTTGCATTTTTCTCAGGAACTACTTGACAAGGATTTCTAAAATTTGGTTTCAGGGTTTATATAAGTAAGTTACACGGTGTGATGCTTTATCAGATTCATCACTCAACAACTTCCTGTTTACCCAACTCTTGTATTATTTTACACATGATAGCCAAGTTGAAAATTTTCGTCACATTTTTCTCAGGAACTACTTGACAAGGATTTCTGAAATTTGGTTTCAGGGTTTATATAAGTAAGTTACACTGTGTGATGCCTTTTCAGATTCATCACTTAACAACTTCCTGTTTACCAAAATATTTCGGCGGGGGTATCATCAGTGAGCAGTAGCTCACAGTTTTACTTGTTTTAACCAGCCTCTCTTGAAGCGATTGGGGCCCATTGGGTCAAATCAATTTTAATCATTCATTGGCATCTATCTACAAAGAGACATATTGTTACTCAAGGGTTATGAATCAATGTTATGACAATAGCTTTTCAAAACTGTCTTAGATTGTATGTTCCACTTTGTATTTTATCTTTTCCCACTGATCAGGATAAAAAGAAGTCCATGTAGTTTAAACCTGCCTCATGTTAATTGACCTGTTGCAAACAGAAATGTCATAAGTTTTTGTCTTTATTATGTTAAGTTGAGCAAGGATTTCCCTAGTAAGTTACTATACAAATCCTTGGTTTGAGAACCAAAAAAATTTAAGCAAGGAGAAGTAAGGAAAAAGACAAGAATTTTAATTTACTTATAAAATACATGTAATAAGGAAAAATATTAAAAAAGGAAATGAAAAGGGTATTGCACAATTTAGTCAAAAATTGTGTGCAAAATATGCTAATGACACATTCATTGTAAGACAAGACTATGCATCATTAGTGTACCTCATGATCATCAGTAATACTGTTACAGTTTTCTTCTAATTGTTAACTCAAGAGAACAGTGACCAAGTACACTGTAGTTAATCACAGACATGTAGTAAATACCTGAAGTGGTATGTTAACAAAGGTGTGTAAGTAAATATACTATGATTTAACTTGTAAGTATGCAAGGTTATAACAGTATTAAAGGCCACAGAAATAAATTTTGTTTTTATCAAGTTCTCTTAAGCCAGTTGTATATTGCATGCTACAATGCATTTAAGGAATGACTGTAATATTTTTTCTGTCTATGAAGAAATAACATCAAAAATGTGGTGCACCCTGAATAACCTGTGTAGCGGGTTATTTTAAAGTGTGCACCACATTTTTTATGTTATTTCAAATAGACAGAAAAAATATTACAGTCATTTCTTATAATTTATTTTTTAATTCCATTTTAAACCGGAGTAAATCATGAAAAAACGTTGATGACGTCAAGGTCACATGACAAAATTATGTCTATGAGCTGATAAACAAAACAACGTCAGCCAATCGGAAGACGCGTTACATCCAAAATTAAATTATTTACTAGTAAAATCATTTGTTTTGCTTCATACGAGGAATGCAATCAATCACAAATCAAGCAATTAAGCAAAAAAGTGTCAAAATAAGGAATTATTTTACACTAGGAAAATTTTGGTATCTAGAACTTTTAGTAAGAAACTTACCTGACTGAGGGTTAGCCATGGATGGCTAAGGGATATTAGTTAGTTTTAAATTTACTAAATTACTTCGATGTTAAACAAGTGAAGGCCCTTAAAAGCAATGCTTGCATGGATAACCATACTTAGTTTGGTTAGTTTATTGACAAGCACTAAACTGAATTTTTATTTTTATTTCAGATTATTCCAGTTTTTATAAATTCCCTGCTTCAAACATACTAAAACAGTAGTATCTTGTATAAATGTGAAAATATTTTATTTAATCCATCATAGATATTCTAATCTTATCACATTATGGTTATACCATGTAATAAAAAGTATTGTTTAATTTAAAAAAAGACAGACAGGGGAGATAATTCAAAAGATTTTAGAATTATTTTAGAAGTAATGCAATGTAAATAAAACTGGTTTGAATTTTGTTTCACCTGCAACAAATGTAGCAGAATGATGATATTGGGATGGTAATTAAAAGTCATTGACAGTGTAAACTATTTGTATAAATCTTTATAATTCAGAAAGTAATAATACCATCTCAGTGTAACAAAGTTTCATATATTCATATCACATTAACACGTGCTCATCCTGATATGTATGTATTATTACACATGCCATATGGTTTGAAAGAAAGAAAATGATATGCATTACTTAGGATACTTGAAGCAACCAAAACATATGTAATCCATTTTATTATCCATTGAAGTTGAATTTGCAATAAACAGACAGAAACAATCTATCAGCTCTTAAAAGAAAAAATATACATATATATAAATACTTAAAATTGGTAGGCTAATGATCAATGGTAGCATTCTAGAATTCCTATTTCCTGATAGTAGAGTAAAAATCTGCTTAGAGAAATAAATTTCAATGGGAAGTGCAAATTTTCAGAAGTTCTTAGTATCATGTTGCTCAATTCGTCACTTAGTCTAATTTAATACAACAACCAGTACCTGTTACCATTCCCCGATTTTATTTTAAATGAACTATTGTGCAATTAAGATTCATCATAATTTATTATAACTTGTAAAATAAACATTTTACTACCCAGCAGCAGCCATACACTTCACAGCATTCCCAACGCGATTGGAAGTAGTTCCTCTGGCCAAGTGAAGCCAGTCGAAATGGTACGAAGTTGCAAGTCAAGTGCCATTCAAATTTGGGTAAAACACAAACTGTACACAGCATGACAATAACTTATTATATATTTTAGTTCCATTATGCAAGATGACAAACACATATTCATTTTTTTATTAGCAAGTAACAGACTTTGGCAGAATAGTATCAACAAACATTTTAATTTCAATGACATTCACATATTATTCAACTTTCTTGTCCAAGTTTACCTCCATACATGTATACTTTCACTGTCTATTTATACTCACCATGGTTACATTTTGATGTAATTTATGCATACCCGATTTTGTACTTCAGGCGCAATTTTCTGTATTTTTATGACCCACCTAGGGGCATTATGTTTTTCGGTCTGTGCGTCCGTCCGTTCGTTCGTCTGTCTGTCCGTCTGTCTGTCTGTCCATCTGTCCCGCTTCGGGTTAAAGTTTTTGGTCAGGGTAGTTTTTGATGAAGTTGAAGTCCAATCAACTTGAAACTTAGTACAAATGTTCCCTATGATATGATCCTTCTAATTTTAATGCCAAATTAGATTGATTGATTGATTGTTGGTGTTTTAACACCACTTTTAAGCGCCACATTTGAGCTATTTCGTGGCGGCCAGTTTTTATTGGTGGAGGAAGCGGGAGTGCTCAGAGAAAACCACCAACCTTCGATAGGAAAACTGACAATCCTAGTCAATTAAGATTGGAGTCAAGTGCAACCGCACGAGCAGGGTTCGAACTCACAACTTCAGTGTTGACTGGCTAGTGATTACAGTAGTAGAACTACTTAGACCACTTGGCCACCAAGGCCCCCATGCCAAATTAGAGTTTTGACCCCAATTTCATGGTCCACTGAACATAGAAAATGATAGTGCCTGCTTCAGGTTAAAGTTTTTGGTCAAGGTAGTTTTTGATGAAGTTGAAGTCCAATCAACTTGAAACTTAGTACACATGTTCCCTATAATATGTTCTTTCTAATTTTAATGCCAAATTAGAGTTTTTACCCCAATTTCACGGTCCACTGAACATAGAAAATGGTAGTGCGAGTAGGGCATCCGTGTACTATGGACACATTCTTGTTTTATTCTGATGACAATGCCCTAGGCACCGAAACATGCTGATCTTATTAAATTACTGCAGCAATCCCTAAAGTTTTGTTGTTATAACTGCTTTCACATTTTGTGTTTTTATCATAACAATCCTGCATACCCGAGGTATCCACTTTAGGGATTTTATCGTACTGAAGATTTACCAGGCGTTGGTTCACTGTCATTTGTAAGTTTAATTTAGTTCAATCAATTTTAATTGGTACACTTTAGAATGAATGACAGAAATAAACACTGTTAAAGCAAAAAGTTTTATTTAGGACCACTCTATACACATTAGGTCTTTTTATAATGTTTCCTTTTCAGCCCTGGAGTAAATAGACCTGAATGCTTACAGAAGCTAGCTCAACATGGTCATGTGAATTGCAACTCCACTTTTCACCATTAGTTTATTTTAACCTTATTTTTCTTAATAGGCCAGACTTGAAGCTCAAACTTCCACCTTTCCCACAGAGGTAATTATCTGCATGTTTTCATGTAATCCAAAGATCCCAGCATGTGTATATAAGGTAGCTTACACACATACCTATACTTTTATTCATTTTCTTCCATTGCACCAATTTTCATGGAACGATAAAAGAATTTAAACAAAAATACTAAAATTTTACTTCACTAGTTTCCTGCCATTGAGCACTAACATAACAGCATATTGAAACCTATCAAATTAGTGACTTGGTAGACTCAAAGATTTATTAATATAATAGAGATTTTAGCTTTTCAGAATTACTGCCCTGAGTATTATATATACAACTTTTCGTAAAGAAAAAAACATTCTTCAATAGCAAAATTATAATACTGTTGATTTTCCTATTCATGGTTATATAATGGACATATAATTTTAGAAAATTGGTACTTTGTGAATTACAATGAACTAATTGTATAATGTAGGATTGTACCTAAATCTGTCATAATTTATAACTTGTAAACAGAATTAGTCAAGCTTTGTATAGATATATATATATATACTAAGTATATGCAAATAAGCCCTGTTATGTATATGCACAGTCTATGTCAGCTCATCTGCTTTGTCAAAGGTAACATATATGAGCTCATGGTAATAAGTTTTCATGTGTTTTCCATCTGTCAAGGTAACATATATGAGCTTATGGCAATCACTTTTCATGTGTTTTCCATCTGTCAAGGTAACATATGAGCTTAGGGTAATCACTTTTCATGTGTTTTCCATCTGTCAAGGTAACATATATGAGCTTATGGCAATCACTTTTCATGTGTTTTCCATCTGTCCAGGTAACATATGAGCTTAGGGTAATCACTTTTCATGTGCTTTATCTGTCAAGGTAACATAAATATGAGCTTATGGTAATCACTTTTCATGTGTTTTCCATCTGTCAAGGTAACATATGAGCTTAGGGTAATCACTTTTCATGTGTTTTCCATCTGTCAAGGTAACATATATGAGCTTATGGCAATCACTTTTCATGTGTTTTCCATCTGTCAAGGTAACATATGAGCTTAGGGTAATCACTTTTCATGTGCTTTATCTGTCAAGGTAACATAAATATGAGCTTATGGTAATCACTTTTCATGTATTTTCCATCTGTCAAGGTAACACATATGAGCTTATGATAATCACTTTTTATGTGTTTTCCATCTGTCAAGAAAACATATGAGTAATCAATTAATTCCATATGTTGTCTACCTGTCAAGTAGCATATGATCTTAAGGTAATGGTTACGCGGGACCAATAGATATTAGTCCTAGAGGTTACAATGAGCATTAGTTTATCACTTTTCATGTGTTGTACATCTGGCAACAATTATCATTTCACTTTTTACTTTTGGCGGAGAAAAATCGTTTGCTTACAGTATTAGTGCCAAGTATTTTTACTTTGTACTGATTAAACATATAATGTCTTCTAAGTCTCTGACTAATCAGGACTTCTGTGTGATGCTATGGTGCCTCTTACAAAACCAGTATTGCTGACAGTTGTTACTACAGTTTCCTTTACATTACCAGTGTTGCTCCCAGGGTTTGCTTAGTTCTACATTGAACCCTTATGCAAATATTAAATAACATTTTCGGTTTTCTGAAATGTCTACCCTGTTGAAGCCAGATATAGGAGGAGAGATCCATATAAGTCACTAGTTTGACTTCAATGCTTATACCTTATCAAATCTTGATGTTAGCTGACACTTTTGTAATGCACCTTTTGTGAAATACATGTAAAAGAAATAAAACCTGGCTACCAGGTGAGCAGTGCAGTTTAGAAGAGACTATTTTATTGTTTTCATCAGAAAAAAATAAATGAGGACTATAGTGTGTTAACATGGTTAACTGCATGCATTGCTTAGAATTTTTCTTTGAATTTTTCTTTTTTTAAGAAGGATAAGTTACTTTGTAGAGATCAATGATATTCAACCTTCCACTATGCTTAGTTTTATTATTTAGTTTTTCAATTATTTCAAAGCTTATACTATGAAAATGTAGTTTTTCAATTATTTCAAAGCTTATACTATGAAAATGTAGTAGTTATTTAATCCAAATTTCCAATTAATTTTGTTTGAAGTATGATAGATTCATTAATTGAAGTATAGGAAATTTTCAGAGGACTTAATTTAGAATATAGCTATATACGTGTACTATGAACAGGTATTCAGGAAGCTTTCATGTAGTATGTCTAGATAAAAGTGATTAGTCAGAGAATATTAGCCTGGTAATAGCATGTTCATTACTTAATTAACAAAAACCAACATTAAGTCAATAGATATATGGTATTTACATGGATTGACTCTTGTATAGGATGGTTATATATCTTGATTAAAACTTGATCACTGTCATTTTCTTAAAAATGATCTTTATGTCCTCTGGTGTAGGAAGCAAATCAGCAATAAAGCAGGAAAAAAGGTTTGATGAAATATTTTACTGAATATATGTGTTTGCCCTGGTTCATTATATTTTTATATAAAAAAAAATCTTTTAATCATCAGTATTTGAAGTCCATTTATTTTCATGTACTTGTTGAATTTCATACAGAAAAATATGAAATTCTTAAATGTATTTTTTTTATTCTTTTATAGCTTGAATTAGTTTTTTCTCTGGAAAATAGTTTTCAACGGTTCATCGTCAAAAATATACAAATGACTTGAAAGACTATGTCAGAAGAAATACTATTTCATCATTGAGTTTTTTTTCAAATCATACTGTGTTTTATAAAGATTCAAATATTTCAGGTTGTCAGTAAACTTAATTTGTTTAATTTTTTCAGTGCAAAAGAACCAAAGACTAGAGATAGTAATACGCCAAAGTTTCCATTTTTTGAAGACACATTTTCCGAGTTTCCAGAAGTGAAAGAGGAATATGACCTGGCACCTGATTTCCAGAGGATTAACATTAGTGGAGAAGATACTAGTGGGGTAGTATTACACCTAAACAAATTTAATTTCCATTTATGACCATGTTAACATAAAGGGATCCAGATCTTAATCGGACCTTACCATCTTATCTTTACTTTTTATTTAGCTTCACAACTAATTCAAGCCTATATCCATAATTCTGTCTCTTCATAAAGTAAAAGCACAGAGGTTCTTTTCACAAAAAAGACCCCCAAAAAATCATAAGGTATACCAGTTTAAGAACTTTTTAACCATTTTCAATTATACATCGAGAGAACAAACACCTTCTACCAGTACAAGCTGATAGAGTAATCAGGATGGATACCGAAGTATGCTGCAGTTGTCTTAAAGCCTCAGGAAAATAAAAGTATAAAAAGACAACGACATCCTGGATTACTCCAAGGAAATGCTTTATTCTGGTCTACATGTTTTGCCACCATAAGTGGCGTCTTCAGGACAATTTAATGATAGGAAACAAATGCTGAAGCACATAAAATAAGGTTCATATTGGGTTTTCAAAAAGGTTAACAAAAAGATGTTATGTCACAACTATTGGTTTGACGACATTAAAAGGAAAGTCAAAGTAAAAGTTAGTAATGAAATGTCAATATCTTTTTTTAAAATGGACAACACCTCACTGGACATTCTGTACCATTTCAATTGGCTTCACTCTAAATGAGGTACTGCTTCCAATTGTGTCGGGAATATTGTGGGATGTATGGTAGTCACAAAAAATGCATTTCCGTGTGGTAATTCAGGATGTTGTTGTCTTTTTATAGTTTCATTTTTCAAATATTTATAGAGGTTAAGGAAAAGACAATTTAGATTTTTCTTTCTTTTTTTTTAGTTTGTGTTTAGAGATTTCTTACAAATATTTTTATTTGCTGCGATCAAGATATGATGGGGTATTTTTTGCAATAATTAATAAATTAACAAATTAAATTTCTTCTTGAAAAAATGTGAACTCTTCGCTTTAAATGTCTTTTTTTATGAAAATTTCTTTCACAGGTTCACATCAGTGACTTAGAACATGCCTCCAAAGCACTTGTTAAAGCCTTGATATTGAGACAGAAATATATGATGTTATCTCATCAGAGTTTTCCTAAAATAACAGCCAGGTTTCTACAGAATCTTCTTGACAATGAAGATTTTAAAGGCATGAAGGAAGGTTTTGCTGGAAATTGCCTTAACCCTGAAGGTAATTAATAACAATGTTTAGATAGAACAATCATTTTATTAAAGGGGGGAATTATTTTCGTTATATATTTTGGGGATTTTTACATTTTTTTCTCTTTTCTTCAGAAATTTATAATGCATCTTTTCCTCTTCAGCCATGGAAGAAGGTGATATTTTCAATATTTTTGCCAGCTTTTGAATCATGTTTTTCCAATGTGAATATTCAGCAAAACTTGTCTAAACTTAACCTCAAGTGAACCAAAGATTTTAGTAATCTGTATTACACAGATGCAAAATCAAGAGAGGCAAATTATCCTTTTGCTGTCAGTTTCTTGAAAAGCTCCAAGGACATATAATGTACATGGAATCATTATTATTTGTGGTGTTCAAAATACCAAGGATTTTGTGAGTTGAGGTGAAATGTTTAACCAAAATACAAATTTTGTGTGTGTGCAGAATTCATAAAATCCATGAAATACAATTTTTCTTTGAATTCTTGAAATTTGGTACACATGACAGTGTTCTCCCCAGGCCCTTAAAGGACCGCGGGCCCGCGATGTATAATTTTTCTCCGTGGTGCTAAAATTTTCAGTTAAAAAATCGTAAATCGGTAAAGTTTTAAACAACTTGTTAAATCTTTTCCGTGCGGTATAAAATTCCAGGTGAAATTTGACCAGTTCAAACCAGTTCAACACAGATTGTTTACACCACATGATCGATTTACCTTATGAGGTTAACCTTGTTGATTGGATTTAATCGATGTAATTAACACTTGTAACATGATTCTTTTGTGTTATAATTAAGAGTTCATAACTTTATGATCACAGATAACTATTTTATGGCTTCACTCTCCACCCAAGCACTGACCTGTGACAAGTCGGCAAATACTTTGTACACAATCAGTGTCTTGACTCGATAGGTACATTTTTTGTACATCATAATGGTGGCTCATTACGTATAATGGACAACTATACATTTCCCAATTCTTATATTATATGTCTCTGATTAAACCATGGCCAATATTATCTTTAATTATGACATAGTTAATGCATGATAGTCGGGTTTCAAACTGAAGTATCTGTCTGTACATATCACATGACCCAGTTAGTTCACGTAGAATATTCAAGTTTATTTACAATTAATTGCAATCTATTATATTTTATAAATAAAATGCATGACTGTACCTTCAAACTGGATATCTATAAGCCATAATTAATTAATAACAGAAGTAATCTTGCAAATTTTATCCATAAGCACATGTTAAATCTATTTATATCTACTTCCTGTCATTTAGGCGGGAAAATAGGGAGACTTAGTGGTTGACATTGAATATGGTTACTTATAGATCTATAGACCAAAGATAAATTTATAGATTTAGGAATTCTTTTTAAATGGTTCATGACAAATAAAGATTTAGATTTTAGGGCAGTATTAAGTCTATATCTATGTTTGATTATCACCAAAGACAAGAAAGTTTAATATTTACAAGAAAACTATGGCAAAATGTTCTAAAATTTATGAAAAATTTCTTTTTATCAAAATCTAAGATAGAAACTGGTTCAAATAATAAAACAATATTTGCAATTGTTTTTGTTAATTTTATATCTTCTTATGACAGGAATCCTTTCACATACAACAACTTTTTTTCTAGAAACTAGAAAGTTTTGTAAATTGAACATTTTTGTTCTCTTTTGAATGATATTTTATATTTATTGATTTTGGATTTTATAAAAGATTTAATTACTTTAAATTCAGATGAATATTTTATTATGAATCATAATTTATTTATTTTAAAAAAATATTAAAGTATACAAACTGTTTTTTGATTTTCTAAATCAATGTCTACATAACACAGTACCACAGTGTTAAAACAAAACAAGAGACATAAAAACTACAGTAACTAGAGCTAAGCGACGCGACGCGACGCGACACAACTGATTGCATGAAATATTTCACCAAGAAGTCCACATGCGTTACCCTGGTGCTATCCAAAAATCCTGGGGAGAACACTGCATGAAAATATATGAATCCACAGTACAGAAAATATTTGGATCTATACTTGCAGTATTTACAAAAATCTATTCCATATGAAATTGTGTGTAACATGTGTAATGTTGGTTCAGTTTAGACAGGTATCATTGCACCCTTGTCATACACGAGTTTTAATTTGTGTATTTTCTTCTGTTTAAAATTTGAAGTGATACTAATTTCACTTTGTTGGCACACATTGAAAAAAAATATATGAAATAACACTCTTTAATGTAATCAAATTATATAGATTTTACAAATAGAGGATAACAATTAATTATTACCATGGCAATATGAAGTATATAAATTTGCCATTTTTCCAGCTTGTTGCTTAATACTCAGATAGACAATATTTATAATATAACTGAAATTCTTCAAAGTGTACATAGTGCTGAATCAGATTTTATGCACTCTTTACACTGGTATTTTATGAAATCTTGCAATCTTTTGGGTAAATCATTATTTGAAGTTTTAATTTCACCTTTTACAAAAAAAGTTCAAAAAGTAAATCTTCTCTTTCTCTTAGCTTAGAAAAGGAGATGGGAATTTCAGTCACTAAACATGCTGAAGAAACCTTAATTTGTGAAGGGTTAAAATTCTGGGGTTTTTTTTGGTTTATTTTAAGTGATATTTGGGAGGATTAACTCCCTTTGTTTCAAGTTAGAGTAAGTAATACTTTTTATAAGTTAATGTTTTGTTTGGATTTTAATTTCATGGATTGTTTATATATATCCGCTAAAAAATTATATTTCCAACAAAAATTTCTTCTTTTACAGTGTTTGTTTATCGTGTTTAAAAGTGTCCATACAGTCGTCATGCTTAGTTGATGTCTATTTCAATATATTTCAAAATCTTATTACTAAAGATATTTGGGTGTGCTGTTAGACACTTGCCTGAAATCACATAAAAAATTGAAAAAAAGTTTAGCTGGAAGGATATAAATATTCCTCTTTCCTTGTGATTGCCCAGGAAATTTTTTATTCTCAATGGTCAATTATCAGATTTCTTCTCTGAAACTATAGTTCCAAATCTTTTAGGAATGAAACCTGGACCCAAGATAAACTTCCTCAATTGCACTGTTCAAGTGGCATACCGGCAGCTACTGCTACTCATTCCAGAAATGAATAACAAAAATATACACCTCTTTAAACAGTAAAATATAACATAAACATGATACAGAAAAAAAGTACGAGCTTGATGTGTATAGATTGGCAAGATTGGCAAGATTGGCAAGAAAAATAAAAGCTTTCTCTTTTGAGTGATGTGATTAATATTCTTGCCTGCTCATATATTCTCAGCTTCTTCTGGCTCTTACTTATCTGCACTTTTAGTGATATCTTCCTTTATTTAGTGATATACATGTAATTCTATGTTCATTATCATGCTGAATAGAACCATTTATTGAAAGTTGTACAATATGAATTGTTTTGCCTGTAGTATATGTTTTTCCTTGACAATTTTTAACATCAAGTTATAGTTTTTAACAGTTGTCAGCTCCTTTCAATACATTATGTATCTAATCCATTTCTAATAGAGAGAAATTTGAACTATCCCAAAAATTTGATTAGGCTAATGCATTTTATGCAGTAAGCTGTTCGAGATTGAGAAAATTGTACAAGCTTGATTTATTGTTTTAGGAATAGCTGCACATGAATATCCCGTAAATGTACACACAGTTTCCTAACTATACTAGTTTACCAGCTCAGTATGAAAATATATATTTTATAGGTTTGGTATAGATTTGTATGCCTTTCTTACAGAGGATAATAAAAGTATTAATTATACTACCTCCACGAAGTTTGAAAAGGGTGGGGGATTATATAGGAATCTCTTTGTCATACTGTGCAAGTCATGTCTGTTTTAAAACTTATGAGTGCCTTGAAGGATTTTAATGATACTTGGTACATGTATTATTGTTGCCCCTCACTTGAGGATGTGTCATGAATGAGATTGAAATGTCTGTTTGCGAGGGTGATATAACTTTAAAAGACAATATGTTTTCTATAAAACTTGGTATATCAAGATAAAATACAATTGGGGTATCAAAAACTTCTAGCTTTTAAGTTTAATCTGTTTTGTTAATAGTTTTTTATGTTGAATTTAATTTATATATCCAAAGCTTATGCATAGATATATTCAAGGAAAGTAGCACTACAACTTTTTTTCATATCATGATAAAAAAACTGGAGGTAGAGGGTATGCAAACATTATGATTTATCATTCAAACCTCAACAATAAAGACAATAAATAGAAAATAAATCAACATTAAGTATCTATTGATTTAATACTTTAATCTTTAAAGAAATATATTATGTACTCTCAAAGGAAGATGTATTGATCATTGTAGTTTTTTAAATTACATTTTATCAAATATATATATATTTACAATATATTGGTAAATTTTAAACAATATACAATGGATTCTGCAACTAGTCAGGAAATCTCAACACGTTCTGTTTTTTGCCCTTTAAAAAAATTATATATAACAGATTGATAAGAATATGAAATATTATACACCTGAAATTAATTTGTATTAAATACAGAGTACAAAATCGCTTTTATTGGTGTTCTTTATCATCAGGGTGAAGAAAGACCCTCAAGAGTGATCAAATATTTAAACATCAGGACTTCTAATTTCAGTGAAAGTATTAGTCTCAATTATTTATATACCAGTATTACTTCTACCAATTCTACTTTAATACAATTGATTGTCCTGAAACTGATTGAAAAATTTAACTGTTGGATATTTAAAACCCCCCTTTCATTTTTTCTCATCCAGAATTTATTTGGTAAAAAAAACCCAGTAAATAGTCTTACAAACACTATCATCTGTAGCCCAGCAGTTGTAAACTAAATGATATTAACAGAGTCATTTTACTAACCAGCTATAAAAAGGTTGTTTTAAAATGAATTAAACTTTGTGTGAGGCTGTGACATAAATACTAAGATTCATTGTAGTACACAGTAATTAGTTTGCTCCCCCTTTAATTTGTTTTTAGGATGTAGAATGTACATTGTTTTGTAGATGCCGATGGTTACATGTATTCCAAAGGTATATTTGTTTGATTATGTGTGAATTTTCCTGCCGTTTTCAAACACTGTATCATAACACAAATAAATAAAATATTCTAAAAAATTATGTTGAACAGATTAATGACTTTGTAAGCTAGTAAGTGGTTCACAGGATATCACGCTTTACGTAATATATGCATTTATATTTTTCACCTGTAAAAATGGAGTCATTTCTTGTTAAACTAAATTTAAGAGATATAACAACAGTTAATTCCAACCATAACCACCAGTCCCTTAGTTTATTTTTGAATGCTGTTTAGTTGATGGATTGCTGTCTCATTGATTATTTTCCTTTACCTTTTCTTTTGCATATCTCGTAATTATTTTTTTTTTTTATGTAGTTAGCTGATTTAAGCCAGTGAATGATTTGCATTTAAAGAGATGTGAATGATGCAGTTCTTCATCATCCCCCCTCCTGTCTTATTTTTTTTGGGGGGAAGGAGGCGGTGAATAGGAATCACCCTGTCCATCTTTCTGTCTCTACCAATATGATTGTAAGGGCAACCCCTCCTAAAAAGATTGCTTGGCAGATATTGATGAAACTTTACACAGTTCTAGAACACTCCTTTAGGATGAACATAAAGAAATATAATACTTGCCCTACATGTTAAAGGAAATATAATCCAACTTACTTACTCCAATATTTCAATATATGGTAATAGTCTATGAAACTTGACATAGTTGTAGAACATAAGCTGAGAATGTGCATAAAGGAGTATAATCACAGTTCAATATGTCAAAGGGGAGATAATCAAATTTGTGGGGTAGGGTATCCTTTTGAGGGTTCTCTTACAGTTCTAGTTTGTATTTTATGAGAACAATTATCACCCATTTAAAAGTTGTGAAGTGTTTCTGATAAAATATTTTAATATATGCAAATTGATACATGCATATGTTCATGTTAACATGCAATATTTTAAACTTCATACAACACATACATTTAATATTTTTTGTAGTAAGCTTGTTGTGGTTGTTGTAAACAAAAAGATATGTAATTATTGTTATGTTGTTATGTATGACAGCCTTATTACACAGAACTTAAATCTTTTTCATAAAAAAAGGTAGAAAGGGATCTATGCCCTTGACCATCAAAGTTCTGTCTTTGGAATGGGAGTTATTATTTAATTTTATCTGAGTCTTGTATAAGATGTGCATTGTTGTTCAGCTAAACAGCCACAGGTTATTTTAGAAGGATTTATTGTCATTTAAAGGTTGATATATATATATATATATAACAACTGGATCACATTGACCTACATTTTGCTTTACAGCCCCTATACTTGAGAGTATATGATTACCAACAAAATTAGGTTTGCTTGTTTGCTGGGTAAACCTTGAAATAACTATAACCTACAATTTCTACCTTGAAACAGTAACAATAGCTATTGCTAGCCAATCAAATCAAGGGACCGGTAACACGTAGATGACTGAAAATCCTGTTTGAACAGGTTGTTAGTATATTTACAATAGGTGATACAAACATTTGTGGTTAGCCTAACAGACAGGTAAACCTGACTATTATGCATGAAGTACACACTCAAGTATATCAGCTGTAAGGATAGGATAATGATATTTTTGACATCAGTGAATGCCATTTGTCTCCCTAACCTTCAGTTTATTCCTAGGACCCTTCCAATTATCTCCAGCATGTTTTATTTAAAATTAATATATGATTCCCATTTATAAGTAATGTAAAGTTTTGCCTTTTTTAATTGTAATTCCTAAGTAAAAGATATTATGGAAATTATTATTTATAAATTTATCATACAAATTAGCAAACATTTATTTTGTAAAGCAAATATAAAAAATTAAATCGGTCAGGATATCAAGTGTATCAGTTTTCATAGTTTCTTCTGTTCAACTTTGCAAAGTTGACTTGATAGCATTCTGGAACTTAAATAAGAAGCTGAAATAAGATACAACAACTCACTAGAGCTATATAAGGCAAATTAAACTTCTACAAATATGTTAATTTTTACATTACAAAAATGTGATTCCTTAAGTCACTTTTTATATTAACAAATATAGAACAGACTTGAAGATAATAACTGCATTCTATACTGCTCAATTATTTTATGAATTGGGAAAATAGGGGGGGGGAGGCTAATAAAGTAATTTTTACTTACTAACAATAATGACCTTTATAATGTAATTTATCATTTTCCTGCTAGTTAATATATATCCTAGATGTGATGGAGTATATATACTGACATATACTTACAGGGGTTTTGAAGTATAGTTTTTGTAGAAATGGTAGTAAGTTGGTGATATTCAATAGAAAATTGCTCTGCTTCTAACAACATTGGGCAAGCTAAGCTTATTTCTACAGATGAATTGTAGGCCTAATGAGTGGAATTATTGTGTTGTGGAATCTTTGATTAGCAGAATAAAGCTGTTACAGTTTAACTAGATTGAAAAGTAAATTTCAACTCACATCACAGGCAACAAGTACACTGCTAACACATTTAAAAAAAGTGGATAACTCATAAAATTTTGAAGAAATTTCATAACCTAACTTAAAGTTTTGTTTTGTATTATTGCATTATAGTGTAAAAGTGCAGTATTGTTGAGCCAATATCGCACTTTAATTCCTAGTTCAATATTATAGAATTTAAATTCACTTTTAGTCTGACAAGTAAAAATTGGGCATACATTATGGAAGAGATTTTAAATATATATCTATGATTTGAAAGATCATAAGTATATTTGAAGTTTAAATCAAATATAAATTATGGGAATTTAGGCCAGTATATTTTTATCTTAGTCTAACTCTTATTTATCAGTAGATGTTAGACATAATTCATTTATATTTTACCTTATAAAAACAGTCATGTAGAGGTCAAGGACATTACATTGTTTTGATATTTATTTAATGATGAGGCCATGGACTTGACAGTGTTTTGAATTTGTTTTAATGTAAAGGCCATGAACAGTTCAGTGTTTTAAATTTTTCCATCAATTTAAAGAGCAATATATATAAAGTTGCTGACCTTTAAATATAAAATTTCACATTATATCTCTAATCTTGACAAATTTTATTGTGAATAAATATGAATCCCTGTTTCGTATATAACTATTGTGTTTTACTTTCACCATTTCTGATAATTAAAGCTGTATATCTATTGTTTTACATTGCTGATGTTTGATACTGTATATCTGTTGTTTTACAGAGAAGAGTCATCCTATAGATCCTCCACCAAAGACAGGAGATCCTTTTGATGTACCTATCCCAGACGGTGTTGGCTGTCGCCTTAAAATGAAGCAAGGAGTGACCTATGTATATGCTGACGAAGAAGCTCTTGCTAATGATAAACCCCTGGAGTTACCTTACCCTGTTCTTAAGTCATTTATAGCTGATCAAAATCTTATGTACACTCTCATCAGTGATGGCCCATTGTAAGTTAAATATTTCAACTTCAATAAGTTCATGAGTATTTATTATATATCTTTATCATGTTATGTTTTAAAAGCATTATCCGTTGATATTTTCAAAATTCTTACGGTACTTTAAAATCATAGATTTATCCTATGAATTTATAAATGCAACAAATACAACAGGATGAAACTTCCTTTTTAATAAGATTATACTGGAATCACAGTGATTAATCTTGCATTGTTGTGGGTTCCCAATAATGAATGCATGCATTTAATTCTTAATTTACAGTACAACTTCTCTTGATCGAATCTCCTGAAGTATTCACATATCCTATGATAATGAATTGATGGCTAAGTTCCCTCATGATTTTGACACAGTGTTTCCATTTGTTCCAGAACTTTGTTTAGAAATGGTTTCCTTTCCATGTCTGCACAATAACTCGTGATGTTAGTTACGATTTTTCATAAAGGGACTTTTTTTCTATTGATAATCTCAAAAATGATGTTGCATCATGGAAACTTATTAGGGTATCATGTCGATGGATTTGAATAGATGATGCTGGAGGCCTATAGTTTTCACTTTGTCCATTCTTCTGTCTGTTTGTCAACAATTTTTTGTGTTGCAAAAACTCAGAAGTAAAGGTAGGACATGGATAAAATTTGAACAGCTGTTATGCTCATTATGTTGATGTGCATATTATTTTTTTTGAATAAAACTTTTAATGAATGCAAAATTTCAAAAGTATGAGAAGTGGAACACAATTCAGTACAATGGTTATGCTGCTTATGTACATGTGCAAATCATTTTTTGTGAGAATTGCCTGGGAAATTGCAGGAAAATTTTTTTGTTTTAAAAATAAAATGAAATTTATGCTACGATTTCAATAATTACTGGTATAAAGGTATTAGTTTCTATTCCAAATTGATTTCCAAAGGTAAAATTTTTTTGCATACATAATTTTTTAAAGATATTTGAAAAACTATAAATTTAAAAACCATTGCTCTAAGTGACTATAACAACTGCCTTACTGATTAAAATAGTTGTCTACCCCCTTAAATCAATGCTAGCTGAGATTTTGATCTTATTGTAAGTTATAAACTCTTCAGCTCATACTTGAAGACCTTCCCTCAAGCATCAGGATAAAGAGCAGCAATAAAAGTGTTGCTCTTTTGATATATTGTTATTTAGTAGTATTTTGTACAAGTTCCAAATTATAATAAAAATGTTGAAATTATATAAAAATCAAACATAAGCTACAAATAAATGAATTTCTTATGTGTTTTATAGAAAATCATTCTGCTACAGAAGGTTGTGCTACTTATCTGCCAAGTTTAATATGCATATATTACTGAATGAACTTAAAGAGTCTGCAGCACAGAAAGAAGTATCACACAGAGATTTCTACAATATAAGGAAGGTTCGATTAAGTTATATACTTCATACTTAAATTGCATTTGGAAATCATTATCTGACAAGGTCTAGTGAGAAATTCATTAAGATTTAAAAAAATGTTTCTATAAACAACTTTATTTTGACATGTATATTATATATGAGGTATATCAAAATCGTTATTTAATAAAGGAGATGTGGCATGAGTTAATGAAAGATCAATAGTCATCGGCAGGTTAACGCCTTATACAGTAGACTAATGCTTATAAGATTGTGTCATGCTCTAAGTACGCACTAGGTATTTCAGTTTAACTTGCATATACTTAACTGAAAAACCTGAAGGAACTGTTAATGACCAAATCAAATTGGTCATTGTTTGAATGCCTTTTCTACCTGGCATTTATTCATTTTTGTCTATTTTTAGGTTGACACTCACATCCATGCCTCTTCCTGTATGAATCAGAAACATTTGTTAAGATTTATCAAGAAAAAGATGAAGACAGAAGAAAATGAAGTTGTTTGTTTTGATAAAAAGTTGAATAAAGAAATGACCCTGAAAGAGGTAACATCAATATAAATGAAGCAATTACATCTGTCAGTTATGTATTTATTGCAAAGGAAATAAAACCTTTCATGAGAATCAATTGGTGTGGGGTCAGGATATTTAAATTCTTGGAAGTTGAACTGACTCCCATTGAATAAAACAATAGCTATTGTTCCCTGTAGAGTCCATTCAACTGGAACTTAAAATTTCTCTTTGAAAAAAACAATCATTTATTGATTAATTTTTCTGTACCAAGAATTCAACTCCTAGTGATAAAAATACATGTACCATTTACTAAATGATAACACACATTGTCAGAGCAAGAGATAATACATTTGTAATTAAAAATTTAGGCCAATTATAGACCACTGAAGAACATAGAAAATTATGAAAATTACATCCAGAAAAAAATTTATTCTAAATGATAGATTTCATATAAATGTATTTGTTTACACATGAATGCTATTTTTCCAAACACAGATGTGCTCATCTTTGATAAATGTCATACTCACTTGGGTAGTTAAAGGAACTATAATGAAGAGTCCAGTGTGGATCATATTGGTTTAGGGAGGGAGCTCTAAATAATATAATGTATGCCATATTATTCTGTTTTGACAACTTTTAAGCATTTGTATTTAGTAAGAGGCTAAGATACTTCATAAGTATTCCAGTTCTCTCAATTAATGGGGTCATGATATAACTTAGATTTTAAACAAATAAAAATAAAACACATAATATGCCACAGTAGCAAATCAAAGTAAGGGGTTTTTAATGACCTTGACTACCCATGAGGGTCTTGCACGGCTAGTCAAAGTAAGTGATTTTGATTATGAATATATTTCTTTAACAAAGGTTTGGAACACAGTAAGTTTCCACTGTAAAAAAATGTTAGTTTACAATTACATTAGATGATCTCACTAAATCAACAATGATACAGAATAAAGACAATCTCATAACACAATTACATTAGATGATCTCACTAAATCAACAATAGATGATCTCACTAAATCAACAATGATAAAGAATAAAGACAATCTTATAACAAAATTACATTAGATGATCTCACTATATCAACAATGATACAGAATAAAGACAATCTTATAACACAATTACATTAGATGATCTCACTAAATCAACAATGATAAAGAATAAAGACAATCTTATAACATGTATAATTATATAAGGACTATTCTATTCATGTGGATGTTGTAGGGGAGGAAAGAACTTAATTCTACAAAACCAAGATACTTTTGACTAATTTTGGTTACTGTGGATTCATTATTACTCCAGGGATACCAGTTTTTGTGGATTTTGTGAGTACAGGTGAACCACAAATGAAAATGTTCAACGAATTACAAATTTTCTATGGGCTTGTATGCAAAGTTTGGCAAAACCACAAAATCAAATATCCACAAAAATGCAAGTTTTCCTCAATCCATGAAATATTGGTACCCACAAAAATAAATGAATCCACATTTCATCAAATGGACATATACAACCATTAATAACCTGTTTATGTAAAAAATATAAAACTTCCTTTCATTCCCTGCTTCATAGACATACACTTTAATAGAATAATCTTTTATGTAAGACATACCGTCTGAATTCATTTGAATTTCTGTACATTAAGCAAAATCTCCACACTTACTACAATGTTTCAATATGTACCTTAGGTATTTGAAACTCTACAGTTGTCAGCATATGATTTGAACATTGACAGTCTAGACGTACATGCTGTAAGTCTATTGAGAAAAGCATGGATGTTTAGTGTTCAAGTTTTATCATGCATTGAATGTTTATTATAATCACCATGAATTCGTACTGTGAAGATCAGAATGATAAGGGAACACTTGTTAATGAATTACAGTAAACTAGATGTTTAAAGAAAATGTTACATTAATTGTACTGTGTCACAAATCACAATGTCTAGCTTTATATAGGTCACTAGTATCAACACTTCATTCTCTTAGTTTGAGCAAATTAATGACCAATTACACATTACTTTGTGTGCCTTGATTTTAATTGTTTATATATTTTGAAAAAAAGATATTTTCACTCTTAAATCCTTTAAGTAATAATCAGGAATATGCAGAATTTTACAGGAATGTAGTTTAGGATATTTAAAAAAAATATAAAATAAATTTGGGTGGTCACTGGGTAAAATGATGGAATATGTTATTTAATGGAAATAGCCTGAGAAGCTAAAAAAAAATGAAAAAAGATGGCCTATGTGTTCAGCAAACAATTGAATCCCTGGCTGAGGTTCTCAAAGAAAATAACATTTTTATGAAATAAACTTCAAATGTTTCAACTTTTAAAACAATATTTTGTCATGTTTGTATAAATTAAATTTGTTCATCCTAAATGACAGACTTATAAAAATTGGGAAGACCTTGATAGAAGAATACAATGTGAAAGTTTATTTTCATTGGTATTTCTCTTAATTATCTCCCTTTTAGTAAATTATAAATCATTTTTATGTTACATAATGGTTCGTAAAAGAACAAGAATAATAGAGTGGAGAAACTGTTATTTTGTTTTCATTTCTGACCACAGGTTTTTACGAGCATGGATTTGAAGCCCTATGATTTGAATGTAGACATGTTGGATGTGCATGCTGTGAGTATTACCTCCCTTTTTTAACATGTGACATAATAACAGATTAAAATTTTACTTTATATTATGTGTATAATGTATGTGAGTTTTTCTGTGATTTATATTTGAAACATTGACACTATGTAAGTGTCCTTTCTGGTTGATAGTTTTGATCTTATTGATTTTTAGCTCACCTGGTCCAAAGGGCAAGTGTGAGCTTTTCTCATCACTTGGAGTCCATCGTCATCTTTTAATTTTTACAAACATTTTTTTGTTTGAAACTACTAGATCAATTGGACCCATATGTTCTTATAATCCTTCTGGTCAACTAAAATGGACTTAAGCTAAAAATACAACATAGGGGCAAAATGCAAGTATTGTCTATTATCTTGAAAACCGTTATATGAAATCTGAAAGTGGCAGCAATATTCAATAAAATCCATGTAATTGGTAACCATAAAAATATATGAATCCACAATACTATTATTAATAGGATAACTATATTTTGTATAAGGGATCCTTGCAAGGTCTACATTTCTGTCAGACTGGGTTCATCTGACCTTGCTCTCATTTAATGGATCAGTCATCAAGGTTAGGTTTTGTGGTTGGTCTGTTTCTCAGATTCAATTAGCAATAAGTCTTTAGCATTGGTTTTACAGCTGAATAAAAGAAGTCAAGGTACTATCGTCATTTTATTCCACAGTCATCCCTTTTAGCCCATATGTCAGAGGAATACTGATCCTCCGTTACTACCTATAGATTAGACCAACTAGATATATAAAATAAGTAAGTGTGGTTTGATTGCCAATGAGACAACAATCCATCAGAGACCAAATGACATAGGTGTAAGTAACTATAGGTCACTGTACAGCCTTCAATAATGAGCAAAACCCATATTGTATAGTAAGCTATAAAATCCTGCGACATGACAAAATGCAAAACAATTTAAACAAGAAAACCAACAGCCTGATATATATACAAAAAAAACAAATATGATATACAGCAACAAACAACAACCACTGAATGACAGGCTCCTGACTTAATAGGACAGGCACATTCAGAATAGGTAGGGTTAAACATGTTCGTGGGTGCAATTGAACTATTATTTGGTTTTGTATTAGAAATAATAGAAATAAAAGTTAGATATCTCAGACAGAAAACTAGTTATTTTTGTATTACTTTAACTAGATCCTTCATACTGCTAAGACTTACTCATCAAAAGTAAGTTGTGTTGTAGAAAGCATACATGTTTTCTATTGTTTTGATGCTTATTATTAGACACATATATTTAAAGAAAGAGCTGTGTTACTCAGAAATGGATGTATAATTTTACACACTGTAATAAATGTAATCACTGATAGAACTAAGTAGGGAGATATTGGAATTTTGGCAAGGAAATTAAATATATGGCAAGAATTTGTTTCTGTAGAAGTGCAGTAATACTTATTTATACATATTTTATAAGTTCAATTAGGATCATAAGACACGATTGAGCAAAGGTGTTATATCTCGGCATGAAGCTTTATATTTACAAAGGTAAGAGACCTGGATACTTCATATCTTGTATACAGATGACTTTTGGTACGTAGTTTCAGTGTGGCATATGTCTCATTTTCATGGGTCAGCGAATTCGCAAAAAAACTACATAGAAATTATTGTAAAGTGTACATGTCCAAATGATGGGATGCATCTGACCTTGACCTCATTTTCATGGTTCATGTGCAATATTAAGTTTTTTGTCGAGGATGTGACTTCTGTCACAGAAAGCGAGACATAGGGATAGTGATCAATAGATAGATATAAACTTTAAAAAGGAAAAATTATCAGTAGGATAAGATGTACAAAAACGTCAACATGACTGAAATTGTCAGTTTACTCTTAATAAAGTTATTCCCCTTTAATGATGATTTTTACTTAAAATGGCCATTGTTGAAGATGCAGGTGAGTGACACAGGCATTTAAGAGCCTCTAGTTTTGTGTTTTGTATTGTAAAAAATTTTGACTGAAAATGCATGATTTTGTTGTGTGTGCAAATTCTTTCTCATCTTTTAGTGGTTCTCTATGAAACTGACTGTTTTTCTAAGGTAAAAGTTAAGTTTTTCCAATATTTATGATTCTTCTAATTATACTAATAAAAATAATGGATAGCAGGAAGGATGTTCATAAATTTAGATTATTTTTTTTCCCATTACATTTGAAGTTATTAGAATGATTGCATATTTTGTAAAAACATTGCATCACCTTATATATATCAGTTATGACAAAGTACCAACTTAGATATCAGTAAGTCAGGTAAAGCACTTATTCAGAAATATATTAATGTTTATTGTACACTCTAGTATAGAAAAAAAAGAAACCAAAAAAAGTTGTTAATTAAAAAAGGGTAATGTAAAATTATAGATATACCAGTATATTTATATCTTATCATTGCAGGACAGAAACACATTTCACAGGTTTGACAAGTTCAATGCCAAGTACAACCCCATTGGACAAAGTCGACTCAGAGAGATTTTCATTAAAACTGATAATTATATCAATGGAAAATACTTTGGTCAAGTCCTCAAGGTAATTATACAACAGTTGTATTTCATTCTGTCCATTATAAAGTCCCAAATTGACTGACCTGATCCAGTATTATAGCTTATTTTTGTCTATACTTATCTGTCTATTGTTGACTATTGTGTGTTGACCTCAGTTTGTCTTTTGGTTATTTGAGTCATTGGGTTGCTGTCTTGTTTTTTCAATTCAAATATCTTTACATTTGGAGTAGAAAGTATGGCCTGCATTAACTTAAAGTTTTTATATTGGTCAGTGAAATGAAAATAAGGATGTCTAAAAAAAAAATTCACAAATGGCTCTGGTGCATAACCTTTTAATATTTTCAATTGAAATGAGTTAAAGTAAATACATCAATACAACAGCAATGGACAATACTACAAAAAGCAGAAAAGACATAGAGAACATCACATAGTTTTTAACAATGTCTAAAAGGAATGTAGGCAATGTCTATATAGAATTTCCAAATAATATTGACTGTCATAGCCAAACTGACACATGAAAACAGGCAATAGTCAACCATATTTTGTGATTATTTTATCTTATTCAATTATATTAAGCAAATACCAAAATAATCAATAGATGAAGAAGAAAAAAAACACACAAAAACAAAAAACAAAGAAATATTTGTAGAATCAGGGAAATACATTCTTTATGGACATGAATAAAAGGACATGTAAGGACTTTTCAGTCTATTTCTAACATAATTTTAGTCTGGTCCATATTGATCATTCTGTTCAGAATTTATAATTTCAAGAATAAAGGTCATATAAAGTTAAAATTACAGATCCAAAAACTATTAACCAAAGGCCTGTAATAGAATTTGTTCTCCCTTTTTTCTAGGAAGTGATGAGTGATCTGGAGGAGAGTAAATATCAGAATGCTGAGTACAGACTCTCTATTTATGGTAGATCTCGTGATGAGTGGGACAAACTAGCTAAGTGGGCAGTAAGCCACAAAGTGTACTCAAATAATGTACGATGGCTTATCCAGGTGCCAAGATTATAGTAAGTTTAATGAAACACACCATGAGTATGAATTAACCATCCTCCAACTGCTAACAACTAACTTGATTGAGTACTTGATTAGCACACACAAGTAAAGTTTGCTACCATGAATTTGATAGTTGTGGTTAACATAGAAACAATTGGGGAAAATGTCACTAGTTATTAAATAATTTCATTATGATTTAATTGCACTTTATGTGTACTTTTCTGCAGAACTTTGCTTGTTGATAACATGACCTGTGGAGCATTTTACAAAACATTATGTCATATACCCTTAAAAGGTAAAAGAAATTCACTTATTCATGTAAAGCTCAAAATGTCCCGCCACCCCCACCTCACCCAATAAGGTAGAGGTAAGAATCACACACCTCTTATATAACTTTAACCTATAATTTCTTAAGATTGAAAAAATGATACAAATATATCTAAATTGTCTAAATGATTGTCAATTGAAAGTTATTGTGAAAGATATGTAATATAATACAAATATATATAAATTGTGTTAATTATTATAAGTTAATAGTTAGGGCTGTTCCATCAAAACATACATGGTACTCAGGGAAGGTACTTGAAAATGGGTATTATAGATGCAAATTAAAATTTCACTTACATTTCCACTGTGCAAAACACATTGAGATTTGTAAGTGTCTTCCCTGGGTCCCATGTATGTTTTTCTGGAACAGCCCTTACATGTATTGTGAACGATATTTTAGTTAGAAGAATTACTTAAATTATAATCATCCATTTCAGATTTAATTGATAAGAGAAAGAAAATAGTTGTTCTGACAACAAACTTTAAAAATTGGAGGCATCTATAGAACTTATTTTGTTGATTTGAAACTTTTTTGTATATTTAAAAGTGAATAATCTATTCTTTACAGTGATGTATACAAGTCAAATAAATTAGTAAACAGTTTCCAGGATGTACTTGAGAATATTTTCTTGCCATTATTTGAAGTAACAAACGATCCTAGTTCACATCCAGAGTTACATGCTTTCCTCAGATATGTAAGTAAGGATGATAAAAATGTCTATTAGAAATAATTATATCTCTATGAAAGAAGAGGGATAAGATGCCAAGGGCAATCAAATACCATGAAGAAGAAAAACAAGCAACACCATTGCCAATAAAAAAATGACAAAAAGGCATACAACAGTCCATAAAACATTACATCTATGATTTTAAATAACAGAATGGCAAATTTTTTTCACTGTAATCTATCAATGTGTGATATAGTTAATGTATTGAGAAGAGTATTTGGGGTAGATGTGCTGGACATAATTACATAAAAGGAAGATAAAAAACATGCAAACAAAGTGACCTATAGTTGCTTACTTCTGCATCATTTGGTCTGTGGTGGAGAGTTGTCTCATTGGCAATCCTGCCACATCATCTTATTTCTATGAAGGGAGAGTGACAGTGTTGCAAGTATTTATATATGAGGGGGGGGGGGTCATTGTGTTATATAGTTAAGGCATTGGAAAGGGGATATTGGATTCTGAGTAGACGTGCTCGTCATAATTACAAAAAATTGAAAAAGGAAGTTATCTCCCCTTGTATGGCAAATTGAAAAAAAATTCATTCAAACTAAAAATATGATGTATTTGTAAATAAACAGTTGTAAATTTGATAAAACACATCTTTTTTTCCAATTTGATGAAAAGTCTTGAATTACATTCTTCTCTCAAAATTTGCTTTTTTTTAAAAGATCTAGAACAATAGTTGTCTGCTATTTTACAATCAAAGATGGCGGAAGACACCAGATGCATCTTAACCAGTCCATGACTATAGGGATTCAGTTGCACATTGTGCAATCTTTACCCAAATAATAGTATACAAAAAATAGTGCATGATATATGAATCGATATGTTCAAGCCACAATTATTGACAAAGTGAGAAAACTCATTCAAAATACTGCATAGATATGTTACTTTGCCTAATACAATGCAATGTTTAATTTTAAGTTCATAATGCACAATGTAAGCAATCTTTACATTCTTAGTGGTCGTAGAAACTTTTTATTAAGAAGTTATTTATAATTCTTATTTAATGTTACTTTATAATTAATTAACAGGTATCTGGAATTGACTCTGTAGATGATGAATCTAAATCAGAACATATCCAGTTTACTAAGGATACACCTGAACCAGAAGACTGGACTAGTATGGACAATCCTCCATATACATACTACTTATACTTTATGTATGCTAATCTTGCTGTTCTAAACCACTTCAGAAGGTATGGTTTTGATAAATGAATTAAAGACCACAAGTCTAGTATAGATATTGATTTCTGAGTTCATTGTGCACACAAAGAAGGGATGTTCATCTCAACTATTTTTCTGTGTGCTGCATCTTGTTGTATCATGTTTAAAAGCAATGTATAGATCCAGTCTTTTTCATTTTTATATATGAATAAAAGGAGAGGTGGAGTATATGTCATTGAGACAGCAACCAAACAAAACAAAAAAACCTTAGGACATCTAGTGATCAACTGATGGGCTTCAACAATAGACAAATGTCTTAGCAATATATCATGTTCTAAATCTCAAAAGTCGATAGAAAAGTTTTTAATTTTAACAAAAATTTAAAGTTTTTAAATTTAACAAATACTGTAAAAAATCTGCCATGAATACCAATTATTCCTAGTGGACAAAAAACATTAAGTTATAACCTAAGACAATAAACAACTAACATTACCTGACTTGTGGCATGCAAGCTATTACAGTACAGGACGATAGAATAACTTTGTACAGACTTTTAATGCAGAAGAAATTAAAAACATTTTAGGTTTGTTTCAAATTATAAATTAGCAAATTGATGTTCATCTCCCAAAATAACTACAATGATATCCTTTATCCATAATTTTATTTAGCGAAAGAGAAAGATTCGAAGGATGATTCTTAATCTTGTTAGCTTTATAAACAACATTAATGTAATTCCTGCAAGGGGAGTGATACTTTCACAACGAATCACTAAATTATATACAATTTAATCATTAACTTTATTTTTTTGCAGAGAAAGAGGAATGCACACATTTGTCCTGAGACCACATTGTGGTGAGGCAGGAAATGTTACACATCTTGTAGCAGGATTTCTATTTGCTGAAAATATTGCCCATGGCTTAGTACTAAGAAAGGTATGGATTTTTAGCTATTCTAGACCAAGGGTTCATGGGAGCTATTGCCAACACTTGGCATCCATCGTCGTGGTAAAATTTCTTCTCTAAAACCTCTAGGCTAATTTAAACTGAGGTTGGCCTGAATCATCTCTAGAGAGTCTATAATCATTTTCATTATCCAAGATGATCAACCAATATGGCCTCCATGGCTAAAAATGGAACATAAATTTAGGACTGACTAGGACACATATATTCTTGTGTTGATTTGGATAAAATTTCAGAGTGCATTTTTTTCTTTCCAGTGCATTCCTACATGGAACTTTTTCTATAAAGGTGAAATATTCCCTCAATTGCATATCTTTGAATGTTTATAAAAGCAGTGGTTCTCTTTAATTTTGCTTATATCATTCAGATATAATATAATTTATTTTATTAAAGTGTCACCATCCATTACAGTATCTATATATAAATACATAAAAGTCATAAGAACCCAACATTTAGTAAAAGGATGCCAGCCGAAAACAACTTGGTCCGAGTACACAGTTATTTCGTAGTGCATTTCTTTTAGACAATAAATGAAAATAAAAAAAATCCCACCTGCGCTTTCTCAATAATATTTTTACAGTGTGTTGTACTACTTTTGGGACAAATCATATCAAAATTATAGAAAACTTCATCGGCTCTAACTCAAAATATGGACAATTCTATGTTAAGGGGGTCTTGAAATCTTTTGACAGCTTCCGAAGTGCTAATTTTTAACCTTTTTCAGCTGGACCAAATCACTACTTAACTTTACAATTCATGACCCAATTTTTTTTACAGTGTAATTTCATCCCCCTACTTGCTATTTGAGGCATAAAACATGAAGGAATACATTTGGAAGGGGTACTAAAAAAATTGGCAAGCAACACACTGTCCACACTAGGGACTTTATTCGTGGACAACGAAAATCAAAGGACGATAACTGTGTACTCGGACCTAATAGGATAGAAAAATTTGACCAATCTTAATAAAACTTGGTATGACTAAAGCTTAATAAATTATGAGACTGCTGACAAAGTTTCATGGCAATAGGATATATATTATAGACAATATGATAAATTCTATATTCAACTTCGCGTGTTAAATTTTGACGTTTAAATTGAAAAATTTCAACTATCAACATTTGGGGCTTTAAAAATCAAAATATTGCAAAAAATTACATTTTAAAGGCCTTAATATATGACATATTATCTATTTAAAGCAATAGAATACTCATTTGATTTATCAGACTTATCACAATTATTTAAAAGTCAAATTTATATGAGCCTGTGCCAAAAAATGGAGGTTTTCCAATGAAGGGGGGCCTTACATGAAGATGTATTATTTTCCAGCAATTTTAAATTTGTGGAGTTTTTTGGTTATAAATAATCCTTACATATGTATTAAATGTACTTTAAATGGAAAGAAAAATTACAAATAGCATACCATATTAGTATAAAAGGGTCTTAAGCCAAGTAAGACTGAAAATAATTTAGGGTCAATTTAGGCCGTAGCACATATTTACATTTAAAAATGCATACTGAAGCTATAGGAAATAAAAATTTGTGTCTTTTTTATAATTTCTATACTCAAGTTACATGATACAATAAATCTGAGCATAAAAGGACTCTTGCATTCAACTTTTTTTGCAGACAGTATGGTCTGATACAAAGATTTTTCACTTTTTAGTGAAAAACTTGCATGCAATTTTAGCCTCAGCAGGCTTATATTTGAACCACTTGCTATTTAACATAAGAAAAGAAAGATACTATGTGAAATGAAACAGGTACAAAAGACATTGTGAAGTGCTTTTAATACAAATTAAGTGAAATCTTTATTATGGACTTCAACTTTTATGTACCTAGGTCCTCACATTTAACTTGATCCAAACAGGCCGTTACACGAGGGTCATTTATACAACACATTTTGCACATATTGTCTGAGATAATCTTATTTTCTGTAGATTCAGAGTTCTCAAATGAGTAATACAACTGGGTTAAAGCATAGAAACACAAATATTGACACAGGAAAACCTGTCACATAGAAAGTCAGAATGCCACTTATGCATCAAAATTGAAAAAGCTTTGAGATGCTTATTTTGACCATATAATGCCAAAATGGATAATTTTTGCAGAATTTCTATCAAATAAAAGTTTAAATCCTTTAGTTTCATGCTATCTGACAAATTGACACCATTAAATCATTCAGGGAAGTTGCCAAAGTACAGATTCTATATTTACTGATTTCGCCTCTTAGGTCCGAGTACACAGTTATTTCGTAGTGCATTTCTTTTAGACAATAAATGAAAATAAAAAAAATCCCACCTGCGCTTTCTCAATAATATTTTTACAGTGTGTTGTACTACTTTTGGGACAAATCATATCAAAATTATAGAAAACTTCATCGGCTCTAACTCAAAATATGGACAATTCTATGTTAAGGGGGTCTTGAAATCTTTTGACAGCTTCCGAAGTGCTAATTTTTAACCTTTTTCAGCTGGACCAAATCACTACTTAACTTTACAATTCATGACCCAAATTTTTTTACAGTGTAATTTCATCCCCCTACTTGCTATTTGAGGCATAAAACATGAAGGAATACATTTGGAAGGGGTACTAAAAAAATTGGCAAGCAACACACTGTCCACACTAGGGACTTTATTCGTGGACAACGAAAATCAAAGGACGATAACTGTGTACTCGGACCACTTATGAGACATTCATATGGTGTTTTATACACATTGTACTACAGATTCATTATACGACCGCAAAAATTGAAAATTTTTTGGTCGTATATTGGTATGACGTTGGCGTCGTCGTCGTCGTCGTCGTCGTCGTCGTCGTCCGGCGTCGTCTGGCGTCGTCCGAAGACACATTGGTTTTCGCACTCTAACTTTAGTTTAAGTGAATGGATCTCCATGAAATTTTACCATAAGGTTCAATACCATGAAAGGAAGGTTGGGATTGATTTTGGGGGTTATGGTACCAACAGTTAAGGAATTAGGGGCCAAAAAGGGGCCAAAAATAAGCATTTTTGTAACTTCCAGACAATAACTTGTGTGTATGTGTATGGATCTCTCTGACATTGTACCACAAGGTTCCATATCACAAAGGGAAGGCTGTAATTGATTTTGGGGGTAATTGCCTCAAAATTTTAGGAATTAGGGGCCAAAAAAGGGGCAAAAAACAAGCATTTTTCTAGTTTCATGACAATAACTTGTGTGTAAGTGCTTGGATATTTCTGAAATTGTACTACAAGGTTCCATATCACAAAGGGAAAGCTGGAATTGAGTTTGGGGGTAATTGCCCGAAACGTTTAGGAATTGGGGGCCAAAAAGGGGCCAAAAATAAGCATTTTTCTAGTTTCCAGACAATAACTTGTGTTCAAGTGTATGGATCTCTCTGAAATTGTACTGCAAGGTACCATACCACAAAGGGAAGGCTGAGATTGAGTTTGGGGTGATGAATCATAAGGGGGTTCAAAAAATTTTGGGGGGGGATTTCTTTTTTTCTTTTTTTCCTTTTTTTTTTTCTTTTAAAATTTTCCATTTTAAGTTGGTTATTTCTGATTTATATTTAAAAGCAAATAATAATGATATGGTAGGAGATACACACCAAACAGGATGTGTAAATTATTATATTATAAGTATTGTGCAATAGCAAGAAATTTTCAATTGCACAGTATTGCACAATAGCAAAAAAATCTTCAATTGCACAGTATTGCGCAATAGCAAGAAATCTTCAATTGCACAGTATTGCGCAATAGCAAGAAATATCCAATAGCACAATATTGCGCAATAGCAAGAAATTGTCAATTGTACAGTATTGCGCAATAGCAAGAAATAATCAATTGCACAGTATTGTGCAAAAGAAGATACTTCCTATAAATTGCTTATTTCTTGATCAATTTCAATAGGGTTTTATTCTTGAATTCTTGGGGTTCTTTAATATGCTGAATCTAACCGTGTATTAAGTTTTTGGATTTTGGGCCCCGTTTTTAAATTGGTCCACATTGAGGTCCAAAGGGTCCAAAATTTTACTTTGTTTGATTTCATCAAAAATTGAATTATTGGGGTTCTTTGATATGCCGAATCTAACCGTGTATTTAGATTCTTAATTTTTGGTTCTGTTTTCAAATTGGTCTACATAAAGGTCCAAAGGGTCCAAAATTAAACTTAGTTTGATTTCAACAAAAATTGAATATATGGGGTTCTTTGATATGCTGAATCTAACCATGTATTTAGATTTTTGATTATGGGCCCAGTTTTCGAGTTGGTCCAAATCGGGGTCCAAAATTAAACTTTGTTTGATTTCAACAAAAATTGAATATATGGGGTTCTTTGATATGCTGAATCTAACCATGTATTTAGATTTTTGATTATGGGCCCAGTTTTCAAGTTGGTCCAAATCGGGGTCCAAAATTAAACTTTGTTTGATTTCAACAAAAATTGAATATATGGGGTTCTTTGATATGCTGAATCTAACCATGTATTTAGATTTTTGATTATGGGCCCAGTTTTCAAGTTGGTCCAAATCGGGGTCCAAAATTAAACTTTGTTTGATTTCAACAAAAATTGAATATATGGGGTTCTTTGATATGCTGAATCTAACCATGTATTTAGATTTTTGATTATGGGCCCAGTTTTCAAGTTGGTCCAAATCGGGGTCCAAAATTAAACTTTGTTTGATTTCAACAAAAATTGAATATATGGGGTTCTGTAATATGCTGAATCTAACCGTGTATTAAGTTTTTGGATTTTGGGCCCCGTTTTTAAATTGGTCCACATTGAAGTCCAAAGGGTCCAAAATTTAACTTTGTTTGATTTCATCAAAAATTGAATTATTGGGGTTCTTTGATATGCCGAATCTAACCGTGTATTTAGATTCTTAATTTTTGGTTCTGTTTTCAAATTGGTCTTCATAAAGGTCCAAAGGGTCCAAAATTAAACTTAGTTTGATTTTAACAAAAATTGAATTTTTAGGGTTCTTTGATATGCTGAATCTAAACATGTATTTAGATTTTTGATTATGGGCCCAGTTTTCAAGTTGGTCCAAATCGGGGTCCAAAATTAAACTTTGTTTGATTTCAACAAAAATTGAATATATGGGGTTCTTTGATATGCTGAATCTAACCATGTATTTAGATTTTTGATTTTTGGGCCCTGTTATCATTTTTGTCCACATTGAGATCAAAAGGGTCCAAAATTAAACTTTGTTTGATTTCATCAAAAATTGAATTCTTGGGGTTCTTTGATATGCTGAATCTAACCATGTATTTAGATTTTGGATATTGGACCATAATAGGTGAATGTCCAATTTAAAATTTTTAAGTTCTTAGACCACATTCATTCTGTGTCAGAAACCTATGCTGTGTCAAATATTTAATCACAATCCAAATTCAGAGCTGTATCAAGCTTGAATGTTGTGTCCATACTTGCCCCAACTGTTCAGGGTTCGACCTCTGCGGTCGTATCAAGCTGCGCCCTGCGGAGCATTTTATTTTATTACTTGGGATACTAATTTTTGATGATTTGTTGGGTATAGGTGAACCATGAATTTTGGTGTGCAAAAAAATAGACATCTTTGTAGAATTTGTCTCAACCACAAGTTTAAACATCCACATAAACAAAATTTTCTCAATCCACAAAAATTGGTAACCATGAAAATAAACTAATCCATCAGATTTCAGTAAACATGGAATTTAGATACTGCTTGAAAATAAGATATGGATATAAATTCTTTTGTAGGTTCCTGTACTCCAGTATCTGTACTATATGTCTCAGATAGGGATAGCTATGTCACCGCTCAGCAATAACTCACTATTCCTCAACTATCAGCGTAACCCACTGCCAGAATACTTCAACAGAGGGCTGAATGTATCCCTGTCTACAGATGATCCACTGCAGTTCCATTTCACTAAGGTAAATCAAATTATGTAGCATGATTATGTCTGTATAGAATTTAACTCCAACGCAAAGATTTGAGATTTTCCAAAATTTTCAGCATTGGACATCATTTATTTTCGTGAGATGTCTTAGCTTTCGAAGCTTTTTCTGTTGTTTTAGGTTCTGATTTGTTGTTGTATTTGAAGAGAGTTCATTTAAAAATATTCAGGTTAATTTTGTACCTTCAAGTTGGAATATGATATATAGTGTGTCATTTTTTAAAAATGTTTTTGGTATTAAAAAAGTACAGTTTGTCCAAGCTGCAAATAATTTTCTTCTATAATAGGAACCATTGATGGAGGAGTATAGTATTGCTGCCCAGGTATGGAAACTAAGTACTTGTGATATGTGTGAGATCGCCAGGAACAGTGTTCTACAGAGTGGATTTGAACATGAGGTAAATTAATAATCACCAGGCTGTATAGGAATCATTTTAGAGCTGAATTTGTGCTTTTCTCTTTCTGTCTAAAAAAATATAAGCTACCACTTGACTTTTGAAAAAAAATAATATTGTGTGGCATAGAAGCTACCACTCAATTTAAGTAAAACATTAAATCATTAAAACAGTAATAAAAGAAAAGTTTCAATCTAAATTTTGTTTAAATAATATTTTGCAGTACTGTAAATACGAAGTTATTGCGATGTTTTAAATAAAGCAATAAGTGATTGGGTGAGTATCGAAATAATATGAACTAGCATTCTGATATCTGATATATATATATCTGCATGCAGATTCCCCTGAAATTGCAATAACTGATCTTTCATTTTTATCCATTCTTCAAAAATTGCAATGATAAATGATTGGAATAATTTCCGAATTTACATAGTTTAATTTTCAATATTAATTTTGAGAGAGAACAAATTCCTAGATTTACCTGATACATTCATTTCCTATTGTTTTTTAAGGTAAAACAGAACTGGCTTGGACTGAATTACACCAAAGAAGGGGTAGCAGGAAATGATGTGACGAGAACAAATGTTTCCAGTATCCGTGTGGCATATAGATATGAATCACTAGTGGATGAGCTCCGCTGTATCTCAAGTGGTGTAAAGTCATATGATAAATCTCGAAAATCTGAAAACTCTTTGTCATCCTCCTAGACTTTCATATAGACTTTCGGGTCTTTTGAGAAGAAGAATTTGTTTTCTTTTTGTTATCGTCTGCTTCCATCCACAGCTTCTTTACAATTCTAAAAAGATTCGATCAAACTTGAACAAATCTTTAAGAGTGTTATATTGCACAACCTAATGTTTTCTAATATCTTTTATATTTTAGTGTTTCCTTTAGCCAAAACATGGACTTTTGCATAGTTCATATGTGGTATGCATACCATATCTACAAGGTGGTTTGTAACTATTAAATTTCATCTGTTGTTAAAACTGTTTTTGAGGATTGGCATGGCCAAGCAGGAATGTCTACATGGCTCATACGAGTTATATGCACTTATTTTATTTGTAGGAAGGGATGTATTTCACTGCCAATCTTTTCTCAATGATTTTAGGGGTTTCCTAGCCAAAACAAGGACTGTCATTAGTCACACTGAAGTGTGTCATTTAATAAAATCTGTGGCAGGAGGCTCATAAGATTATTAATGTTGCCAGTGACAATGGACAAACATTGTTTTGTGTTTGTGACATTAGTGGCTTCTTGTAAGTTTTATATGCCATAAAAGTGTGTTTGACTTGGCTGCTTTTAGACAGCATTACTTGATAATGGTTAACAGTAAGGCTTTGCTCATGGATTGAATATCAATATAAAGCTTTTTTTAAACCCTCAGTTATGTTTAGTATATACATGGAGGAAAACTAAATATTGAACTCATTCAGCTAATTTTTTTTGCTATCTTTGTTTAAATATCACGCATGTATTTTCTTAGTATTTGTTGATGCAATCATTTTTTGTTTTGTAGAATGTAAGTAATAAAATTGTTATAGTATTGAGAATGACATGTTATTTCCATAAGTTTTACATTTTAATTACTTCTTTTTATGTATACAGAATTTTCTGTTGTATTGTTGAACCAAAGAATGTTAAGTGTATAACTATATAGTTACTGCCATGCACCCTTTAAATTGATAAAATGAAAAAAGAGCTAAGCTTTTTTAACTTTGAATTATTTCATTTTTATGAAATTTTACCATACTTTTTGTCAAGTGTCATATAAAGATGAATGAATTTTAATCTAATCTAAAAATTCAAAGACAACAAGACTTTATGTGTTCAGATTTCCTATTGTTTAAAACAAAAATAAGAAAATGATTTGTATTTTAATAAAAAGAAAAAAGAAAAATTATTGGTTTTACATTAAACATCCAGGTCATTTTGGGTGATCATGATAGGTTAATTATTGTCTTAATACCTTACAGTGCTAAATTTTCTATTTGTAAACTGTGATATAAGTAAAAGATCTCACTTATATATTATCAGTGTATACCAAATTTGTTGACTAGTAAATGTTTTGTGTAAATGTACATATACTATGTGAATTTTAGTTGACAATGTCATAAATAGGTGTTGTGAAAGTGAAGTGGTATCTTGTAATGAACTGATTTTTTTAAGAGAATCATAAAACATTTGTAACTAACTTAGATGAAATGTGTTCACTACATATATACAAACTTTTGGATAAAACGGGTTTTCTACATTGATACAAACTTTTATTCTTTCATGTTATTTTATTTTAATCTCTAATTCAACATGGTGCAAGCTCATCAGATATTTACAGCTTTAACAAATAGTTTTAAAAAGATGACATTTCTAAATCACGAGTATAGCTTTAAAATGGCATTATTGAACACTATTTATAGATAGTTATGAGGTGCTTTTTTCTTTACTGCCATCGGTGAATAGTGTTAAGTATTGTTTTGTTTTTTATATAAAATAACATATAATGTATATTCAGAAATTATTGCGTGCATTTATTATTGCGATTTTTGACAAATGGACAAAAATGTGTGTATAATTATTGCAATTTCAGAAAAATAGGCATACAGATATATGCATCAGTTTATCAGAATGTGAGTTCTTATTATTTGGATACTCACACAGTCGCATTATTCACATTAATAAAGACCTTGCAATAATTTCTGAATTTACATCAGTTCAAACAGCACTGCCTATCAGTTGTTATTGTAAATGTATTGTATTGTAATTTATAAAACGAGATAAAAGTTAATAGGATGCTGCAAAAATATATTTTACTGTATATAATGCACGAAAAAAAAATATACATATAGTTATTTAGACAGTTATCCTTTAATAAAGTAAGTTATTCCATTTAAATATATCTCCTACCCAAGAAAGACAGACAAATCCTTTGTCAGCTTTTTTCATTGTTCTATTATTATAAATAACATTCCACTAAAAAAGTAGATTTAGATACAGTGAAAATACATATTTTTATCCTGGATAATTTTGTGTCATTATTGTGTTATTATCAAAACTAGATTTTAATGCAATATGACATGTATTGTAAATTTGAGATTTGAAGGTGGGAACATTTCTAATATGAAAATGTTATTCCTTGAAATGCATGTTTTGATTATTGCAATGTTCATTCTTTTGTTTATTCTGTATTAATCAAACATTGCATTTAAGGGGGATGTATTTCTGAATTTCCAGGAATTAAAAACCATTTAAGTAGAGATATTTTACAACATAAAACAGTATCTACGATAACAATTGTGTATAACTACTATTTTTTAAAGTTCTATATTCTTCTTATAAAGTAAATTGAGTTAAAAAGTCAGAACAATTAGGTGGCGAAAAGGTATCTAACTTGAAGATATTTAAATAATCACTGCTACTCACATAATGCCTGTGGGAATAACAATATTTGTTAAAGTGGGTGTTTTCCATACAAACCCTACAATATAGGCATTATGTATTATATATTTTTTCACTAAATAAATATGCTTCTTGTTCATTTGTAAAAGAGTAGAGCTTATAACTTAAAAAAGTATTGTGAAAATGGGAGGAAGTCCAGAAACATATTGCTGTTATACCACATAATGATTGTTAAAGGAGAAGTATATTCTGAAGCATAAATTTGTTTGTTGACAGATAAAGATAATTTATAGAATTATTATTATTGTTTTGATGTTTTCTGTGATTCAATTAAAGTGCAATTTTGGTCAATAAAGATGCCAAAGATTCTAATGAGTTCATTATATGTACTTATATACCCATATGAAGTTACTTTGTTTCAGAAGGATAGTTTGTTCTTATCAAGAAACAAGCAGAAAAACCAAGTTTCGATGAAATGTGCTTCAATACATAAAATGACCTGTGTATGGTTAATATTATTTTCCTGATTAAAAAGCAAACTACTCAGTTTGTTAATCATGTGATAGTAATCATGTGTTGTTGTCAATTGAGGTTTTACTGTACAAATTTCTATTTTTAAAGGTTTTAGGCAAAAACAATACTACTCCATTTATTAGACTGAAATATCAGAAAATTTCATGTTAATGCACACGTTAAAGTACAGTTATTCTGACACCTGTGAAAACCTTAAAATATGCATTATCTATAACTTAACTCATTTCTTATGGAAAGCTTCAAAAAATAAGGACAATTTTTTGGTTATACCTCCAAATATATATTTTTCAATATCCTGAAACATAGCCTTAAACCTAGATTCCACCGGTTATCTCACAAGATAATGTAATCTGAGCCTTGAAAAACACAATACAACAGGTCTACCACAACAAATAACAAGTTGATCAACCAAACATTGCATGCAGTGGTTAACAGTATATATCTTTATAATCAGCACTATATGGAAAATTTATATCTTGCTTTTAAAGTATAGATACAGTCGTGTTTAAATTTAATTTAACTTTGTCAGTCATTGTACTAATATTAACGTTAAAGGTACAAATTCAGGTTACTGCATCACATGCACATTTCGACAATTGATGACTACAGTGATGCTCGATGCCAACATATTTGGAAATCCAGAACAGAAATTTTGAAGAGCTGTAAAATCAAAAATGAAACAAACACATAGCCAAAACTGGAAAAAAAATGACCATATGCTTGAGGGAGATACATTCCTTAATTTTAAATGATTTCCGAAATTGTATAACAGCCAATTTATACAATCTGGTTCCACCCTGTGTACAGAGCACAACTGTATATCCCTTGAGAAATAGCAATGATATCGTTTTCCCTTTTTATACCCCACGCAACGAGTTGCGGAGGGTATAATGTTTTTGACCCGTCCGTCTGTCCGTCCGTCAGTCCGTCAGTCCTGTTTCTTGTCATCGCAACTCCTCTCAAACCACACAACAGAATTTCACGAAACCTTTTTAGATAATAAGGACATACTATGTAGTTGTGCATATCGACAGGAAATTACGATTCAATTCTTTTTCTAGGAGTTGCGCCCGTTTGAACTTATTTACTTTAATTTACTACTGCAACAGTTTGTTATCGCAACTCCTCTCAAACCACACAACAGAATTTCATGAAACCTTTTCAGATAATAAGGACATACTACGTAGATGTGCATATCGACAGGAAATTACGATTCAATTTTTTTTCCAGGAGTTACGCCCCTTTGAACTTATTTGCCCAATATACTACTGCAACCTTTTGTCATCGCAACTCCTCTCAAACCACACAACAGAATTTCATGAACATTTTCAGATGATAAGGACATACTACCTAGATGTGCATATCGACAGGAAATTACGATTCAATTTTTTTTCCAGGAGTTACGCCCCTTTGAACTTATTTTCCCAATATACTACTGCAACCTTTTGTCATCGCAACTCCTCTCAAACCACACAACAGAATTTCATGAAACTGTGTAGATAATAAGGACATACTACGTAGATGTGCATATTGACAGGAAATTATGATTCAATTTTTTTTTCTTATACAATTTTTTTTTCTTACACTTATTTTATTTTCCAATGACGATGTGGGGACGTGGGGTATGTGAGCGCTCTCACTAAGGTTCTTTAATTGTAGATTATTTCCTTCCTAAAGAATCTTTTATACCATCAACTATTAGACTATGTAATCAAACCGATCTGTCCCTTCGAAAAACCATAATCTCTCTCAAAATTTAAAATCCAATTAAAAAGGCTAAATACTATAAATAAAGATGTACCTAAGCACTATTTATATGGACCTAGGAAACTAAATATAATTCTAACTCAATTAAGATGCTACTCATCTTTCTTGGATTATGACTTGTTCGGAGTAAATATAATTGCTGACCCATCTTGTCTTTGTGGGTGCAACATTGAGACTGTACACCATTTCCTTTTCGACTGTTCTTTATATACAGACTAGAGAGAAATTCTGATGAACATTCTAGTAAGATGGCTCCCTGATGATCTTATATTGAATGTTAAGTTATTAACATCTGGTAGTCCGAACCTTTTATATGAACAAAACGTCCATATATTTAAACATGTTTTTGAGT